CATTACTACTTACCTGGAATTTTATCGAGGTGAATGTTAAAAGGGTGAAGCCAGGTTCTTTTACTCCAACCTCAGAGAGTCAAAAGAAACACACTTGTAAATATTGTCGACGTATCTGAGTGATCGTTCCGAGGATCCTCTCACAGTTCTATTGTAACACTTGCTTTCTCATGAAATAAGTAGATAAATTTCAAATTGTGCTCGCTGATCTACATGTACGGACTTATAAACAGATAATATTAGTTCCTTGTTGTGTAACGTTTCAAGCCCTTTTAGCTTAGTCTGATGAATATGCATATTTTGCAGGCGGAACGAGGTCACCTGACGCGTGACGTCAACATGACATTTTGGCGATAGAGAGATTTTATTTACTTCAAAGGATGTGCCTCAACATACCTTATAAACATCAAACTACCTTACCTCGCCAGAATACATAATTACGTGGAAATTTACAGAGGGAAATCCCACAATGGTGAAGACAAGTTCTTTTACTCCAATCTCAGAAACACGCATATTGTATTTTCTTCAAAATAAACGGATAAATCACCGATTGTGATTGCTGATCTACATATATGGGTAAACCTTTCTACCTCATCCTATGGACCGTTTGAAACATAAAATCGTGGAGGCATGTTTACAAAAAGTGAAAGAAAGATTTTATATCAATACAGACAAACGATATCGTCTTTGGTAACTGAAAGTGATTGTAACCCCAGACTTTCGAGAATGGGACCTTGCATACAGGTCAAGGTAATTTCTTTTCGCAATCTTTGTCTAACTTGATATCTTGTTTCTTGAACAAAGTTGACCTCAGTGATCTTGGTATAGATTACAGTTATTTCTAAGCTTTTCATGATCCATGTTAGAAACCTATCAGTAGTGTATCGTGCTCTCTGACTTTTGGATAATCTGAAGAGGTTGTTTAAACAAATGAGACCCATGTGACCTTGAATTTCGGTCAAGGTCAGTTCTTATCGCAATATTTGTCAGGATTAATACAAACACCTTACTAGTCAAATATCAAGTTTTTAGACATATTAGTTGTTTTTGTTCTTGTTTTTTTATCTTTTAACAAATTTGGCTCCTGAAATCTTGAATAAGGGTCAAGTTCATATTTTTGCAAATATTGTCCTGTACCAGCCAAATATCTTGACTTTTCGCTTATTGGTTATTGAGCAGTTGTTTAATTGGATAAGTTGACGCTGTACTGATAACTGACGAAACACGTCGGACGGATGAACGGACGGAATACAGATGCAGCGCTCACTTATCCTTCTGGCCAGTGACCTGAAAATGCATTTATTTATGTCAAGATTTAAGCATAAAACATCAACAAAATGTTAGATTAAGCTGTTGTTTCCCTCGTTAATTTATTTTAACCGCAATATTTTTTTTTCAATCTTTTAAAGGTTTAGAATTGCTTCTCTTCGCTGAATTTTTTTTTTTTTTTGCTAGTGTGACCCGACAATCCCTTTTCATTAAAACGGAATCGTATAACGTTTCGAAACGTTGGACTTGCAGAGTAAACATTCAGGTAATCTGTTTCTTTTATTGCTTATATGCGAAAACATCACCAAGGATTTTAACGTAGATTTTGCAATAGTGTCTTCATAAATGACATTTCAATACGCGTCTAAACAACTACGGAACACCTTTGAACCGGTCTGTGTTGATCTGCACAAACAGAAAATAAATTGTAATATAATTAAACGCCATTATCATTCCTGGATGGCTGGGTTGTGTTGTCCCTGGTTTTCTTTAGTAGGGTATACATTTTATACTTGGGTGCTGCCATGTTGAATATCACAGTTTGTGTTTACTGTTGGTATTTCCAGTGTCTGTAACGTGTCCTTTCTGGGTAGAAGTCGATTTCTTTGAACACGGTCTTCTTGGAAGAGCTGTGTTAATACATCTACAAACGGGTGTCGGTTATACGTTTTCCTGCACCCAGTGTAGCACCGGTGAAATCAGTGACGCGTATTCATGATATCATGTTTTATTTCTGAGGCTATTGTGAACCTGTTTGTTAAAAAGAAACGCTATTCAGTAAACATTATATACGGTTTATGGCTCTCGGCTACCTTTAACCATATTTTGATCAAAATAAAGATATGGTTTGCAGCTAAATTATTGAACATAGAATTTTGTGCATTGGGCAAAATATCAGGAATGCATGTAACGTAGCGAACATCAACTTTTGATGAACGCACACGCTATTTAAGATCCAGTATGAGTGACCGAAACCTGCTATAAAGTCACCAGCTAGCGGAGTATGACCTATGTGGATATAGCTGGCGAGGAGCTACTCATCTTGTAGTTTGTTTAATAATGTTTGGCTGTCGTAATATCATATATAGTAATTGTACCGGAGACCAGCGTTAATCAGCTACATACGGATACCATAAATGTACCACAAACATAACATTATAACAGGAGAGACATTATCACTTTTGTTAAGGAATCCTACACAAGGGTACATATTGACACTATAAAAATAGGCGATAAAACTATTGAGTTATAAAAAAATGGCCACTAGTTAAAAGAACAAGATTATTCTAAATCTTTAATGCACTCGATTCTGACTAAGAAATAATTACCCTCTGTCATGATTCACCTACCGTATACAATTTATTGTAGTATACGTCGTTGAAAATGCACCATCAGCATATTTTATACCGATCTGTTACGGAATCAATCGATTTTGCCGAAAATAGCCGAGATAATTTTAATCGTATTATGATTATCATGATTGTTTGTTTACATTTCTTATTTAAAGTACATTAATGTTTAAACAGCTGTAGAAGTCTTAGTTTATCGTATATAGAGAAATATACACAATAAACATGTTTGTTGCCCTTCGTATACAGTGTAAGTTACAAATGGCATTGACGTAGTATTTCTTATTTGCTAGCTACTTTTAATGGCACTTTCAAAAAGTGTTACGACAAAGTCTATAAATTTAGCCTAAATAAGAGTTGTCTTTTCATTTTCATTTCGTCTGTTTAAAATGTGGACAATCTCCTTAAAGGGATACAATTGATTTCTCTTTTTCATTTTCTTGGATTAGCGTGTTTCACCACTGATGGTTACTATACAATAGTGTCACCACTGATGGTCACTACAAAATAGTGTCACCAGTGATGATAACTATACAATAGTGTCACCACTGATGGTAACTATACAATAGTGTCACCACTGCTGGTAACTACACAATAGTGTCACCAGTGATGGTAACTATACAATAGTGTCACCACTGATGGTAACTATACAATAGTGTTACCACTGAAGGTAACTATACAATAGTGTCACCACTGCTGGTAACTACACAATAGTGTCACCACTGCTGGTAACTATACAAAAGTGTCACCACAGATGGTAACTACACAATAGTGTCACCACTGTTGGTAACTATACAATAGTGTCACCACAGATGGTTAATACACAATAGTGCCACAACTAATGGCTACTCTTGTGTCTGTGTGTGTGTGTGTGTGTGTGTCTCTCTCTCTCTCTCTCTCTCTCTCTCTCTCTCTCTCTCTCTCTCTCTCTCTCTCTCTCTCTCTCTCTCTCTCTCTCTCTCTCTCTCTGTGTGTGTGTGTGTGTGTGTGTTGTGGTTTGGGCAGATTTCGTCATCTACATTCAGTTGCATTACCTTTTGCTCTGAAAATGCGTGATCAAGAGATATTGCATGATTTCTCAAACGGAAATGAAGTATGTTTGAATTACGTGAATCTCATACCTAAAAGCATTTGTCATGTATTATTTCTGTCTTACTGATAATTGATTTAAATGTATTGAGAGAATGAGAGTTCCTTACAGAAATCGCTTCTATAAATGCGGTGGTGCCATGTGCGGTACGGTATACTGAGGTTTTGTACACTGTTCGGAGTTCTTGTGAGTCCACGTTAACCGTGTCTTCATTTCATGGTATTTATGCATGAATTTCCGTTATTGTCTGAGTAAAAAGGAGTGTGTGATTACAAAAGGTTCTGTATTTAATTCGTTCATTTAACTCTTTATCAATTGCTGTAACTTGCATCCTGTCGATATAATGTATGATCTAGAGACCTTAGTATGAATGTCAAGGTAATGTAATTCAGATTGGTCTATATAGGCATGTTTGATATAACCTCGAGAAATAGGTGATCATGACAGGTACTTGTTTTCAGCTAATACAAATAGAGTTATCGGACAGTGGAAGAAAGTCGGTATGTATCCAGTTTCGAACAAAATATAATAATACAATTCATATCAAATGATGTCTGATGTGGAGATATATATATATATATATGTGTGTGTTGAAATGGTTCAATAAGAAAAATAGATAGTAGTTTGGCACCATTGTACTTTGTTTATCAATGATGTTGTTAAAACCTGTTTGTTCAACTAATTTTTTTAGAAAAAAAACTATAGTCTGTTTATTCAGTTACCTCACAACTGCAATCCCATAAAATGAGTTATTGTCTCCCTTTGTGTGATGCATTTATTAAAGTGAAAGTTAATGTATTTCCAAAACCAATCTCAATACTATAAGAGTTTGTCGTTAAGATGTCATAGTTAAGTCTCCACTGAAATTTTGTTTTATTAGTTGTTCTGAAGGGATGTGAATGTATCTTTTTCCATGTATTGTAGCCAAATACAGTTTCTCATTTACTTTGGGAAGGTACATCATAGTGTTGATACACTGATTTAAAAAAAACACACTTTATAAAAAACCTCCTGGTATTCTCTTTTCAAACTGATTTCAACATCTTTCTGTATTTTTGAATTCGATGTTATTCTTAACACTTTGTGATGAGTTCTGGTACTGATCGACCAACATGCCTTTTCGGGGCTCTCCATGACTGTACGACATCGGTGGCTAACGGCTCTCCCGACGAAGCAAAGTTAGGTCTGGTGGGACATTAGTATTACCTAATTAGAAGTAGGAGTTACCTCCCATCGTGTATCATGGAGTGTCATGGAACGGTTTTTTATTTAGCGATTACATACCACAAGCGTACTTTGTCGTTGCGATGACAGACGTGCACTTTGGTGTTCGCATATTTAATCAGAAGACTTGCTTAAGGTACGATATTTACTCAAGAAAAACGTATCCGTTTTATTTTTAACAGAACACACTGCCGACACCGAACCCGTGGAGCTGACGGTATACAGCCGTTACATGCATGTAAACATCGGCATTTTGTAAGCCAACTTTATGTTTTTATACATTTTATGTGGCTTTAATTCGTGTATTTTCAGAAATCGGCAAACCTCATAATAGGAAAACGTTACATTTGTATATGTACTTTTGACTTCAGTGCAATGTACAGTAAGCCTAGTGTCGATGAGGTCAATATATAGAACGTTCTAAATTTGACCCGGTCGCGATATACCCCAAGATTTAAATATGCTCGTTCATTATAGATCTATGGTGACAAATAATTAATGTCTATGTAATTATCAGTGAATTATGATCGATCAAAATTTACTGCCAGTGTGTGAACAGAACAACTGATATGTATGTACAGTTTGGGGTAACATGATGTACAATGTGTCTACATGTATAGTTTGGGTAACATGATGTACAATGTGTCTACATGTATGTACAGTTTGGGGTAACACAATGTACAATGTGTCTACATGTATGTACAGTTTGGGGTAACGCAATGTACAATGTGTCTACATGTATGCACAGTTTTGGGGTAACACAATGTACAATGTGTCTACATGTATGTACAGTTTGGGGTAACACAATGTACAATGTGTCTACATGTATGCACAGTTTGGGGTAACACAATGTACAATGTGTCTACATGTATGTACAGTTTTGGGGTAACACAATGTACAATGTGTCTATATGTATGCACAGTTTTGGGGTAACACAATATACACTGTTTCTACATGTATGTACAGTTTTGGGGTAACACAATGTACAATGTGTCTACATGTATGTACAGTTTGGGGTAACACAATGTACAATGTGTCTACATGTATGCACAGTTTTGGGGTAACACAATGTACAATGTGTCTACATGTATGTACATTTTGGGGTAACACAATGTACAATGTGTCTACATGTATGTACAGTTTGGGGTAACACGATGTACTATGTGTCTACACATATGTACAGTTTAGGGGTAACACAGAGTCCAATATTTGCGGACAATGAATGCTCTATGTATGCAGAAAGATTTTATTATTACTGTGGTGCATTAATATCATTTGTAACACAACTGTATATAACAACAAAAAACAACAATTGATATATCAGTAGAATCTCAATGACATTAGGACAATTTATGAACAACAGGAGGATTTAAAACCAAAGACGTAATAAAGATTTGGCAGTCCAGAAGGGTAAGTGTGACATGGTGCAGTTACCATACTGGCTGTCATCACAACTATTATTGGTGTGTTCCATGCAGGGTTTTCCATAATTTTGTTAGTAGTGGGCTGTGTAGTGAAAGTAGGAGGCTGTGTAGTGAAAGTAGTAGGCTGTGTAGTGAAAGTAGGAGGCTGTGTAGTGAAAGTAGTAGGCTGTGTAGTGAAAGTAGGAGGCTGTGTAGTGAAAGTAGTAGGCTGTGTAGTGAAAGTAAGAGGCTGTGTAGTGAAAGTAGTAGGCTGTGTAGTGAAAGTAGTAGGCTGTGTAGTGAAAGTAGTAGGCTGTGTAGTGAAAGTAGGAGGCTGTGTAGTGAAAGTAGGAGGCTGTGTAGTGAAAGTAGTAGGCTGTGTAGTGAAAGTAGGAGGCTGTGTAGTGAAAGTAGGAGGCTGTGTAGTGAAAGTAGTAGGCTGTGTAGTGAAAGTAGGAAGCTGGCCTGCCGTGTACGTGTAGTCGTGTATAGAACATTATTATGGAACTGGATTGGTGTAGGCGGCCAAATGATCAAAGTAGCCGGTCAAATTAGCCAGCGACCGGCTCTTATGAAAAACCCTGCCATATACATTGTCTAACCTCATACATGTACCAGATTATAATACAACATAAGATATAGATAGATCTACACATACTGGTATACAAACGTAAATAAAATATAGATAGATCAACACATACTGGTATACAAACGTATATAAAATATAGATAGATCTACACATACTGGTATACAAACGTAAATAAAATATAGATAGATCAACACATACTGGTATACAAACGTATATAAAATATAGATAGATCTACACATACTGGTATACAAACGTATATAAAATATAGATAGATCTACACATACTGGTATACAAACGTATATAAAATATAGATAGATCTACACATACTGGTATACAAACATATATAAAATATAGATAGATCTATGTATATTGGTATATAACTAATAAATAGAATACCATGTATATTGATTTTAACTGAACAGACAAATATAAAACAGTTAGAATCAAGGGATAATATAAGCTTATCAATCTTTGACCTAAACACAGCCATCCCATTCTAAGCAGTTGTAACCTTCCAAAAAATAATAAAAAAAAAACTTGACGTCATGGTCACTTGTAATCAGACAATTCTTTAGTTGTTCTGTTCATTTTTATACTCAAATTAACAGGTATCCTCTTTATTTCAGGACTTTGATGTTTTGAAATTTTTTCCCTGGAATAAAGACATGGCTAAATTGAATGGCACTGTGAACACATCAGACATGGAACAGGGGGACAATGATGTTCCGATGCTGGAGCTAGGAACACACAACTATACCCTACCAAAATTAAGATATGTCAATATTTTTGGTGTCTTACTCATTGTGGATGCTGTTGTTGCTGTTGTCCTTTGGTTAACAGGTGAGAATATTTCTATGCTTTATGTCAGATTTATCTAGCAATAAGTCTATATTAATTCTTTGAATACTCCACAGGGCCTCAGGGTATTATAATTAGGCTCAGCATAATGAGGTCATGGTTTCAGTCTATTGTCGCGAGGCTTTTGAACTAGCTGTAACTACCAGCTTTCTGATTGGCAAAACATAATCCAATGATTTACCAGTGACCCCCAGCGACAGTCGTATGCTAAAAACAATGCCGACATCTTTCTAAACATTGTCATACATGTATACTTTCACTTTGAGACAATCAAGTATTATACTAAAAAGTTAACAAATTGACAGACTCTGTGTTCATGAAAATATTCAGGTTAAGGTTTACGTCATTCACGAATTAACATTGCTTCGGTTTTCAGAGGATTCTCCGTGGCCAAACAATATGGCGGAATGCACAGAATTATGGGAGCAATGATATCGATTCTTAGCTGTCAATCTAACGGTTGGCAACAAGTGATGATCAGTGACTGTGAGAGTCATAAAGACTCTTTAAGAATAGATTTTAAAATAATAAATATAATTAGTGACATCACAGATATAATCACAATACGCCTATTTTTAAGTTTCATATTGATATTTGTAAAATTGATGGAATGGAAAGGAGTTAAATTTTCCTCGATCGCCAGCAGCACTGTACATTATGTATCACACTTGAGGACAGCATCTTCAATTATATATCTCAAATTACTAAATAAAGAATGCGAAATGAAAACAACCAAGGTGTGACAATATGACTCTAGCAGGAACACCATCTTGGCATGTGTGTGTACGTTTTACACACATGCCATGGGTAATCGTGATGTGTCAGACACTCTTGCCTAAAATACTTCAAGAAGTTTCCAACATCGACAGATGAATTGTTAATATAATTATCATAATACATCCTTATATCACGTTTCATGTTGATATTGTAAAATTGGTTCAGTTGTGGAGAGATAAATTATGCACAAACCAGGTCAAATCACGATGATCTGCCCTTGTTCAATTGCTTAACTGCAATATGTTCTACCTCGTGTCAAATGGATCATTGTGCAACCAAAATGGTCGATTCCTTACCATCTCGTACACTACGTACGTCAGTGCTAGTACGCATCACACTGGTCATTTGTCTGGTGTAGGTGACCATGTAGATCTCATACACTACGTACGTCAGTGCTAGTAAGCATCACACTGGTCATTTTTCTGATGAAGGTGACTGTGTAGTCATCGAAATGTCACACTCCAACCTTCTACTGGTTGTATTATAAGAACTTACTTGAACATTGAAGCATGACTGGAGTTGATGTACAGATTGGCTGGTAGCACTGTACATATGATGTAGACAGAAGGATTAAAAAAAAACTTTGACTGTTATATATCATTATGTAAACAATACACTGTATGATACAAAAGTAGTCCTCTCTTTAAAATGTGAATTTTGAACATTTGTATATGTATATTAAGGCATGAAACATGAAAAATATCGCCTTATTTTAGGTAAATAGAGTATTGCTGTTACCAAAGTAGCACTCTGACATCAGTTATCACATAACCTCATTTGGCATTTAAAATATGCATATTCAACAGACTAAGCTAACAGGGCGAGTTTTGGCGGTCGTCTGTCTGCTGTGAGAGAGTTTTGGTGGCCGTCTGTGTGCTGTGATAGACAGACTATTACGGACGACATGCAATGAGTAGGCTGAAATATGGCATTATGAAACATTATAGCCAAAACCCTTTAAGAAAAAAAATGGTTGATGTTGCAAAATAACTATCATGGTAGTTGAAACCTTCCAAGTTGATATTAGTCCCTTGTTCATCTGAAATAATTAATGTAATTAATGTTTTTAAATTCCTTGTGTACTGCATTACATATAAATACATGAGTAAGTTATGCTTAAAGTACCATTGACTAGCAAACAATATCTGTTAGTGTTAATAAATTGTGTACAAGCAAACATAACCCAAATATTGCACAATATTTCTTTTTTGACTTTTCGGTTTGAAACAACTTATTCTAAGTGAAGGCATACGTATGTTAATTTTGCTGCATTAATTAGCCGAGATAAATCATGTGATAGTCAAATGTTCTGCAAGTTGTGCTGTTTAGAAGTTTGTTTACAAATAAAATTTTATGATATTAAAACACTTAACTAAATCATCAATATTTTTATTTATGAATTGAAATATTGTGATTACAATGCATGAAAAGTGACCCCCAGCAGCAGGTGATGCAGGAAAACACTAGGCCACTTGACTGGTTGTGATTGTTGATAGCAATCAAATATGATTTGATTAAAAAATTGAAATTTAATTTCATAATCTTAATATTTTCCAGATCTTTGACCCTTTTGTTCTTGTTTGACAGGTGGAGACTCAAAGTACTTTATAGATAGTATAACTCACTTCACCATGACAACGTCTGTATTTGACTTGGCTGTTCTCTCAGTGGTCAAGTTGGTGATCCTTTGCGGCATTGTGCTTCCATTGTTAGAAATGTCTTCGTACCAGCTGATAGAAATCAATCACACTACCCACAGACAGTTGAAGGCAAAAAAGACTCGTCTCCATACCTGTCTCATCTTAATCACCTTCCTACTACTGGCATATTCCACTACTAAAGGAGCTTTAGTTATATACTTGTTCAACGACACAGCAGACTACAAAGTGATGCATGCTACATACAATGCTTTAGTCATCTGTGCGTTTGTCTTCTGTCTGATTGAAGCATTACTTGCACTTTCAAGCTTCGTTATGATGAGGAGATTAAAGACCATCAGGATTCTCCATCGCTTCAATGATGATGGAGAGGAGATTGGGAAAGATGGGGAACCATTAAAGAGAAAAGTAACCTTTGCGAGACTGGCAGCTCTTGCTAAACCTGTAAGTAAGACAAAGTTCAGAACAATGCTTGAGAATTTTTCCAGGATGAGCCTGAGATGAAGGTTTTTTCGAGATTATACTGCAAATGACAATTATTCACCGTCTTTCATTTAAATCATTATTGCTGATCCCTGATTAAAGTTAGTTTACACATTTAAGTCTATCATCACTTTCAATTTTGTGTGGGTTAACAGAATCTTTCCCTTTGGTCAGTTAATGCTATAGGTGAATCACAGCCCAAGTAATTAGATTCATAGGTTGCAAAATATAGATGTTTTGAATTTTACCAAAAAACTTTTGATCTACAGCTAAGGTCTTTAAGCATAATCCTTCTCTTACTTTGTTCAATTTTTGTTGATTTGCAGAATTATGATGTCTTTCAAAAGTTGCCGTTCATACAAATGTTATATGGCTTTGAAACCCTTCATTATAACTCTTGGATGAGGCAGAATTTCAAACTGACAAATGTATTGATACACTTTTCAAAAGTAAAGGAATCATTTTTCTCAAATTTCAAAAGTTACTGTATTCTATAGTAATTGTATCTGTAGATTTTCCAGGTCATTTGTTCAAAAGTCAAGACCGATTTTTTTTATAAAAAGTAGTTCTTAATTATTTGAGAAATAATTTTTATAAACAAACTCATCATCTCAACAGTTATATGGCTGCTCTATTGAATTTCTTGCCAAAATCCTCCAGGTGCCTTTGGTTTCATCACTTTGGACAATAATTGTCAGCTCGAAATTTGGATCTTTGTTGAGATCAACATTCTTATTGTTATTGTTTATATAAAATGCAGAGATAAACAATCAGACCTGTCATGTTGAACTTTACTCGAAATATTCCAGGCGTGCAATTACAATTAATCCAAAGTTTTCTGTTGACTGAAGAAGCTGGTGACATAGCATAAAGTGGTTGTGTACTTGGCGACACAGTGATTCTCTCTTGTTTTAAGATTTGCAAGATGAACACAACAGGTTTTTTTTGTCAACGAGAACACCATCAAGTCCATTATTGCATCAAAACAAAAAAAGTTTTAAATTATACAATGGAAACTGTTTAATTAATTGTAGATGCATTTTTCAGGTTTTTTTTAAAAACCTGGCAATGAAGTCTGTGGCAAGTACTTAAACTGAGATTAATATTTTGTCCCCAGGAATTAGGCCTGCTTGGACTTGCCTCCTTTGGTCTTTTGTTTTCCAGTGCTTCACAGATGGTTGCACCACTATTCTTCGGAAAGGTGGTTGATGCTGCACAGCATAGTATCAGTAAGTATAAGATCCATTGATGTCTAGTTGTATCTATGTCATTGTCTTTGCGTTCCCTAGCCACAAGTTGGATCCAATGCATATGGGGCAGGGGGGTGGGGTGGGGGGGAACGGGTGATAACAATATCAGGTTGACATGATTATAAACAGGTGTCTCAGATTTTAAGAAAATTCCAAATGGATAGATATTTAAGGTACAATAAATTGGCAAAAAAAGGCATGATTAAATTTCAGATTGCAAATCCTAGTCTGATTACCTCCCTTCTTAAAGTTGCTTAATGGTAGACAGTTCCTTTTATAGTTACAACACCTGTAAGTTCTTAACTGTTTAGCTTCTGTGAGGTTTTAAGTTAAACATACTTGACACAATAAAATTGAGCAAACACTAACTGTAAAGCAATGATAAATATGTGCATCCCAAACAATTACTATGTGTAGAGCAGCTTAACAAAACTTAAGTTAGTGCATTCATGTTTAAGTACAGTTACTTTACTTACAGTGTGAAAGTGTAAAGATAAGATTACCACTAACAAATGTTTACAGGACGTGTGTATTACTAATTAGTTCATATATGTATTATCCTTTACTCAGAAAAAGACTTGTTTGTTACTTATTTTGTTATATAAATTCTGTATTGGCCTGTATTAAGAAAACAGTAGGGCTTTTCACTAACTTGTGTATTGTTTTTGTTCTGTTTCTTATTCTTCTTATTATTATTCTTATTATGCTTCTTCCAATTTTGTGGGTTCGTAATCTTTCAAATTTTAAAAGCTAGATATACATTCTATTCACCTATTTGTAGATACGTATATGAACTTGTCGCTGCCGATTTTGTAAGTAGGTAAAAAATCCAATATGGCCGCCATGACATCATAAGTTAAAAACTTTAAAACGTCAATATCTCAAAAACCATTGATTGTACAGAGTTGGTGCAATTATATTATTTGTAGAGAATTTCCTTATCTAAATTTTTGTCATGACATGTTATCAGAGAATATGTTGATTAAAAAAGCTCGCTGTTGGGTAAAGTTTTCAAAATTTAACAAATTTTTAATTTTTTTTTCAATTTTGAACTTTCTTGAAATTTTCTTCTTCAGATCGATGCAGAACGTCCTTCCGATGAATTTAGTGTTTTCAGTTCTTCTGAAACGTTTACCATTTCATCTGTACGCCATTTTGAAAATTTCCTTTGATCTTTTAAAAATGCCGACAAATAGGAAAAACTCGTTCTAGAACAATATTGATGGGCTATATTTTATCAAATTGTTACTGAAAAGATTTCCCCAGATGTCTTCTACCATTTAGTGACATATTCAAATTCATCAGAAAAACAAAATGGCTGCCATGACGTCATATCCGATTTTACCTAAAATGCTGTAACTCAAGAACTGTTTCAGCTATAGTGACCTCAGTTTTAATCATATTATGTAAATTAATAAGAAAACACTTTTCACAAGAAAAAAACTGGGATCAAAGGTCAACTTCCGGTCTTCGGTAGGGGTCAAAGTTCAAAAGTGTTATTTTAAATAACAAACTTTGACAAACTTCTTCTCTAGTTCTGCAAAGCCTTGAGTCTTGATATTTCATGTGTAAGATGTCTGATCAATTATCTATCAAGTTTGTTAATATAAATGACCTTGACCCACTTCCAAGGTCACAGGGTTCAATTATGTAAAAATCGTTAAATGGTAATTTCTCCTTTGTTAAGCTGCCCAAAGTCTTCAACTTTAAACATAAATATTCTGTGGACATTTCCTGTCGAGTGATATAAGAGAAACTTCCCTCAAAATGTCAACTGCCGGTTTCCCAAAGTGGTCAAAGTTCAAATATACAAAATAGGGTACCAATGTTCAACAATCTTCTTGTCAAGTTTCACAAGGTCTACAGAACTGATATTGGGGATATATTGATCATCAGATGTTACATTATAAGGCTTGCAAATATGAATAACCTTGACCGACATTCAAGGTCACAGGGTTCAAATAAGTTTGAACCTTTAAAAAGTGTATTTCTTCGTTATTATGAAGTTATATCTCCTTAATGTTTCAAGATTCAAAGTTCATCTTTGGATATGTTGTAGAGACTAACAAACAAGGAATCTTTCTCATATTTTGTTATCAGGATAAATGTCAACTTTCGGTCAACTTGTCGCCAAAGCAGTGAAAAGCCCGCCAAATTGTTAACAACAATTTCTAGTTAATATTTGTATTATTCTATATATCATTATCAACTGGTCATTGATAAAATGATGAAAAATGAGATCATATTTCAGGTGAGTTAACGAGAACTGTACTTATCATGCTGGGAATTTACCTGGTGGGGAACTTCTTTGCAATGATACGTGCCTGGCTGTTTACACTAGCAGGAATGAGGCTGGTTGCTCGGTTACGTAAACGTCTCTTTAACTCCATCATTCAACAAGAAGTGGCTTTCTTTGATGTAAACAGGTACATTGATAACTGGTATTTAAAAGCTATATGTTTGATGCAATTCAGTGACCCCTGAATCGGTAACTCTTCAATGAAATTGACTGAGATGTTCTTGTTTTCCTTTGAAATTATACAAATGATGCTCTTGAAGATAAGTTAGAGTTCGAGTTCAGGGTCGACATTGCACAAAATCATGTCAAAGTGTTTAAATGTGTCATTACAGGGCAGGAAACTACTGCAATCCATGTTAATCCATTGTTAAGAAGTCACATATTTCATTTTAAATGTTGTAGATAAAAGTAGTAGGCTGTTCAGTCAAACCCGTACAAAGGTTGTAGATAAAAGTAGTAGGCTATTCAGTCAAACCCGTACAAAGGTTGTAGATAAAAGTAGTAGGCTATTCAGTCAAACCCGTACAAAGGTTGTAGATAAAAATAGTAGGCTGTTCAGTCAAACCCGTACAAAGGTTGTAGATAAAAGTAGTAGGCTATTCAGTCAAACCCGTACAAAGGTTGTAGATAAAAGTAGTAGGCTATTCAGTCAAACCCGTACAAAGGTTGTAGATAAAAGTAGTAGGCTGTTCAGTCAAACTTGTACTAAGACAGCAGTTAAAAGTGATTATTTAATTTAACCTGTCCAAAAGACTGGTATGTCTCTGATTTTTCAGGATTTCAATCATCAATTCTATTTTTTGATCTTCAGGACTGGTGAACTCTGTAATCGGTTAGCATCAGACACATCAGTGCTACAAAATGCTATCACAGTGAGTATATACAATCAAACAAGACCACATCTATGTGAGGTATATAGACTGACTGGAAATCCAGTCAGTCTAGAGACCTCACATGTTTACCTCTATAAAGGGACCACTGGTGTCAGGAGATCAATAAGTCAATAGACTTCAACTCTCTACCTCTATAAAAGGACTATTGTTGCTATGGGATCCAGAGAATCCAGTGATTTAATGATTTTATCTATTTACATCTGTAAAGGGACCAGTAGTTTCAGGTGGTTCGAAAAGTCAAGAGATTACTTTAGCAGAGGTCACCTCAGTCCATTTTATTGTCTTTGTGACTCCACCTATTGCCAGAATTTGCCTTGACAAAAGTGTCATCTGTGTTCATCTTCAATAGAATTTCAATCTACAGATATTGCTAAGGTTGCCCTATCAACATCACATCTCATCAACACACTTAGGGGACAACCTCAATAACCTCTTTCAAATATCATGGTGGATTTTTTTCTGGAATGTATACATGAATTAATGTTATGAAAAAATGTTTGCACAACTCTTAAAACTCTTACTGTGTTATAGATATGGGGTATATCCGGGGGTATGTGGGAATGTGGGAAATATGTGGGGGGTATGTGGGAATGTGGGAAATATGTGGGGGGTATATGGGAATGTGGGAAATATGTGGGGGGTATATGGGAATGTGGGAAATATGTGGGGGGTATGTGGGAATGTGGGGGTATGTGGGAATGTGGGAAATATGTGGGGTATATTTGGGAATGTGGGAAATATGTGGGAAATATGTAGGGAATAGGTCGGGGATATGTGGGAAAAATGTTGGAGATATTAGGGGATTATGTGAGAAATATGTTGGAGATATTTGGGGATTATGTGAGAAATATGTAGAGAATATGTCGAGAGAATGCTAGAAGATCAACAAAAGTAGCATTGCAGTGCAAATAACATCAAATCCAAATTACTAAGGACAGACAAGTCTTGGAAAGAGATAATCATAATCATGTTTACGCTTTCAATTTTCAGTTTCTCCAACATGATCACTAAATAAACACTGATCTGTTTATCCACAGGTGAATGTGTCAATGTTGGTGAGGAACATACTTCAGCTGATTGGTTCCCTTGGTTTCATGTTCTACCTGAATCCCTCGTTAACAGGTGTGCTCTTATCAGTTGTACCTATCGTGTCACTGGGAGCTGTCCAGTATGGTAAGTAAAACCCCCTCGTTAACAGGTGTGCTCACATCAGTTGTACCTATCGTGTCACTGGGAGCTGTCCAGTATGGTAAGTAAAACCCCCTCGTTAACAGGTGTGCTCGCATCAGTTGTACCTGTCATGACTATTGGACAGTTAGCTATGTAGAGTGATATGATAGAATGTTTATAAGGTTTTTCACTTAGTTGACATTGTACTGTGTGTAACAGGAAATTAATATGTATTGTACTGTGTGAAACAGGAAGTTAATATATATTGTACTGTGTGAAACAGGAAGTTAATATATATTATACTGTGAGTAACAGGAAGTTAATATATATTGTACTGTGTGTAACAGGAAATTAATATATATTGTACTGTGTGAAACAGGAAGTTAATATATATTGTAGTGTGTGAAACAGGAAGTTAATATATATTGTACTGTGTGAAACAGGAAGTTTATATATTTTGTACTGTGAGTAACAGGAAGTTAATATATATTGTACTGTGTTTAACAGGAAATTAATATATATTGTACTGTGTGAAACAGGAAGTTAATATATATTGTACTGTGTGAAACAGGAAGTTAATATATATTGTACTGTGTGTAACAGGAAGTTAATATATATTGTACTTTGTGAAACAGGAAGTTTATATATATTGTACTGTGTGTAACAAGAAGTTAATATATATTGTACTGTGAGTAACAGGAAGTTAATATATATTGAACTTTGTGAAACAGGAAGTTTATATATATTGTACTGTGTGTAACAAGAAGTTAATATATATTGTACTGTGTGTAACAGGAAGTTAATATATATTGTACTGTGTGAAACTGGAAGTTAATATATATTGTACTGTGTGAAACAGGAAGTTAATTTATATTGTACTGTATGTAACAGGAAGTTAATATATATTGTACTGTGTGTAACAGGAAGTTAATTTATATTGTACTGTGTGTAACAGGAAGTTAATATATATTGTACTGTGTGAAACAGGAAGTTAATATATATTGTACTGTGTGTAACAGGAAGTTAATACATATTGTACTGTGTGTAACAGGAAGTTAATATATATTGTACTGTGTGTAACAGGAAGTTAATATATATTGTACTGTGTGTAACAGGAAGTTAATACATATTGTACTGTGTGTAACAGGAAGTTAATATATATTGTACTGTGTGTAACAGGAAAGTCATTGAAAAACCTCTGGAATACATAGTTTATTATAGTGGTGTTCTGTGTTTAATAGGAAAGAGTTTATGAGAATGATATTCCATGTGTAACAGGAAAGCTATTGAAAAACCTTCGGAAGAAGTTCCAAGACAAGTTAGCTGATGCTGGAACCATGGCAGAGGAGAGTTTATCCAGTATACGCACTGTACGAACATTTTCAGCCGAAGGAAAGGCTGGACACTTGTATGGAGTTGAGATAGATGGGAGTTACAACATTGGAAAAAAACTGGCGTTTATCACAGGTTAGGTTATTAATATATTCATATAAATGTAAAGTCTTTAATGGTAGAATAACTTGTACATATCACCGTGTGGTAACTGAGTATTTTTCTCTCACTTTGGACCAAATGTTTGGTAATACATATTTGGTAATAACCAACCTCATAATAGCAAATTGAAATACCAAATGTAACTGTATTTGGAAAGATTAGTAGAGCTTGATCTAAAATCACAGAACAAGGCAAACAGCCTTGTTTGATATCTATTGTTAAGTTGAGGAGGTATGTAAGCTACAATGATCAAACACTGCTTCACACCGCTTTTCATTGTGACAACACCAGCTGTAGTATATTTCCGTAACAGGGGCAGGATATACTGAAATCAGATTGTCCATCCATCTGTAATAATAATGATAATAATAAATTTATTCAGGAAAGATTTGCACAAATGTATACAAAGCATGATAAATAAAATACATGTTACATAGTACATAAGGTGAAAAATTGACATAAATAAAACATGCAACACCGGAACATAAAATCACAATAAAGACAGCTGATATATGTTAAACAAATCTATCCAAGGATAGCCCAAAAGGGGTAATAATATACGCTTATTTCTGTTGGGGTCCTTCAAAATATGTCTCTGTAACAGGGGCAGGATATAATGAAAACAGATTGTCCGTCCATCTGTAGTATATCTCTGTAACAGGGACAGGATATAATGAAAACAGATTGTCCGTCCATCTGTAGTATATCTCTGTAACAGGGACAGGATATAATGAAAACAGATTGTCCGTCCATCTGTAGTATATCTCTGTAACAGGGACAGGATATAATGAAAACAGATTGTCCGTCCATCTGTAGTATATCTCTGTAACAGGGACAGGATATACTGAAATCAGATTGTCTGTCCATCTGACTGTGTACAAGATATTCTCCGGACCATTCCTCCTACAGTTTACTTCGTGAAGCTCTGGATGTAGTCATCCTATATCTCATGCTGCCCTGTGTTAGGTTTTCTAGTCTCACCAGGTCCCGTATTGATGTAATGTGATCTCAGGATTGAAATGGTGTGATATACAAATGTATTTCTGATGATCAGAGAAAAGAGAAATAATGAACTATGATGGAAAAAATGAGAAATAGTTGAATAAGTTTTTTGTGATTTCAATGCCTAACGTACAAGAAACAGAATCAGCTGTATAGATTTGAGATGACTGGTATCTCGTTCTTGTCTCCAGTAACTTTCAATTCTCAGCCTTAAATGAAATTTTGTTACAGTTAATATCTGCCCAGACTGAGATATATCCATCTCAAACACATATAGTTCAGATATTTTCTGCTAAACCTATATATTCTGTTCCACATGGGAACACTTTCTAGCTCCCTGGATTTCCCCTCGGAATTCCCTGAGAATTTCCAGTGTTTTGCTGCTTTCTGTTTAGATTATGTATGATGATTGATAATTGTGTTATCTCTTGCTATAGGTGGTTTCACAGGCCTGATTGGTACTGTCGCTTACGGTGCTATAACTGTTGTTCTGTGGTACGGAGGAAAGTTGGTGTATGATAATGAACATGGGAAACCGACTGGACTGACTCCTGGTGTCCTCACCTGTAAGTAGGGGCAGATAACTCAATCATAGTTTGGTTATTCCTGTCACTTCAAAACAGGCTTTATCTTCATGAAATATTTCTGTTTTTTTTTCTTTTCAGCATTTTTACTGTACACACTGCAGGTGGCTTTGGCTTTTACTTTTACAACAGCTCTCTACGGAGAATTCATGCAGGTAAACTTTTACTTTAACATTTCTTACAATTCCTTCAAAGAAATTATGATCTTTGTACTTACAGATAAGCACAAGCAGTCCTAATGACCTTTCACTCAACTATTCCACCTTTGTTCACCTACACCTTTGATATATTGCCTTTCAGTTGAATGTCCTATACCTCATACTAAGCCGTCATTAAGAACTTTCCCAACAGAGACAAAGTGACAAGTTAGATATTTATGCAACATTTTTGTCCTGCAGGCTGTTGGAGCATCTATCCGAGTATTTGAGTTACTAGACAGACAGACTAAAGTCTCCAATGAAAACGGCGTTGTTCTTGGATTTATAGATGGCAGTAAGTTGAGGTCACTTCTATCACCTGGAACTAAAAAAAAAATGTGTTTTTATTACCCAATATCTGGTTGTGTTGAACCCAAATTCTCATTTACTAATATAGGCCAGAAGAGGTTTGAAACCTTCAGATATGATATCAGAATTTGTCATTAGCAATTCTGAATCTTGTGAGGCTGATGTGTTTCAAAAGCTATCAAGGGATGGAAATATTTTGCAAATGTATTTGTGGAAAAGGCTCTTTCTTTGTGATGGAAAAGATTTGGTTATGTGTAACTAAAGGAGGGGATACATAAAGACATTCTGCGTGTCTATACGTTCAACATATCTCTTAATCATATTTAGTTCATATTCACCCTATTGCTTCACCTACCAAGATGTAGAATTATTTTTAGCAGTCAAAGTTAAAGGTCAAAGGCCAATACTGACTAGGTCTGGATGCTGTATGGTCCATCAAGCATCTGGTGCCTTGTTCATTTTCCTTATCACTCATCTTCATAGTGAACATTGAAAATCAGTGACTGTTGTATATGTTTTTCTTTCAAATTACAGAAGTGGAGTTTGACAATGTCAAGTTTACATATCCATCACGACCAGAAACAGAAGTTCTTAAGGTTGGTATCTACTTTTGTACATATGTAAGTAAATGTCCTTTGTAGAACCTGTCTTATCAAGGCCCTGTCTTATCCAAATCAAATGGTGTCTTATCATACCCCCCTGAAGTTTTGGATGGGGGGAGGTATATTTGCATCACTCTGTGTGGTCTGAACATCCAACCGTCTGTCTGTCCAGTGTATCTGTTATGCATCGTTCTGAAAAGAACAGGCAGCCATTATGGACTTTGGCACTATTTCTACACAACTGCGTGATGGAGCTTTCTCAAATTTCATATGTAGGGTTCCCTAGGCACCTAGTTGTGCATTGTACCTTTATAAGAATCATCACATAAAGAATGATCATTAATCTGTCGATGATGGACGAGATATCTTGTTTCAGTTCATTTACCTGCTAAATGAACATGTATTTCTACGTGATGCATTTATTGTTTAAAGTTTCATTAGAATGAAACTATAGGCCTTTGACTGTGCATAAATCCCTCTGAGTCTGGATAGCATTACCATTTTATATTCAATATACTGCCTCCCTTCAGTAGATACAATGTTTTATTACCCACCACCCCAACCCTACAACCAGAATAGGTATACTGGAATCAGATTAGTCTATCCATTTTACGTACACACAACATTGTACCAACTACTCCTCCTAAACAACTTAAGTGATTTCAACAATAGTCCTTGGCTATAATCCTGACACATGCAGCTTTCGAAATGAGTTATCTCCCCTTTTTTAGAAACTTACGTCCCTTTTGGAACTCAAGAATATACCAGGAGGGTGAGGGGGGGGGAGTAATGAGTTGACCCCAGACAACAGTTCTAGTTAAGATCCTCTCTAATCCATATCCCCTCTTATCTAGATCAGCTGACATTTCTGTAAACCAGTCAGATCTACCAACCCCTATACAACAGACACCTCTGTAAACAGGTCAGATCTACCAACCCCTATACAACAGACACCTCTGTAAACCAGTCAGATCTACCAACCCCTATACAACAGACACCTCTGTAAACCAGTCAGATCTACCAACCCCTATACAACAGACACCTCTGTAAACCAGTCAGGTCTACCAACCTCTATACAACAGACACCTCTGTAAACCAGTCAGATCTACCAACCCCTATACAACAGACACCTCTGTAAACCAGTCAGATCTACCAACCCCTATACAACAGACACCTCTGTAAACCGGTCAGGTCTACCAACCCCTACACAACAGACACCTCTGTAAACCAGTCAGATCTACCAACCCCTATACAACAGACACCTCTGTAAACAGGTCAGATCTACCAACCCCTATACAACAGACACCTCTGTAAACCAGTCAGGTCTACCAACCTCTATACAACAGACACCTCTGTAAACCAGTCAGATCTACCAACCCCTATACAACAGACACCTCTGTAAACAGGTCAGATCTACCAACCTCTATACACCGGACACCTCTGTAAACAGGTCAGATCTACCAACCCCTGTACAACAGACACCTCTGTAAACAGGTCAGATCTACCAACCCCTATACAACAGAACCCTCTGTAAACCAGTCAGGTCTACCAACCTCTATACAACAGACACCTCTGTAAACCAGTCAGATCTACCAACCCCTATACAACAGATACCTCTGTAAACGGGTCAGATCTACCAACACCTATAAAAAAGACAACTCTGTAAACAGGTCAGATCTACCAACCCCTATACAACAGAACCCTCTGTAAACCAGTCAGATCTACCAACCCCTATAAAACAGAAACCTCTGTTAACCAGTCAGATCTACCAACCCCTATACAACAGACACCTCTGTAAACCAGTCAGATCTACCAACCCATATACAACAGACACCTCTGTAAACAGGTCAGATCTACCAACCCCTATACAACAGACACCTCTGTAAACCAGTCAGATCTACCAACCCCTATAAAACAGACACCTCTGTAAACCAGTCAGATCTACCAACCCCTATACAACAGACACCTCTGTTAACCGGTCATATCTACCAACCCCTATTAAAAAGACACCTCTGTAAACCGGTCAGATCTACCAACCCCTATACAACAGACACCTCTGTAAACCAGTCAGATCTACCAACCCCTATAAAACAGACACCTCTGTAAACCAGTCAGGTCTACCAACCCCTATACAACAGACACCTCTGTAAACCAGTCAGGTCTACCAACCCCTATAAAACAGACACCTCTGTAAACCAGTCAGATCTACCAACCCCTATACAACAGACACCTCTGTAAATCGACAATGTTAGATGTATACATGTTTTGATTTAGACTGACACCTTCTTTTTTTGCTTTTTGTTTTTTTACAAATGATCATCAAATGCTTATTCTATCATATTACTTGTTGGCAGGGTATATCTTTCACTTTGGAGCCTGGTAAGGTACTGGCACTCGTGGGGCCCTCTGGTGGTGGAAAATCGACCATCGTCAATCTAATAGAAAGATTATACGATCCCAATTCAGGAGTGGTATATTTAGGTTTGTTGAAGACTTAAAATATAGAATTGAATTTTTGATTAATTTCCCAATAGATGTAGTTTAAGTTAATTTCTTAACAATAATTTTAACATTTTTATTACTGTTTGCAAAGATGTTGTACATGTACAGGGTGTTCCAATAACAGTTTTAAATGTTGGTTTTATATCAATATTTTGTAACTGACATACTTATGTCAAATCAGTTGATAATTAGACAGTTACACAGTAAGACAGTTACACAGCAAGACAGTTGAACAGCAAAATAGTTGTACAGCAAGATACACAGTAAGACAGTTGTACAGTGAGATACACAGCTAGATAGTTGTACAGCAAGATAGTTGTACAGTAAGATACACAACAAGACAGTTATACAGCAAGATAGTTGTACAGCAAGACAGTTGTACAGTAAAATAGTTGTACAGTAAGATACACAGCAAGACAGTTGTGCAGTAAGACAGTTGTACAGAAAGATAGTTGTACAGTAAGATACACAGCTAGACAGTTGTACAGCAAGACAGTTGTACAGAAAGATAGTTGTACAGTAAGATACACAGCAAGACAGTTGTACAGTAAGATACACAGCAAGACAGTTGTACAGCAAGATAGTTGTACAGTAAGATACACAGTAAGACAGTTGTACAGCAAGATAGTTGTACAGAAAGATAGTTGTACAGTAAGATACACAGCAAGACAGTTGTACAGCAAGATGCACAGCAAGACAGTTGTACAGCAAGATAGTTGTTCAGTAAGATACACAGCAAGACAGTTGTACAGCAAGATACACAGCAAGATAGTTGTTCAGTACGATACACAGCAAGACAGTTGTACAGTAAGATACACAGCAAGACAGTTGTACAGCAAGACAGTTGTACAGTAAGACAGTTGAACAGCAAGATAGTTGTACAGTAAGATACAAGTAAGACAGTTACACAGCAAGACAGTTGAACAGCAAAATAGTTGTACAGCAAGACAGTTGTACAGCAAGATGCACAGTAAGACAGTTGTACAGTGAGATACACAGCTAGATAGTTGTACAGTAAGATACACAGCTAGACAGTTGTACAGCAAGACAGTTGTACAGAAAGATAGTTGTACAGTAAGATACACAGTAAGACAGTTGTACAGCAAGATAGTTGTACAGAAAGATAGTTGTACAGTAAGACAGTTGTACAGAAAGATAGTTGTACAGTAAGATACACAGCAAGACAGTTGTACAGTAAGATACACAGCTAGACAGTTGTACAGCAAGACAGTTGTACTGCAAGATAGTTGTACAGCAAGATAATTGTTGTACAGTAAGATAAACTGGAAAAAAAACTGAACAACATGTGCTATTATGTCTCTTGTTGTCTTTTAGCATTTATCCAGTGATAAGCCCATGCCTGGTAATAAGCCCACCTGTATATATATTTATTGCCAGGTCAGCAGAAATGACAACATATGCTATATCATTGTCCTGTGATAAGTCCACCCCTTTACAATGAGTGAGATTTTTCTTGTACTGGCTCTAAGCTTATTGCATTTAGTAAGTGGAAATGGTTTCACCTTTGATGAAGTGTTATAACCCTAAATAAACATTTATTATCCAGGAGGCAACAACCTGCGTGAACTGGAACCTCGTTGGTTTCGCCAGAAAATCTCAATGGTTAGTCAGGAACCCACATTGTTTGCATGCAGCATTAAAGAAAACATAGCCTATGGAAAGACTGCAACAGACGAAGAGGTCAGTAAGTGCTAGGGACTTCATTTACTGTTAAAAATATAACCTTTTCTTGATGTTTAACTCAAGGTTTTGGAGTTCTAGTTAAGTTAACTGTAACACCTTTACTTGAAGTTTAACTCAAGGTTTCAGGAGTTCTAGTTAAGTTAACTGTAACACCTTTACTTGATGTTTAACTCAAGGTTTTGGAGTTCTAGTTAAGTTAACTGTAACACCTTTACTTGATGTTTAATGCAAGGTTTCAGGAGTTCTACTTAAGTTAACTGTAACACCTTTACTTGAAGTTTAACTCAAGGTTTTGGAGTTCTAGTTAAGTTAACTGTAACACCTTTACTTGATGTTTAACGCAAGGTTTCAGGAGTTCTAGTTAAGTTAACTGTAACACCTTTACTTGATGTTTAACTCAAGGTTTCAGGAGTTCTAGTTAAGTTAACTGTAACACCTTTACTTGATGTTTAACGCAAGGTTTCAGGAGTTCTAGTTAAGTTAACTGTAACACCTTTACTTGATGTTTAACGCAAGGTTTCAGGAGTTCTAGTTAAGTTAACTATGTTATGTGTTGTATGCTGATACAGAGGATTATAATACTCTGGACGAGTTCAAGGTTAATGTAACTGCCACTTTTTAAGTCATCTGACCCGGAGGGTCATGATGACCTTTAGCCATAGTGCTACATCTGTCGTCGTCTGGCGTGCCTAAACTTTTGACATTTTAAACTTATTCTCCAGTTCCAAGTTGACCTAGTGTTGTTATTTTTCAGGTCAATCTAAGATCCAAGATGGCCACCATGGCCGTGATAGTCACCATCTTTTTAAACTTCTTCTCTAGTGTCACTGATGCCACTGAGCCTAAAATGCTTTTGCTGTCTCGCATTTACATAGCAGCCAGCTGTGGCAGCCATTTTGTAACATGGAGTGACAAAGATTCAGGCCACAGATCTTTGTAAACATCATTGTGAAAACACAATTATTTCTGAAGTTTTTGAGGCAGACAGAAGGTCAGGGCCCCAAATGTTACTCCTCCTTAAATGTCATTGGGTAGGACACATTTCTAATATATAGGCAGGATTAACCCGTTTTGACAAAAGGGCTGTGCCTTCAGAAAGGAAAGTGACTCTGATTTAGGGTTGAATGCTGTCTGAAAAACTTTACTGTTGAAAGATATGTAACACTTGTTACAGTTACCTACTCCTAACCAAAACTACCATCTGCATCATCGAAAATAGCTTCTTAGTAAGATTTCATTCAAAGTAAAATAAATACTGCTTCTCCTTGCTTGTAGTTAAATGTCTTAGGCATCTTGTTTTTATTCAGTTTTGTTCAATGTACAAATACATTGAGACTGAATATTATTACTGTCAGAAACATTTCCTAGTCTTGGTAAAAATCCTAGTTTGTCATTATGATGGAACTGTTAGAAACATATCCTAGTCTTGGTAAAATACTAGTTTGTCATTATGATGGAATGTCAAAAATATCTCAAATTCTGTACCACTTTGGCATCCTGTTGTTTGGGTTTGTTATTGTCTCAGATATCGGTGATTACTGGACACAGCTAGCAGTGTTATAAATTTGCTTCCGTAGCATGGGAGAGTTTAATTACTGATATTACAGACTTTGAAGAATTGATATTAAACTTCAGCATTAGATCTTCTTAAATAATTTGTATTTTCAACTTTCAAAATAATTTGGAAAGTAGCCCCAAATATTCTGAAGAATGATCAATCAACCATGTCTTGAATGCTTTCACAGAACTAAAAACTAATTACAGATTGAAGAGGCAGCAAAGCAGGCAAATGCTCATGGGTTTATCTGTGAGTTTGAGAAAGGTTACGAGACACTTGTTGGTGAGAGGGGCATTCGTCTGTCTGGGGGACAGAAACAACGCATAGCCATCGCCCGTGCCCTGATAATGGACCCAGTACTTCTTCTACTGGACGAGGTTTGTTTTTTCTAATTTAGTGTATTTCATATGTATAATTGGTACAATATGATTTTTAAATGTAACATAATGCTTGATTTTTGTACCTACTATGAGTTTTTCCGTTAGATTTGAAGGTAATTACTAAATCGGGTGTGCCGTTTCCACCTATGGAGGTTTAGGTGGAGTTGGTTACAGTTGAATGAAAATCTTGTACAAAGTGACAGATTTCCACAGCATTTTAATTTGGTGTTCGACTTCAGTACTTCAGGGAGTACAAATATACTTACTTTGAATTCCAGTGAAAAATCCCTATTTAGGTGGAGTTTTTGCACTTTGCACTTAGCATATTGTGCAAGGTACCAGCTTTCACATAGTCCTGGTATATTGGAAAGGAACATTTCTGTGGCTTTTGAAAATATGCATTCTTCATTTTCAAAAAATGATTTCCAATTAATCTGGAAATTATTTTATAGGTTTACTGCTATTATGTGATGGGACCCAGTCCAGTGAACTTTTATTTTTTGAAATCTTGAAACGAACTTTTGAAGTTTACTTCCTGTGTCAAATAATTCTTACAATAGATTCAAGCTAGGGGAATGACACTATCAAGTTTGCAATAAAAACATGTATTGAGTATTTCACAGACTTCGGGTAAATGTTTTCGTTTGTTTTCTAACAGGCTACCAGTGCGTTAGATGCCGAAAGTGAGCATCTTGTCCAAGAAGCAGTAGAAAGAGCCATGAAGGGTCGTACTGTCATTGTGATCGCACATAGATTGTCCACAGTTAGAAATGCTTCACAGGTAAATCAACACAGACCTATCCTACAGTTCTTTGGAAAAACCTTACCAGCAATTCTCTTAACCGATCTCCACTACAGCTCTTTCCAATAACCTCACCAACAGCTCTCTCCGCTGAAAACCCCTACATTTCTCTTCAGAACGTTCACCTACATTTCTGTCTGCAGATCCCAACTACAGTTCTTTCCAGAGACTTCAACTAGAGTTCTCTCTGCAGAACTCAACTACAGTTCTTTCCATAGACAGCAACTAGAGTTCTCTCTGCAGAACTCAACTACAGTTCTTTCCATAGACAGCAACTAGAGTTCTCTCTGCAGAACTCAACTACAGTTCTTTCAAGAGACTTCAACTAGAATTCTCTCTGCAGAACTCAACTACAGTTCTTTCCATAGACAGCAACTAGAGTTCTCTCTGCAGAACTCAACTACAGTTCTTTCATAGACAGCAACTAGACTCTGCAACTAGACAGTTCTTTCAAGAGACTCTGCAGAACTCAACTACAGTTCTTTCCATAGACAGCAACTAGAGTTCTCTCTGCAGAACTCAACTACAGTTCTTTCCATAGACTTCAACTAGAGTTCTCTCTGCAGAACTCAACTACAGTTCTTTCCATAGACAGCAACTAGAGTTCTCTCTGCAGAACTCAACTACAGTTCTTTCCATAGACAGCAAGTTCTCTCTAGAACTCAACTACAGTTCTTTCTCTCTGAGTTCTCTCAAGAACTCAACTACAGTTCTTTTAGACCAACTAGAGTTCTCTCTGCAGAACTCAACTAGAGTTCTCTCTGCAGAACTCAACTACAGTTCTTTCCATAGACCTCACCTGCACTTCTCTACACAAACAACTCCTATTTTACATACAACATCCATTAACATTTGGCACAGACTCTTCACAATGATGAAAATGTCCAATATCAAAATGCTGTGTGCGGTATAATACTTGTTTCCTGTGTAGCTATACATGTATGTTAACTAATAGTAAATATTCTAGATAGTTAAAGGCTTACCTACAAATAAAGTGTCTCATAAAGTGCCCCAAAATATTTAGTTATAATATGAAGGGCCAGCTTTTTAGGCAAGTGTTTCCCAAATAAATGAAGAAATTAAATGTATGTAAAAAATTGAAATATTGTCCTAAACATGATATATATTTTGTGTTAATACATTTCATAATGTTTCAACACGGATGGTATTATGAGCATTGTCTAACCATTAACAAATGAAAATTCTAGTCATGAGTATATCATTGTCACCAAGTTGATCTGATGAGATACACTATGTACAAGTAGAATGTCACAAATACACCCCTTTGCATAAAAGCTGTTGGATTTTAAACATCACTCAATAATACCAACGAAATGGGAATGCTCCGTAAAGGCCTGTGTATCAATAGGAATAACCACGAAACAGCTGGTAGTTGTAAATCATTTTCTGGTTAAATTATTGATAAGGATTCTTTGTCGTTGTCTTCAAGTAGAATGGAATCAGGACAGCTAATGCCTCAACATTCTGAGCAGCTAGTAGGGCAGACAAGTCAATTACACTGAATGATTTTCAGCAACTATTGGGGGGCAGGGGGCAGAGGGCAGCCCATCACAGTCATCCGGCTTCTGAGGACATTGTCCCTGTATCCATTCTTGTACTTGTAAATATACTCCTTTGTATGGAAGGAGGAAGTAAGTCAAGTCAGAACAAGCACAAGCAAACTGATGAGAACCAAACAGAGCTTACTTAATATTGCACTAGAATATTTATCGATGAATTCCTGATGACACCAACATAGATTTCAAAACTGAATCATGAATATATTAATGTTTCAAATTGTTCACACAAAATCCTAGACAGAACTGTAAATATGACATTAAGATATCCTATATCCAAGTATTTCATGTTGTCTATAATTTACGTATAATTGTTTGTCCATATTTTCAGGTAATTGTAATTGACAAAGGCGTTGTAGCTGAGAGTGGGATGCATGACCAACTTATCGCTAAAGATGGAGTATACAAACGTCTCGTCCTACGTCAACTGATGGCCGGCACAGCCTCGATGAATGGGCTGCCCACAGAGGAAGATGAAACAAATGGCAAAACATCAGCTATTTTTACTGTTGGAGAGAATGACGCAACACCTCAACAGTAGCACCAGGCATTTTTAAACCTTAGTTTGATCATACTGATGTTTTGTTTTATTGAATTGTAACTGTCAAACAGTTATTTATTTTACTGTGATAATAAATGTTGCATATGCCCTGATAGCAGTGTTACTAGATACAAAAAACACAAAACAAGTGCTCATTTTTTATGCAAAATCTTTTACTCATTTTTTTTTTCTTTGCAGTGTTTTTTTTTTCAAAACTGTGCTTCAGCTATAGTTTAGTGCACAGGTGACAATATTCGTCAAAGAATGTAAAATAACTTTTTTCAAAAGAGAGCACATATCTTTGTTGATATCTAAGATCTCTTGACCAACACAGTATAGACGTTAGCCAGTCAGTAGCCTTCAAACATAATTATGTGTACATACCGTGTCATTCTGTCTGGGGTGAATACTATTCACTTAATACATTATCTGGCTGTGTGTACATACCGTGTCATTCTGTCTGGGGTGAATACTATTCACTTAATACATTATCTGGCTGTGTGTATATACCGTGTCATTCTGTCTGGGGTGAATACTATTCACTTAATACATTATCTGGCTGTGTGTACATACCGTGTCATTCTGTCTGGGGTGAATACTATTCACTTAATACATTATCTGGCTGTGTGTACATACCGTGTCATTCTGTCTGGGGTGAATACTATTCACTTAATACATTATCTGGCTGTGTGTACATACCGTGTCATTCTGTCTGGGGTGAATACTATTCACTTAATACATTATCTGGCTGTGTGTACATACCGTGTCATTCTGTCTGGGGTGAATACTATTCACTTAATACATTATCTGGCTGTGTGTACATACCGTGTCATTCTGTCTGGGGTGAATACTATTCACTTAATACATTATCTGGCTGTGTGTACATACCATGTCATTCTGTCTGGGGTGAATATTATTCATATTATGACCCGAAAAGTCATGATGACCTACAGTCATTGTGCTTCGTCCATCGTCATCCCTCTTGCGCTGTGCACCGTGGGCGATGTCCAAAGTGTTATTTTTTGACATTTTCAAAACTTTGATACGGCAGCTAGAGAGGTCATTTTGTAACGTGATTGCTCAATCATGTTTTCCTGTGCAACACCTACTTCAAATTTCTTTTCAAGTTTCACCAGTTGGATTGAGCTCCAATTTCACTGTCAAAAAAAATGGTAACACTTGTCACAGCTACCTACTCCTGGCCAAAACTATTATCTTTATCATAGAAAACTGCTTCTCAGTAAGATTTCATTCAAAGTAGAAAAAAGATTAAGTCTTCTCTCTGCTGACAGTTTTGTAGTCAGAAGACTTTCTTTCAATGTCACAAGGGTAAAATATGTTAAAATGTTTGAACAACTTCTTCTCAATAACCAAATGGCAAAGAATGCTGATATTGTGCCTGTAGCATGATAGAATGAAGGGCTACCAAGTTTGTTAATAGGAATGATCTTGACTTACTTTCATTCAAAGTCACAGGATTCAAATATGGTAAAATGTTTACACAATTTCTTTTCAATAACTAAAAGGCCCAGGGTGCTGATATTGTGCCCGTAGCATGATGGGATAAAGGGCTACCAAATTTGTTGATATGAATGACTATGACCCGCTTTGAAGGTCACAGGGGTTAAATCTGTTAAAATGTTCAAATTACTTTTCTCAATAAACTATAGGCCCAGTGTGCTGATATTGGGCTTGTAGCATGCTTGGATGAAGAGCTACCAAGTTTTATTATATGATTGACCTTGACCTATTTTCGAGGTCAAAGTTGTCAAATATGTCAAAATCTTTAAATAACTTCTTCTCAATTACTTAAAGTGCTATGGTGCTGATAGTGGGCCTGTAGCATATGTAAACAACTCCTTCTCAATAACCAAAAGGCCAAGGGTCTTGATATTAGGGTCAGTAGCATGTTTTTTTCAACGAGCAGTATGTCCGGAGTAATGACATTTGTGTAGTACATGTATAAAGAATATGATTTCAAGTTTGCAGAAAACGTCTTTATAAGCCAACCAATGTCTTCGATGTAAGCTGTAGTGTTGTTGAGTGATTTATTTTAGGCCTATTTGGCCTTTTTCATATACATGTATAGGTATTTAAAGTCATTTGACTCTTAAGGCCTGTGGGCCTCTTGTTATATTTTATATATGTTTGTGTGTATATGGTTGTGAAATGATGTTTTTCCTCACTTTATAGTTACACAGCAGCACATGATTTAGAGATATCAAGAAGTTGACAGGTAATGTTAAAAAAACACAAAAAGAACTATCAACAACTGCTTATTAACAGAGTGTATTGATTTTACAAACAAGTGTTACAATGGCTGTTAACCTGCATGAAAACAACCTTATGTTGAAAATGGCAGACAGAGAGAGAGAAAAAATGATACTCCATTGTGAAGAGGCAATCTAAAAAACAAAGCACCACAACCAGAGACATGTGAAATTCTTCTAGAAATACCTTTTATCAAATTTTTAGGAATATTGCGGTGTCAGGCATCTGTCTGGTGTCCGGTGTCTGTCAACTTTTGATATATATTGCAATTTTTCAAGGACGACTAAGCAGATTTTAATCAAATTTGGTCTGAAGCATCTTTGGGGAATGGGGAACAAATTTTTGGTAATTGGTAAGCCCCAATAGAGAAAATCTGTCTGTCTTTTTTTTTTTTTTTTTATAAATCTATCCTGTTCTTTAGAAATTGCAGGATATTGTCCAAAATTGTTCTGAAGCATGCTTAGATGAAGTGAAATCAGTTTTGTATAAATGGTGGGTCTCATCCCCATGGGGCTAGAGGGACTGGGTCCAATAAAAGAAATCTATTGATTTCTGTAAAATGTAACTTTTCTTTAGAAACTGCAGGAAATTGTCCATATCTGGTCTGAAGCATGCTTGGGTGGAGGTAAATCTGGGGTCAGATAGATCGGGGCCCGACCGGGAGAATCTAACCCCCAAGTAGATTTAGTTCATTTTCACATCATTCCTTTGCACCATCAACAATGCATTTGAATTTCTGGTTCTTTGAAGCAATTGTGAATAAATACAGCATCGCTGTGCATCAAGAGATAAACACAATCATAACTGATAATTTGTCCTGGAGTCTGGTCCCACCTCAGGACAGATTACATATTAGAAGTGATTGAAGTTACCATCCCATAACTTAATAACATTGCTGGACAGACAAGAGATTAACAACTGATCTCTGTCCCCACCCCTAGGGAATTTGAAGCTGTATCTGTGGGGCGAGGCTCATCAGGGGAAATGTATTCCTTCTAAAGAAATGTAATGTTTTGTATTATCGACTTAAATAGCCAGGTGAGCAATTCAGGCCATCTGGGCCTCTTGTTTAAAAAAGTGATATAGGTAAATATATAGGTAATGAGAACCAATACATTTATAATCTTTTGAATTTGGTTAATACTTGGTTTTACGATTTTATCTTTAGAAAAAACATTATTCTCCAACATTCATGATTGTCCTTGGGTGAATTTTTTTCAACTTGTAGGACAATAAATCTTTTTTGCCAAGGTACATGAAGATAGCATTGTGATGTTGAAATACTACTTTAGTATAGTGTTTGGAAATGCTATAAAGAATCCTAATTGAGTTGAACAGTTGATTTCTGGTATTGAAAGACATAAACAGTATAGTATTCTTGCCTATCAACATGAGTGCCATGCTGAGAAACTTTGTTGAGAATCTGTGTGTTGTTGTCAGATGTGAGCATTATTTCTACTGTGTTTAGTCTGTGATACATTAAAGGTTAGAAAATAGGTTTTAATGAATCCAATGATACTAAGTTATATCAAATCAATATAAAATTCAGTCGTTCGTACAAGTACAGAGCTCAGATTATCATATCACAAAATGGTTGTTTTTAGGAATATACCTGATGTGTTTTTTGAGCCCACTATCACCAGTAGGTCAGAAGTTTGTAGCCCTTTGGTCCATCTGTGAACAACTTTTGTTATCACAATCTCTTTTGTGACATTCTGGATGGATCTTTCTCAAATTAGATTTGTACGTCCCTAGTTGTGCCCGTTTGATTTTGAGACCAATCTTTAAAATAAGGGCCGTCAGACAGCCATCTTGGATTTTGATTATAACAGTTTTTATGGCTGATACTTGTTCCCTCATTTGGGACTGATCAGAAATCAAAATGGCGGACAGGCAAATTCTATATAATTAACAACCAAAGACACAAACGGTAAAAATTATACTGCAAATGCAGTTAAATGTGATTTTTTTTTTAGTTTCTTGATATTGAATGGGCCAAAAAATCTCCCCAGTCTAATTTTGATCTTCAAGGAACTTTTCCAGCTACAATATAAGTAAGAAGTTCATCAACCAAAAGTCTGCAACAAATTGTTTGGCTTTTAATTTTAGGTTAAATCCTAAAATGGCCGGACTATATGTAAGTTTGATTCCGTAGATCTCCAGACATGTAAGTAACAGTCACCATGTCTGTTGTTGTCATTAATCAGAGATGAAAATCCAAATCAGAGGTATTATCTGTAGTACATCATCTTCCTTTAGAAGTTTTAAATTATTACATCTATACCAGAGGGACACGCTAGTCAATGTACATCTATCATTATCATGTGTTTTACACATAACCAGTCCCTGTAGTCTACCTCAGATTGTGAGATCAAGGGATATTGTGTGTTTTCCTTCATTTTAACTGTCTTAAACCTAATATATACATCTAAATATTTAGATACTGTGATAAACAAATGATTACCTAAAGTGTTGTTTATATGTTTGTCTTGTCCAGTTCAAACATTAAATGTTCTTTACTGTGGTCTATGTTTTCAGTGTTTTATTTTCATAGAACCTTCCTTCGATTCATCTATGTGTTGTGTTTTGTTTCAAAATTTTGTCCACCTTTTGATTATATCTGTACAAACAAAATTCTTATTAAAGAGGTGCTAAACATCGAGGAAACGCCTCCTCTATATTGCTGAAAACTTCAATTTAAATCCTGATCAGTCCAGGTAAGTAATATCATGTTCTCAAGTAAACATGTTATAAAAGCAGGCATGTGGCTGTCTGAAAAAGGAAAATTCACGTATAAAAGTTTTATATCTTATTAATTAAATCTTATATCTGATTAAGTAATATATATAGATTACTTAACTCTTATAAAGGAAAAGGAATTAGGTATCTAATAAACAGTCAATATTCTAGATAAAATATAGGATAAATTAATAACATAGCCGGTATTCTATTTAAAATATAGAATAAATTAATAACATAGCCGGTATTCTAGAGAAAATATAGGATAAATTTATAACAGCCAATATTCTAGATGAAATATAGGATAAATTTATAACATAGCCGGCTAAAAAAATATATGGGACAAATTGCATATTTCATTTAATGAAAGACTTGCACACAAACATATTTCACAAACACTGATGAGAGTTCAGATCTGTCTGGTCTTAAATATAAGTTCAAGAACAACGCATTTTGCCGTATATATGATTATGTATTGTCAACACACATGATGTGCACGTTCTATGTGTTAAATATAACAATTATTTCCTAAATAGCTGTTACTTAAAATCACGTCCGGTTTCTGTGATACTCACCGGAGAGCGGCGCGTGACAATTATGCGCGTCTCAGCTGAAGACTGCAGGTCAGCTTTAATTTACAGCGTAAAACGGGGGAAATTGTTTCGAAAGATATTGTTAATTGCATGTGTTCAATAGTAATTCTGGGGTAACAAAGGAAATGTAAATAATACTATTTCGAAGCAGCAAGCAGAAGGAAAACTTTAAAGCTGAGAGAAAACTAATTAAACATCCGACTTTTCTTACAAGGTCCTTACGATACCGTTATTAACCATATTGTCATTTTAATCACATTTTAAACATATTATTATTAAAGAAAGATTTATAGATTCATGATAAACATGTGAAAGTGATGAACAACCTTGTTACACCAACGTCCCTTTGTATTATTTTTTGTCTAACGTAATATGTTTATTTAACGTCATCAGGCTATGTGTACCTATGTCCATTTTGTATGCAAATGAGATTTCAAGCCCCGCCCACTTTGAAGGTTGTCAGACTTGCCGAACCAGTTTTCACACAGGTAAGCCAGTCTACTGAATGATCTAAAAATAGAACGGTTATTTTTACAACTGGGCTACTACCGTGCAAAACATTGGAAGGGCCACAACGTTGGGTTGGGCTGCTGTTTCTGTGAGCACGAGGGAGAGAAACCTCGGATCCAGGGGCCGAGAATCTGTGAGGATAACTTGTATCCGTGTGGACAACTTTCGGAGGGACAGGGCGAAATATCGCCTTCAGTTGCCTTTTCAACATGAGGTAATGTATGATGTATACAGCTACGCCGGGAGGAGTATAACGATTTGTGAATGTTTTGGAATATATGTATATATATGTTGTTTATATCTAACAATGATCGATTTCCAGGTAAGTGTTTCGTAAAATAATAATTAAAAAAACAAAACTAAAAACCTGCGATATCTTCAAAAAATAATTCCATACAAGCACTAAACTTTTTATTGAGAGATAATTTCTCCTTACCGAATACTGATACCCATACAATCATTTGACACCCTGTTCCATACACCTCCCAACTCCACTATCTTGACAGCCTGTCCCCTACACCTCCCCACCCCTATATCTGGACACCCTGTCCCCTATATCTCCCCACCTCTCTATCTTGACACCCTGTCCCCTATATCTCCCCACCCCTCTATCTTGACACCCTGTCTCCTACACCTCCCCACCCCACTATTGTGACACCCTGTTCCATACACCTCCCAACTCCACTATCTTGACAGCCTGTCTCCTACACCTCCCCACCCCTATATCTGGACACCCTGTCCCCTATATCTCCCCACCCCTCTATCTTGACACCCTGTCCCCTATATCTCCCCACCCCTCTATCTTGACACCCTGTCTCCTACACCTCCCCACCCCACTATTGTGACACCCTGTCCCCTACACCTCCCCACCCTCTATCTTGACACCCTGTCCCCTACACCTCCCCACCCGTCTATCTTGACACCCTGTCCCCTACACTTCCCCACCCCTCCATCTTGACACCCTGTCCCCTACACCTCCCCAACCCTCTGTCTTTACAGCCTGTCCCCTACACCTCCCCACCCCTCTATCAAAACAGCCTGTCCCCTACACCTTCCCACCCCTCTATCTTGACACCCTGTCCCCTACACCTCCCCACCCCTCTATTTTGACAGCCTGTCCCCTACACCTTTCCACCCCACTATCTTGACACCCTGTCCCCTACACCTCCCCATCCGTCTACCTTGACACCCTGTCCCCTACACCTTCCCACCCCTCTATTTTGAAACCCTGTCCCCTACACCTCCCCACCCCTCTATTTTGACACCCTGTCCTTTACACCTACCCAACCCTCTATTTTGACACCCTGACCCCTACACTTCCCCATCCCTCTATCTAGACACCCTGTCCCATACACCTCCCCACCCCTCTATCTAGACACCCTGTCCCCTACAACCCTGTCCCCTATATCTCCCCACCCCTCTATCTTTACAGCCTGTCCCCTACACCTCCCCACCCCTCTATCATGACAGCCTGTCCCCTACACCTTCCCACCCCTCTATCTTGACACCTTGTCCCCTACACCTTCCCACCCCACTATCTTGACACCCTGTCCCCTACACCTCTCCATCCGTCTATCTTGACACCCTGTCCCCTACACCTTCCCACCCCTCTATTTTGAAACCCTGTCCCCTACACCTCCCCACCCCTCTATTTTGACACCCTGTCCTTTACACCTACCCAACCCTCTATTTTGACACCCTGACCCCTACACCTCCCCATCCCTCTATCTAGACACCCTGTCCCATACACCTCCCCACCCCTCTATCTAGACACCCTGTCCCCTACAACTCCCCACCCCTCTATTTTGAAACCTTGTCCCCTACACTCCCCACCCAACAAGGCTCTCTAGGCCTCTTGTTTAGCTAGATCATCAGCTCTTTCATTACCAGGTATATCTACATGTGATGATACAAACTCAAATTTTACCTGTTGTTTTTAAGTTTTTAACTAGATTTAGTATAAAATTATTACGTTTGGTCTTACTTTTTCTAGTTTGTATTTATTGTAACGAGCCCCTACACTACCTCTACCTCTTTATATTAACACAAAAGAGTTCCACAGAGGTGATCTAGTCGTTCATTTACCAACAGTTCATTCAACCTTGACTGCGGAATACACAGCCATGTCAAGGGCACCTCTGTTGCACAGGGGTTTGTCTCTAAAATTTTCTTTCTAAACACCAGTGACTATGAAAATTGCTTGTCTGCAGCATTTTTGCCGATAGATATTTCAAATTTTCAGTCAATCACGTTTCACTTTCAGCCTTTGCATCGATGGTGATTGTGATTCGGAGCACCCATGGATCTCTTGTCTATGTATTTTACTGATATTCCATTGTATAGTTGTTACTGCCATTTTGTTAACCAATGATAGCTAATAGATAATTGTTTGTTCAACTAGTGGTGTCCAGTTGCTGTGTACTCTGGTCTTAGTGGTGACTTTGACCAGTGGTCAAAATCTAGAGAAGGAAACATGTGATGCCTCGCGTAGAGAAGTGGACGTCCAGATGACCAATGCCAACGCTATTATAGGTGGACTGTTTGGGATGCGAAGTCCAATTTTGGGGGGATATGCTTGTGGTCAGCCTCACAAAGGTAAGGATGTCTTTTGATTTCTGATTCTTGAAATGGGATGGAGAGGGAGGTGGGGCCAGGAGAAGTGAAATATATGTGTAGTCAGCCTAACAAAGGTAGAGATGGTGATGGAGAGGGAGGTGGGGCCAGGAGTAGTGAAATATATGTGTAGTCAGCCTAACAAAGGTAGAGATGGTGATGGAGAGGGAGGTGGGGCCAGGAGTAGTGAAATATATGTGTAGTCAGCCTAACAAAGGTAGAGATGGTGATGGAGAGGGAGGTGGGGCCAGGGGTAGTGAAATATATGTGTAGTCAGCCTAACAAAGAGAGAGATGGTGATGGAGAGGGAGGTGGGGCCAGGGGTAGTGAAATATATGTGTAGTCAGCCTAACAAAGGTAGAGATGGTGATGGAGAGGGAGGTGGGGCCAGGAGTAGTGAAATATATGTGTAGTCAGCCTAACAATGTGTAGAGAGAGAGATGGTGATGGAGAGGGAGGTGGGGCCAGGGGTAGTAACAAAGAGAAATATATGTGTAGTCAGCCTAACAAAGAGAGAGATGGTGATGGAGAGGGAGGTGGGGCCAGGAGTAGTGAAATATATGTGTAGTCAGCCTAACAAAGAGAGAGATGGTGATGGAGAGGGAGGTGGGGCCAGGGGTAGTGAAATATATGTGTAGTCAGCCTAACAAAGAGAGAGATGGTGATGGAGAGGGAGGTGGGGCCAGGGGTAGTGAAATATATGTGTAGTCAGCCTAACAAACCAAAGATCCCAAGGAAGACAAAACCAGTCATTATGTTTGGATGCAACAAACTGAAATGAGAAATTTCAATATAATCTTTAATTTGCCCAACCTAATAAATGCTTAGTATTCCTTTACAAGGAGTGAAGATTGAACAAATTAGGAGGAAGACACAGGACCTGGTTTTGGCTTAATGTTGATAATATTGTTGTGTGATTGTGATGCCTCTGAATGGCTTTGTTATAGAGATTTCATGTGTCTATCCTCTGATTTCCTCGCAGAAATGATTCAGGTATATGAAGCAGCCAGATGGGCCCTCAACAGAGTCAACACATTAAACTACATCCCTGGAGTCCGCCTGGGTAAGTCAACACATTAAACTACATCCCTGGAGTCCGCCTGGGTAAGTCAACACATTAAACTACATCCCTGGAGTCCGCCTGGGTAAGTCAACACATTAAACTACATCCCTGGAGTCCGCCTGGGTAAGTCAACACATTAAACTACATCCCTGGAGTCCGCCTGGGTAAGTCAACACATTAAACTACATCCCTGGAGTCCGCCTGGGTAAGTCAACACATTAAACTACATCCCTGGAGTCCGCCTGGGTAAGTCAACACATTAAACTACATCCCTGGAGTCCGCCTGGGTAAGTCAACACATTAAACTACATCCCTGGAGTCCGCCTGGGTAAGTCAACACATTAAACTACATCCCTGGAGTCCGCCTGGGTAAGTCAACACATTAAACTACATCCCTGGAGTCCGCCTGGGTAAGTCAACACATTAAACTACATCCCTGGAGTCCGCCTGGGTAAGTCAACACATTAAACTACATCCCTGGAGTCCGCCTGGGTAAGTCCCTGGAAGTCAACACATTAAACCACAACACATTAAACTACATCCCTGGAGTCCGCCTGGGTAAGTCAACACATTAAACTACATCCCTGGAGTCCGCCTGGGTAAGTCAACACATTAAACTACATCCCTGGAGTCCGCCTGGGTAAGTCAACACATTAAACTACATCCCTGGAGTCCGCCTGGGTAAGTCAACACATTAAACTACATCCCTGGAGTCCGCCTGGGTAAGTCAACACATTAAACTACATCCCTGGAGTCCGCCTGGGTAAGTCAACACATTAAACTACATCCCTGGAGTCCGCCTGGGTAAGTCAACACATTAAACTACATCCCTGGAGTCCGCCTGGGTAAGTCAACACATTAAACTACATCCCTGGAGTCCGCCTGGGTAAGTCAACACATTAAACTACATCCCTGGAGTCCGCCTGGGGTAAGTCCGCCTGGGTAAGTCAACACATTAAACTACATCCCTGGAGTCCGCCTGGGTAAGTCAACACATTAAACTACATCCCTGGAGTCCGCCTGGGTAAGTCAACACATTAAACTACATCCCTGGAGTCCGCCTGGGTAAGTCAACACATTAAACTACATCCCTACATCCGCCTGGGTAAGTCAACACATTAAACTACATCCCTGGGTAAGTCAACACATTAAACTACATCCCTGGAGTCCGCCTGGGTAAGTCAACACATTAAACTACATCCCTGGAGTCCGCCTGGGTAAGTCAACACATTAAACTACATCCCTGGAGTCCGCCTGGGTAAGTCAACACATTAAACTACATCCCTGGAGTCCGCCTGGGTAAGTCAACACATTAAACTACATCCCTGGAGTCCGCCTGGGTAAGTCAACACATTAAACTACATCCCTGGAGTCCGCCTGGGTAAGTCAACACATTAAACTACATCCCTGGAGTCCGCCTGGGTAAGTCAACACATTAAACACACACATCAACACATTAAACTACATCCCTGGAGTCCGCCTGGGTAAGTCAACACATTAAACTACATCCCTGGAGTCCGCCTGGGTAAGTCAACACATTAAACTACATCCCTGGAGTCCGCCTGGGTAAGTCAACACATTAAACTACATCCCTGGAGTCCGCCTGGGTAAGTCAACACATTAAACTTCATCAACACTGGACATCCCTGGAGTCCGCCGCCTGGGTACAAGTCTGGGTAAGTCAACACATTAAACTACATCCCTGGAGTCCGCCTGGGTAAGTCAACACATTAAACTACATCCCTGGAGTCCGCCTGGGTAAGTCAACACATTAAACTACATCCCTGGAGTCCGCCTGGGTAAGTCAACACATTAAACTACATCCCTGGAGTCCGCCTGGGTAAGTCCAACAGTAAACTTCATCTCTGGAGACTGACTGGGTAAGTCCAACAGTAAACTACATCCCTGGAGTCCGCCTGGGTAAGTCCAACAGTAAACTTCATCTCTGGAGACTGACTGGGTAAGTCAAACAGTAAACTTCATCTCTGGAGACTGACTGGGTAAGTCATACAGTAAACTTCATCTCTGGAGACTGACGAGGTAAGTCCAACAGTAAACTTCATCTCTGGAGACTGACGAGGTAAGTCATACAGTAAACTTCATCTCTGGAGACTGACTGGGTAAGTCATACAGTAAACTTCATCTCTGGAGACTGACTGGGTAAGTCATACAGTAAACTTCATCTCTGGAGACTGACGAGGTAAGTCATACAGTAAACTTCATCTCTAGAGACTGACTGGGTAAGTCATACAGTAAACTTCATCTCTGGAGACTGACGAGGTAAGTCATACAGTAAACTTCATCTCTAGAGACTGACTGGGTAAGTCATGCAGTAAACTTCATCCCAGGAGTTTAATTAAGCTAGTCTTACAAGTCCTGTTGCCTTTATTTTCAATTCTGTATATACATGTTCTATCAAGATAGATGTAGCTGTGAAGAAACAAGACATTATTATCAAATACACGTAGATCATTAAATCTTTGTCTAATAATCACCCAACACTTCTATAGCAGTTTCAGTATATGTATATAGATAAAAACTAAAGGAATTTAGATAAGTGACATCACTGATGTGATCATGTTTTTTCTATGTAAACTTTGGAGTTCCTATTTTATTTTTTATTGTACAGGGATGAAGGTGTATGACACATGCTTTTCCCAGATGATGGCAGTAAAAGCAGTGAACAGATTTTACCCACAAATCTCCAGTGCTTCCACTTCCTGTACGACAGGAAGCACCATCAATCTAGGCAAGTATTTCTGTCTTCATGACATCTTTCAAGCCTCAGAAAGTTTAATATTCTGTGGACTTTATTCACAAATTGATGCTTTGTGTAACCCTGGTGAAATACTAGCTACAACATATCACTCAGCTAGAGAGTACACAAAATTCTCTTTAGCTTGATCGGTTGTCAGACCAGTAAGACAGGGGTACCAGGTTTGAATCCTAGCAGAGGCATTGAAATAAATAAGGACCTCAATTAAAACTGTTATAAGATTCCTTAAAAGTTCTGGCCAACTAATCAGAATTTTGCTTTAAAATTTATCTGAAATAAGTTAAAATTTTAAGCAATGAATAAATCTAAAGAATCCGACTGAAACAAGGCATGAATACAATATGATGTGTCTATTAGAACTTCATTTTTAAAAACAAATAGTCATAATGCATTGATGCAAACCTTGGTTGATTTTCATATTTTGTTTGCATTACTGCATTGTCTTGGTCATATAATTCTGATAAATATGAAAGCCAAATTGGTCTTCTTAGACGAGAGTATTTGTGTAGTCAAAATATTTTATTACGAATTATATATATTTATGGCAAACTATATTTAGTTTGAATGCATAATTTTCTTCAAATTGTTGAATAAAATTCTTGTGTTGATGGATAAATCGGAACATAATTGTTGTAATTCAGTGAAAGAAAATGCACCGAAGCAACATTTGTGGTACATTTATATAATGGAGGTAACTCTGATCTTGGTCATCTGGGCACTTGTTTTCTTTGTAGAACTTTCAAGAGATGTTTGAGCAAGACCATTTCTCCAGTGGAATACTGTTACCAGAATAAGGATTATATGATTATCATGGTTAATACATATTTGAAGGGAGGCAACCCTGTATAACAGTCATGAAATCTTCAGGCTTTAAACAACTCCTCCAGAATTCTGGTCTCACTGCATTTAGTTAGAGTTCCAATATTTAGATGGAATTCCAAAGACAGCTTCTCTAAATATGTCCAAGAATATTTCTCAGTCATTTTTCCAAGTTGAAGGTCCATCCATCTTCATTATTTATGTCATCACTACAATATTCTCCATATAGGTATCCTCGGACCAATGTCCAGTTGGACCTCCAAGCCTGTAGCAGCATTAACAGCCAAGATTCCTGCCTCTGTTGTGTCACCACGTGCTGTGTCAGCCGAACTGAGTGAGAAGACAGATTACCCCTACTTTATGAGAACTACTCCAAATCTCGTTTCCCAGACAGAGGTTTGTACCACATGACTGATTTTATACCCTATTGAACAGGTGAAAACATTGTTCCTGCTTAACGCCTAGGAGGATTTCAACCAAATTTTGTCTGAAATATCATTAGGTGTTTGATTGGGCCCCTAGGGATCTGGGGATGGGGCCCAAACAGGTAGTTAGACAAAACGCTGCTCTCCCTTAATGCTTGAATGGAATTCATTCATATTTTTCTCTGCAACATCAGTAGGAATTTGCAAATAATTCTTAATTTCAGAAATTTGATTCAACCCCTAGGGATTTGGGGCAAAGATTATTTTTTAAAATGCATTTCCTTTCGTTAAATTAATCAATTTCAGCAAAGTGAACCAGGTGAGTGATAAGGCCCTATGGGCCTCTTGTGTTTTTTTTTTTCTTTTTTTGTCTTTTTTATTCACAAAGACTTTTTCAAATTTCTTTGAATATTTGAAAAAAAGATACTATATTTCAATTGAATTGTTAGACCTGGTTAAAGACAGTTATTGATAAAACCTATAATGTGACCATTGATTCCACAGGCTATGCTTGCTGTCCTTGAAAGGATGTCATGGAAGAAAGTGGTGGTTGTGTATTCTGACAGTGTTTATGGAAAGGATGGCTACAATACCTTCATGCATATGGCATACAAAAAGTCTGTATGTATTATAAAGGGAATTTCTATTCCCGTATCTGGATCAGTTACAGATATTCAACAGCGATTGGCAGGAATCGTCAACTATGGTGTCGATGCTGGATTATATGTTGGCTCCGCAACTCTGTCTTTGAAGCTTTTTAGTGCATTGGAGAACATACCAGATGCAGGAAAATTGCAATGGATGTTGACAGATATGAATTTAATGGAGAGCTACGCATCACCTCTTGCAAGGGGAACCATTTTTATAGGTCCAAGGACGGTCACTGTGACAGAGTTTAGAGATTACTTTTTGGGCCTTGATGAGAACAACCCATCTTCAGAAAACCCTTGGTATAAAGACTGGTACATGACCATGTACAATTGTCGCTTAAGTGGAGTTAACTACGCGCCCTATAACTCTCTAAATCTGTGTCCAAACCTCAGTTCAGCACAAAAAGAAGCTGATTACAAACAGGTGATACACGTTGAGACGACCATTAAGGCAGTATTTGCCTATGCGTCCGCTTTACGTGTGGCTCAAGGTGACCGATGTGGGTCAACAGGAACATACTGTTCTGCACTCCAATCTCTCTCTAGTAGCGAATTTTTCAATTACCTCCGCAACGTTGACTTCCAGGTATGTCTGCTATTAGTACTCCTATGACGTCTCATTTAGTTCTTAATCAACCCGATATATATATTTTTATGATTTATTACTCCTGGACTGATAATGAAAAAATACTACAGTGGTCAGGGTTTGCAACGCTGACCCCAAGTGTGACACATAATGCACACTGCTGCCAGTGATCGAGGAAAAAATTAACTCTCCATTCCATCAATTTTACAAATATCAATATGAAACTTAAAAATAGGCGTATTGTGATCATATCTATGATGTCACTAATTATATTTATTATTTTAAAATCTATTCTTAAAGAGTCTTTATGACTCTCACAGTCACTGATCATCACTTGTTGCCAACCGTTAGATTGACAGCTAAGAATCGATATCGTTGTTCCCATAATTCTGTGTGTTTCTCACAGGCCACTGTGATGCTAGTTACATTCACACTGTTAAGCTGTTTGTCCTTTTTTGGATGAGATGGAGAGTTTACATATAATAATTTTTTTTTTTTTTTTTTCATATTAAATGATTAATCCCGACAATCGATTAGGGCGACTTGCAAATCTTTGATCTTCCTAGAGTTACTTGATGTGTGCACTCTTCAGTTTGGACCTTAGATTTTTCACGAAAGATTGCACACTTTACATACTGTGGATTTATTTTATTTCGTGGGGGTCCAATTTTCGTTGTTTTCGTGGATGAGCAAATCCACGAATTTAAAAACACAACGAAATATGAACTACTTACTAAAGTAATTTTGAAATTTGACCAAGTAATCTTTGCCGACACCGGAAACGTCCACCGGTAATGACAGAAGCCCCGTAATTAGTCGGGAGTCGGGTTCTGAGGCTCGACATGGATACGCTAAATTGGTGTCAACGATATATAATTATATATTATTAAACATAACAAAGGGTAAGTACCCATTGTGATGCTAAGTATGATGGGATCGCAGTCGTTAGCGACACTGTGGACACTAGGCTTGATCGGACCATCCTGTCGATTGAAGATTTGATCCGTATTTCTATCCGACTACAGGTTCACAATAATTATTAATAATGCAGATCTTGTTTGGTCCAATCGATACGCGTGGTGTTTTCATATGACTGCGGTACACCGACTGATCAGCACACAATGTTTATCCACTGAAAACAATTGTTTCTGATAATTACCGATTGATTACACGCCAGGATATATACTGATTTGTGGTTTGATATTTTAATGCGAGACTGTTGTAAACAGCGTTATAAAAACACAGGACGCCATCTTGAAAAAAACCGTTCTTTTATTCTTGTCATTAGTGTTAATTCCTGTGAACATAGCCTTAATACAAACAGAAAAAAATTCGACTGGAAGCAAAAAGAGAAAATTCTAACGTTTTTGTTTTTTTCCCACAAAATCAAAAATCCACGAATTTATGAGTCCACGAAACTGTCTAATTTGTAGAAACAACGAAAATTGAACCCAACGAAAATAAATGAATCCACAGTACAGGTTTTTAAGATAGCAAAACAAACCATTTATAAATCTAGCTGTTCTAAGTACACTATACAATACCACTGCTAGTGGCAATCTCTTAATTTGAAACTTCAAATTTCTTCCTTGAATCGTACATTTTGCACAAATTTCACTTGATGATTTGATGGGAAATATATTGAAATGTCAATTTTCATCTGCTATTAACACGTATGATGGGTTAAATCTCACACTACTAGTAATCAACATGTTCAGCCTTTCAGTAACTTCATTACTCTGATCATGAAATTTTAACACTAATTCATTTCACAATGTTTTCAACAATTTTCCATAATTTCAAATTCCATCAGTAAATTTGTTCATGATTATCAAAAGATATTTAAGGACCTATAAATTAGTGTTGATTTCTGTGTTATCATTTTGTTTTGCAGTTTTCCTCTGCACAAGGTATCACTTCCCTTTTGGGACACAGAGTCAAGTTTGATAAAAATGGGGACATCACTACTCAGGACTTCACTGTATATAACTACAATAATAAAAATGGTCCCGGCTACTCCTTTGTGGAGGTGAGAAATGCTAGATTTATACTTTGTGTCAATATTTTACAAAAGAAATCACTCTTTTCATTCATGTTATGTAACTATTACAAGTTATATGTTACAGTACGTGATTGGGACAAGCAAAGAAGTTCCAAATCAATGAGAGCTTATTTCAGTCTTGTATCAATAACACATTTTCTAATTTTCTGTTGTGATTTCAAAAGTACAATTTTGGATTAGTTATTACATAATCCTCTCACTTTTTAGCAAATTATCAAGGAAGATAATCTATTAACACACTAATCAAATTCTTTTAACTTCAAATCTTCCGTAAACCTGTTCTTAAGATTGGTTTTATATGATAAAATTGTATGAATTACAGGTGGGAAGTTATCAGTCTGGTGCCCTTAGTCTCAATATACCAGACATAATGATGTACGATGAACTTCGAACCAGTGCACTTACCAGCCTGCCTTCGACATCCTGCCCCAGCCCTGGGTGTATGTATTGTGAGATCCCTAGGGACATGGTGGAATTCTTGTACACGCCTGGTGATGTCGTCATTGCTGGACTGGTCAACGGTCACTATGCAGGAATGGATCCCCTATCCTGTGGCCTTCCGAGTGGCATGGGAATGGCCGAGGCAGTGGCATTTCAGTACGCTATCAACACAGCCAAAACTGCACTACCTGGTGTCTTAAACGGTGTGAGTCTGGGAGGACTGGTGGCTGATATCTGTAGCCATCCTCTTATCGGTAGGATGTTTATAAACAACATCCTAGACGGCCGGAACAACGTAATGGACAAAATGGGGCATATGGTGGACCCACATGCAATCAAAGCTGTTGTTGATGGACAGGCTGACTTCTCCCTGGGTTTAGGTTCGAATATGGTGCCAGAAGTTGGTACAGTAGCAGGCAGTTATTCGTTTGCAGATAAGGAAATGTTTCCATACTTCACACGAGCCAGTGCAGGAGCTGAGCAGATGACCACAGCGCTCATAAATATTCTGTCTAATATGGGATGGTTCTATGTGCAGACAGTCCAGTCATCCAATTACGACATGGAAGTAATTGGAAAGCTCCGCGAATATGCAGCATTAGCAAAGGTGTGCATATCTGCATCACACATGGTATCAGAGGATGGCAATTACGATCAGGTGATTGACGAGATTCAGGAAAAACCTGCAGCTGCTGTTGTCATACTGTTTGTAAACCAGGCAGATATCAGGGGCCTGATGTCAAGTGCCAAGGCTAAGGGTCTTGTTGGCAAGATGTTGTTTATTGGAACTGCAAGCTGGGGAAGTCGTCTGAGCTCTGTTTCTGGGCTAGAAGATATTGCTCATGGCAGCCTCATTTTAGAGCCAATGGCGTCCCCTATATCTGGTTTCCGGGCATGGATCAACGGTCTAGATCCTCGCACAGCTGGAAATGTTCCAGGCTTTAAGGAATGGTATCAGGTTACTTTCAATTGCTACATTGATGCTGAAGCAAAGAGTGACTATCCAGGAGAATGTGGAAATAGCCCTATCACAAGTGGACCAAATTACGAAAATCCATTCCAGTTATCATACATGATTGACTCTGTGTATGCTGTCTCTAAAGCACTCGATGCTACATTAAAGCATTACTGTGGTGCCACCTATACAGGAGTTTGTGTTCAATTCCGTGCTGATCCAAAAGCTATGGATATGCTCAACCATTACATTCAGAACACTTCGTTCACTGGAGAGTCCAACTCACTTTTTCAGATGAGACATGGTGAAGGCACAAACGGATTCAACATCCTAAATTATAGGCAGGGCAGTGGATATGTTAACGTAAGTTATCTGTTGAAATTCAGATTTTATTATGTTGTGACCAGAAGGGTCAAGATGACCTTTAGCCATCATGTTTTGTCCGTCGTCATGCAACTTGTGATGCGTAAACTTTTCTTTACAACCCTACTCCTCTTTCATACCCAGATGGATTTCTACCAAATTTGGTTTGTTGTATCAATGGATGAGGGTTATCATTTTTTAAATCAAGATTTTTGATTCGACCCTTAAGGGCCCAAAGGGGGAGGTGCTGAAATTAGATTTAAAACCCTACTCCTCCTTTCTGCGTGGTTGGATTTCAACAAGCTTTGGCCTGATTCATCAGTTAGGGTAGGCAATTTTTTGTTAAATTCAGAAATTTGATTTGACCCTTAGGGATATGGTGATGGGCCCCAAAAGGGAAAATAAGACAATATTTTGCTTTAATATGCTACTCTTTCTTAATTCTTGAATGAATTTCAACCAAATTTGGTCTGAAACAACATTAAAAAAACATTTTTGAAATTCAGAAATTTGATTGTGACCCTTAGAGACTTAAAGGCGAGGCCCCAAAAGGGGAAATTAGCTTCAATTTTTGCTTCAAAATATCGACTCCTTTTTAATGCTTGAATTGATTCATGAAAATTTGATTGAAAACATTATTGTGATTAGAGAATCATTTCTGATCCTCAGAAAGTTTATTGGACCTGTAGGGACTTGATGAGCCATGGTTAGGGACATGTATTAATGAGGCATAGTAGGGGACATGTGTTTAGGGGGCCAGGTAGGGGACATGTATTAATGAGGCATAGTAGGGGACATGTATTAATGAGGCATGGTAGGGGACATGTGTTTAGGGGGCCAGGTAGGGGACATGTATTAATGAAGCATGATAGGGGACATGTGTTTAGGGGGACAGGTAAAATTAATAAGGCTTAATTTAGGATCAATGATGTTTTCAGTTGTTCATTTATTGTTCTTTAATGTTTTGTAAATTTGTTACAGGTTGGTAACTACAACGTGAGAGAAGGGCTGTTTACACTGGCTGCCAATAATATTCAATACCCAACTGGGACTGGAGCAGATTTCAAATCTAGTTGTCCTGGAAGTTGTGCCGAGTGTAGCTATGTTGCTGCATCATCTAATGCCATGGTTGATATTCCAGGAGATATCCAGATCGGAGGCATGTTTGGTGTACACTCTGTGTCCGATTATGATCCGTTTGCCTGCGGATGGTTGAGGGCTTCTAATGGAGTACAGTTCTTTACTGCAGTCACATACGCCCTTCAACAGATAAATTCCAAAATGTCGCCTGTGAGTTTGAATGGCGTTTCCTTGGGAACACTTTTATTTGATCATTGTAATGTCCAGGGACGTTCACTTGATTTGGTGGCCAATCTGTATGCTGGACTTCTGCCTGTATCACCAAGCAACCCAGATTCAGAGATGCTGCATGCCAGAAATGTCAAAGCATGGATCACCGACAGTACAGCGGCAGTAATTGACATGAAGGATGCCGCTATGACTCTCAACTTGCCTCTTATTAGTCCATTTGCCTCTAGTGAACCACTAAACAATGAAGAATTATTCCCAACATTCTTCCGTACCGTTGAAGGGGACGTCACTCTATCAGTTTCCATGGCAAAACTTGTAAAATCTATGAATTTTAGATTCTTAACTGTTGTCTATTCCGATTCTGATTATGGTCTGGCGGGCTTATCAACATTCCAAACTGTTGCTTCACAGGAGGGACTTTGTATTCTTCAATCTTTCATGGTCAGCGATTCTTCTCCAGCAGCAGACATTGTACAGAATATTGCGATTAGCACAAGTCAGGTAGTTATAATGTGGACCAATGCTGCTGACTCAATAGCTATGTTCCAAGCACGTAAAAACAATGTAGCAGCTGCCAACATCCTGTACGTGTTTCCCATGCCTATGATGACATTAGCAGAACAGTATGGTAGTGGAGGAAAGTCGTTGATGTTGAATATTAAAACGGGAAATGTGCAGGGTTACCTTGACTACATGACGTCGTTAACAACAATGGAGATGTTTTGGAAATATCCTTTCTTGATTGAGTACTACATGACTCTGTTCCTTTGTGATTTGCCAGGCGTATCAGTGTGAGTTTAGTAATAGAATAATTCACATAAAATGTAAAGACATGTCAGATTGTGATTGTCAGATAAAAATTGTGTTATAATACCATTCGACGTGAAAACTTCCTTTGTTGATTTTTTTTCTTTCTTAACCAAATTATAAAGGTCTAGTGCCTTGATTTACAACACATTTGGCACAAAGCGAAAATGATTTCAAATGTTTAATTGACACATGTGTGAAAATTTTAGTCGACATGACTCGACATCAGGAAAGGTTGATATATTGAAAATATAGTTCAGCTATCATTCTTTCTTCTTGTAATCTATTCATTCATGTAACTTTACAAAAATAAAATTTGGAAATTTCATACCGGTAACGTGTGGCTCTTGTCAAAGTCATATCGTTGTACATAATTGTTGAATGCATGTTTGTTTTCTTACTGCAGGTTCAAGACTCCATGTACATTCCCACTGAGACCTTTCATGGACAGTCCCTCCTTCTCCCAGGATAACTATGTGGTGCCAACCATCAATGCAGTGTACTCGTTTACTGCCGGCCTGGATGCCCTACTGAAGGAAAAGTGTGGACCTGATTATGATGGATTGTGTACAGCTTTCTTAACCATGGATTCCATGAGTGAAACTCTCATGGAGAAGATGGAAGGAATCTCCTTTGTTGATCCGACTGGAAGCACCTTCCGTTTCCTAGATCGAGAGGGCAATACTGGACTTGACTTATTCTATTATGATGGTACAACTACAAAACTGGTGAGTGATTTAGGTAACCTTGTCAGCACTCTTACCCCAATAAAATCACTACCCCATTTTATGTTTGGAAGGAAGAAAAAACTGTACGCCACAGGTCTTCTACTAAAACATAACTCGCAGTATCCAGCCTTGATTGTCTGTCTGTTGGATGGGGCCCAAAAGGGGAAATTTTGCAAGTTCTTTAAAATCTTACTCCTCCTATTTGAATAAATGGATATTGCCCAAATTAGGCCTAAAGTGGAAAAAGTGGACTGTATAAACAGTGTACCCTGGAACCCGTGGGACGGAAGGGAGGAGTGAAACCTATCAGGGAAATGTTATTTCTTAAAAGTCCTTCCATATAAGGATATTGTCCAAGTTTGGTCTGAAGAAATTTTAATGAACGGTGAATCTAACCTCTCATTGACCACAAGGGTAGGACCCGCTAGTGAAATTATATCAGGTATTGCTTGACATATTTTAAATTCTTTATTAAATGCCTGAATAGCTGAATTATCCAGGTGAGTGATGCAGGCCCTTTCGGCCTCTTGCTTAGAAAGTAAAAGAAAAGTAGAATTAGTAAAAAACCTTGATAAATATATCACTGGTATGTGAAATTTTCATTTTATTAATTTTTTTTTATTTATTTGTTGATTATTTAAGACCAGCAGCAATTTTTTTTACACATTTGAAATATGTCTTCTTGATGATTTGACCTTGATATGTTATCTAGGTCGGCGACATTGCCGGAGCTTCACTCCAGATTACTGATCCAACCTTGAAAAGCCAAGTTGTTAATACAGCATCCGCATGCTACAGTGACCCCTGTACAATCTGTATAAACAACATCAATACCTTCAACTTCACCTATAAAGAGGGAGACATCTTAATAGGAGGTAAATTAACAATTATTGAATGGTGGAATGTTGGTAGCAGGTAATTACACTGTCACTGGAGGGTGACATGTTGATATCCGGTAATTACACAGTCAGTGGAGGGTGACATGTTGATAGCAGGTAATTACACTGTCACTGGAGGGTGACATGTTGAGAGCAGGTAATTACAGTCAGTGGAGGGTGACATGTTGATATCAGGTAATTACATTGTCACTGGAGGGTGACATGTTGATAGCAGGTAATTACACAGTCAGTGGAGGGTGACATGTTGATAGCAGGTAATTACACAGTCAGTGGAGGGTGACATGTTGATAGCAGGTAATTACACTGTCCCTGGAGGGTGACATGTTGATATCAGGTAATTACACAGTCAGTGGAGGGTGACATGTTGATAGCAGGTAATTACACAGTCAGTGGAGGGTGACATGTTGATAGCAGGTAATTACACTGTCACTGGAGGGTGACATGTTGATAGCAGGTAATTACACAGTCAGTGGAGGGTGACATGTTGATATCAGGTAATTACACTGTCACTGGAGGGTGACATGTTGATAGCAGGTAATTACACAGTCAGTGGAGGGTGACATGTTGATAGCAGGTAATTACACTGTCACTGGAGGATGACATGTTGATAGCAGGTAATTACACAGTCAGTGGAGGGTGACATGTTGATATCAGGTAATTACACTGTCACTGGAGGGTGACATGTTGATAGCAGGTAATTACACAGTCAGTGGAGGGTGACATGTTGATAGCAGGTAATTACACTGTCCCTGGAGGGTGACATGTTGATATCAGGTAATTACACAGTCAGTGGAGGGTGACATGTTGATATCAGGTAATTACACAGTCAGTGGAGGGTGACATGTTGATAGCAGGTAATTACACAGTCAGTGGAGGGTGACATGTTGATATCGGGTAATTACACAGTCAGTGGATGATGACATGTTGACATCAGGTAATTACACAGTCAGTGGAGGGTGACATGTTGATATCAGGTAACTACACAGTCAGTGGAGGGTGACATGTTGATAGCAGGTAATTACACAGTCAGTGGAGGGTGACATGTTGATATCGGGTAATTACACAGTCAGTTTATGATGACATGTTGATATCAGGTAATTACACTGTCAGTTGAGGGTGACATGTTGATATCAGGTAATTACACAGTCAGTGGAGGGTGACATGTTGATAGCAGGTAATTACACAGTCAGTGGAGGGTGACATGTTGATATCAGGTAATTACACTGTCAGTGGAGGGTGACATGTTGATAGCAGGTAATTACACAGTCAGTGGAGGATGACATGTTGATATCAGGTAATTACACAGTCAGTGGAGGGTGACATGTTGATATCAGGTAATTACACAGTCAGTGGAGGGTGACATCAGTCGCCAGACCGTAAAGCTGAGAGTAGATCAACAATATATTGATATTTAGCTTGAATTATGTTAGTTTCCTGATAACAAACAAATGAGACATCAATTTATCGAACCAAAAGTTTACGAGATTTTGTAGATTATTAACACATTGAATCTATGTTTCAAAGAACAGAACGAATAGCAATGTTTTACAATTAATCTCTACCAAGTTACATTTATTAATAATGCTAATTTTAACAAAAGATAAATAGAGGTTTTGATAGTGAAATGCTTAGATGTAAACACTTAATTCTAATGGTACAGTAAGTGATACCCCAAGCAGGTTTCTACATGTGTGTTTGATATAAAATCATTGTTTTCATAATAGCATATGTTAGTGACATTAAATGAAAAATTATAATAAATGTATAATGTGTTGTTCTCAAAGAATCCAAACAATTTATTTCACCAATGTTACAGGTATTTTTGATGTTCATGTCCGGGACTTGACCCCTTTCTCCTGTGGCGATCTCAAGACTCTCCATGGGTTCCAGCTCTTAGAAGCCTTTAACTATGCAATTGACAAAGTCAACGACAAATCTGGTATCTTTGCAAATGTTCTCAAGAACGTCAAACTTGGAGGTGTGGCACTTGACTCGTGTGAAAGTGCAATTCGCACTGGATATCTTGTGTCCAACATCCACAATGGATTGACCAAGTTGACCCATAATGCGCAGACAGTGAACCCTGAAAATATCAACATGTACATTGGAGCCTATTCTAGCGACAGTTCTATATATCTGGCCAGGATTTTAAAAGCTTTGAAGATTCCCCAAATCAGTTACGCTTCAACAAGTACACAGTTACTAGATACCATAAGATATCCTTATTTCCTGCGATCTGTTCCAACAGATGACAAGCAAGTGGAAGGCATCATCAAATTCCTGGATAAATTCAACCTGCGATATGTCCAGGTGGTGTATAAGCGTGACAACTACGGAGAGCTTGCTACAGAAGCATTCACAAACATGGCTGCCCAATACAAAATCTGTGTATCAAACACCATTGGATTCCCTGACAACGGGTCTGTCACCCGAGAAAGTGCCAATGAAGTGGTGACCTACCTTCTGGAACAGCCGAACGCTAACACTGTTGTTGTTTTTGCTAGCACAGAGTACATCAAAGGCCTTGTACAAGGTATCAGCAGGAATCCAAACGCACATGGCAGATTCCACTTTGTTGGATCAGAAACCTGGGGCAACAATATGGAGGCAATAGCTGGAAACGAAGAACTAGTTAAAGGAGCAGTGACACTTACATTGGAATCATCAGACATATCCGACTTTGACATCTACCTGGGGTCAAAATCTCCTGGAAACTACCCAGAAAATCCATGGTTTCCGGAATTTTATGAAGAAATGTTAAATTGTTACCTAACCATACCAAACGGAAAACATCCATACCAGTGTACAAGTATCTCGGAAAATATTGTTGCCCAGAGGGATTACATTCAGGACCCCGGAATTCTTCACGTGATTAACGCCGTCTTTGCTGCAGCTTTTCTCATTGATAAGACACTGAAGGAGACCTGCGATTCAAACTACACAACAGTGTGCGAGAAATACCGAAACAACCAGAACCGTCATGATCTGTTGATGAGTCACATAGATGATGTCGATTTCAGTGATCCGACAAATACGCAATTTGAGTTCACTGACCGTAGGGAAGGCAACAAAGGCTACCAAATCTACTCCCTAAATAAGAAAATGATCGCTTTCGATGAAGGATATTCTTATGACAAGGTAGGTAGAAAACGTTTTTCATTTGTAGTGAAATTTGTAGTATTGCTTTACGTGTGTGATGACATGTGACTTAATGCTATAATTTAAAATAAAAGTGATATACACACAGTAATAATGATATGAAACAATCAGAATTTTTTGCACATTTTTTGTATGGAGGGGAAAAGTTTTGACAACATTAAATAATTGACTTAATCTTGTTTTGTTATCGACAAAATTGACTTGTCTCTGTTATCCCCGCCCAATATAGCTGATGGGGGATATTCGGATGGGTTCTGTTCGGATGCTGCTTTATGCATGATATCTTTTGAAGGACAGGTCAGATTTTGATGAAACTTGGTTGGTACACTTGTTACCTTAATCCCTTGTCCAAGTTTAATTAACGGCAGATTCTGCACATATTTAATGAAGCTGCTGTGACCTGATTGGCTGATATCTGTTTCAGTTTTCCATGTTGCTCTCATTAGATATATATATTTTACAATTAAACGTGGGCAGGGCATCTTGATGACTATGTCCTTTTAATATTCTGGATTATAGATAGATATAAGATATATATATAAAATGAGGTTTATTACTTCTTGTAGATTGGTTCATATTCATTTACTGGCGACCTGAACATTGACCCAACTTACTCACCGTCCTGGGACGGCAGCTGTGACCGACAAGACGCCTGCACTGAATGTCCTACAGTGAGAAATACGAAGGCACGTGACATGTCACAGCCTGCTGTCAATGCCAATGCTGCTACTTTCCTTCTTGTATTGGACGGCCACAATCAAGGTTCCGATCCATTTAGATGTGGAACTCTCAAAATTGGCAACATTCATATCGCTCTAGCATTTTTCTACACTTTGGAGAAGCTGACTCCAAAGCCGTACGACGTACGAGGTGTAGTTTTGGACTACTGTTCAAATACTCTTCGAATTGATCAGGACCTCTATAGCTTGCTAGCCGCAGGACAATTGTGCAGCACTGCTTTTGGAGCTAACGGGATGGTAAACAATAAAACCATTACTGGAATATTGACGACTTCCTCATCATCCACTGTTGCTGTCAACAGGGTAGTGAAACCTTTGAAGATCCCAATTATCAGTAGTCGGGCAACCTCCGCACTTCTGGCCAACCAAAATGATTATCCCTACTTCTCCCGCACTGTTCCTCCCGATGACCATCAGATGGGTGTGATTGCTGACATTTTGGCTTCAAATGACTGGACCTATGTTTCTGTTGTGTATTCAATGGAGTCTTATGGCATTTCTGGTCTAGAACAGCTACAACGGAATGCCAGGTCTAGAGGAGTTTGTGCCACCAATGCTGTTGGAATTTCTGTCCCAGGCAGTATGGAAGAAGCTAAAGCTGTTGTCCAGGAACTCACAACATTTGCTGGTGCTAATGTGGTTGTTCTTTGTACATTATATCCTGAAACCATAATGGCCGCTGCAAAGGAGCTAGATATGGTTGACCGCTTCATTTGGATTGGTACAGATACCTGGGGACGATCTCCCACCATACCTGTTGGAATTGAAAACAAACTTCATGGATTAATTACTGTAGATATACGTAGCGCCATTGTGCGTAACTTTATAGATTATGTTAAAGAAATTACGTACAACAGCCGAAAAAATATGCCTTTGGATTGGTTTGAAGAGTTCTACCAAGAAGTACACCAGTGTCAGCTGTCAGATGCTCAAACACCGGTCACAAAATTCACAAATCTCTGTAACAAAGCAGAAATTATTACAGACAGTATGGTGATGTCCAGTAATGCATATATCTTACATACCATAGCAGCCACTTATTCTCTAGTTAACGGTCTGAACATTGTCCGTACTGGAGACTGTAGTCTGGCTGCTACGTTCGCTGACTGTTTCTCCGATATGCATAATTGGGACCGCCTCCTGAATGCCATCCTTAGCACTGACTGGGATATGCACAATACCCTTGATCTCGAACCACCAGATACTTTTAATGTGCGTTTCAACAGCCAGCGTTTTGTTGATACTGGTTACAACATTTACACTTACATGAATGATGGAACAGGATACAAGTACCATCTGGTAAGCCAAACATTTGATACCTGTGTGTGAAGTAATCATGTCCCTCTGTCTGATAATAACACAATCTTTTGTCAACTTGAGGGTTACTTTTTTTGTAACCTTTACCAGCAGGTTTCGTGTATTAAGAAGGCTGAGACATCTCTTGTCTGCATTTTATTTCTCCCATACCTTTTTTATACCCTTAAAAATACTGCAGAGGGGCGGGGCCTAAGAGAGAAAATCTATCAATTTCTTCAGAATCTAACTTGTTCTTTAGGAATTGGAATTGCAGGATATTGTTCAGTTTTGGTCTAAAACATGCCTGGGTGAAGGAGAATCAGTTTTGTATAAACGGTGGGTCATGGGCCCATGGGGCCACATGGGTTGGGCCCAACAGGGAAAACTATCAATTTCTTTAAAATCTATCTTGTTCTTATGTAGGAATTCTGTCTTAACTTGGTGTGAGACATTTAACCCCATTTTGAGGAGGGTCAATCTTATTGCTGGGAAATAGATATAAACGTTTTAAATACTATTCCGTTAGTCAGCAAACTATATCAGGTGAGCAATACAGGCCCAATGGGCCTCTTGTTCTTTGATATTATGGTGCCTCACCTTTATTCTTGATGAAATTGTAGTAAGTACTCTTATCAACAATAACAATTATATGTCCATTTCAATTCTGTGTAGGGCAATGATCTTGTCAGATTAAGTGTTGTTTTGGAATTGTGAAGAGGAATTGAGTTATCCCCCCTTATCTGTCAGGGAAAGTGTTGATTAGTTTGGAATTGTTTAGGGCAATAGAGTTACCCCCCTTACCTGTCAAAGAAAAGTGTTGATTAGTTTGGAATTGTGATGGGGAATTGAGTTATGCCCCCTTACCTGTCATGAAAAGTGTTGATTAGTTTGGAATTGTGTAGGGGAATTGAGTTATCCCCCTTATCTGTCAGTGTTGATTAGTTTGGAATTGTGTAGGGGAATTGAGTTATCCCCCTTACCTGTCATGAAAAATGTTGATTAGTTTGGAATTGTGTAGGGGAATTGAGTTATCCCCCTTACCTGTCATGAAAAGTGTTGATTAGTTTGGAATTGTGTAGGGCAATAGAGTTATACCCCTTACCTGTCAGGAAAAGTGTCAGTTTGATGTTATTTATAAAAAGTGATTCATCACATTAACATAAAATATAGAATATGTGATTCAATTTTTTTTTCAAAGCAAACTTTCAATTTATACGGTTGAATTTAAGTAAAGTCGTTTTAATTCACTGATAGTTGATATTTTGTAATGTCTGTATTTCAACTCTTTCCGTGTCTCTTTAGGTTGGTTCCTCCACAGGTAGAACAACAAGTCTAGACGGTTATGACCACAACCGAGGTGAAAGTTTTACATCAAAATGCCCACCAGCTGCTGTTTGTGACTGCGATGTCATAACCAATTCACCTCAAGCTCTTGTTTCAAATGAAACAGACGAACGTTTCACAGAACCCAGAAATTACTACTTTTACAATGAGCGAGTAAATGACTTTGGACAGACAGTATTTGACCAAGTGTATACGTGGCCGATCTGGGCAATCGCGATCGGTGTCCTCACTAGTGCAGGGCTTCTGGTGGCAGTTTTACTTTTCCTGTATTTCTTGGTAGCCTATCCCGTTCGAGGCGGCACCACAATTCTTGGCTTCATGGTGCTGTTGGGTGTTATTGGAATATATGCCATTAATTTTGCATTCTTCTTGCCTGCGTCTGATTCTACTTGTGGGGCGAGGCGGTTTATGATGGGAGTTGTATATGCCATCGTCTTTGCTGCGCTTCTTGTAAAAGCCCTTGACAACTGGCGGTACAGTGACATGGAGTACAGCGTTCGCAAATACAAAGGACTCACCAGTGCGTGCTCTCTCTTCCTGGTGGCACTTGGGATTGTGGCCATTGAAGCTATTATTCCAATCATGTGGTTGATCCTTGTGCGTCCCACCGCCAGTTTGTACACAGAAGGAATGCAGATGGATGACTGGTCATGGTGTGACCCACACGACCTCTATGATCGTGCCTTAGTAATGTCCATGATTTTTGTCATGTTCCTGGTGGTGGTTACGGGAATTGTGGCATCTCTTGCCTGGGACAGTGACAGTAATTATTACGAATCACGCTGGATCTTTGTGTCCAGCGTGTGTACAGCAGGCTGTTTCCTGGTGTGGATGATAGTATCCACCAATGCAGGACCTCCGTACAGAGACCCTGCGGTCGCATTAGGAAACTTTGTAAATGCGACAGCTCTCCTGATATTTATTCCCATCAGGAAACTGGTGCTTCTCTGTTACCTAAAAAACAACGATGAGGCAGACAAAGTTCAACATCTGGGCGATGAACGTAAGTCTTTTTTTTTTTTTTTGCATGATACATATAAATAACGAGACATGAAACATATGTTCTGACATTCGCACATATGACTGACTCATCCTCATCATCAAAACACCATGATGATTTTCATCACCATGCAATTAACATTATCATGATGATCATAATTATTGAAATCATCACAGTCATTCTTATACACACAATTCACACACATTCACACACATTTTAAGGTTGAGAAGAGAGAGAATGGTTTGGAGAGAGTATAGAAGAGCAAAGTGAATTAGTTCTAATCTTTGAAGTAAGAGGTTATTGCATATTTCTAAAAGTTCGCTGCACTGTCAAGGCTTTTTTTCTTAAAGGAAACAGCTTTGTCAGAGGAAGACAAAAATAAAAACATCTCTACACAAAAGAACAAAAAGACACTTAATTGCAATATGAACACAAAAATGTCTGTTAATGACTGCCACATCATGTCAAAATATAAGCATATAATTCTGACTTGAAGCCACTGCAACTTTTTGTGAATTTCAAATATCTTTTTCCATTTAACTCGTCAAAGAAAAAAGAGTTTCCCCTTTTGTGCACTGGTGCTTGAGAAATGAGACATTTGTAGAAGTCTTTTGAAACTTTTTTATTTCTACAAAATATTTCCAAAAGCAGTGGTATAAAATATAGGGATGGTTTCACCATTAGGAATTCAAATTTCAATTAAAACCATGTTGTGTGACAGTCTCCAGCCATTTTAGCAGAAGAACAGAAACCGAAATTCTAGACCTGTTCATGATCTGAGATTTAATGTGTTGTAGGTGTAGATGTATACTCCACTGTTTACTCAAACCAAGGTTATGAAGGAGATATGTTCCAGCCCATTGAATCTAAACACAGCTCCGACATGGGCTTCGAAAACCACAACTTGTAATTGAGGTAAGATGATAAATAGAAGTTAAGCATCAGTTGTCTGTTTAATTTCTACAATGTATCAAGGCATTGGAAGAAAAGTGTTGTTGTTGAAATAGATTTCAAATATTACCCCTTGTGGATGGTCTTATTAGCGCAGTGGAAGCTAGAGTAACAGACAACCTCTGATGCAGATCTGAGGTGTGTGATTTGATTTTCAGTCCTCATCCGGAACAGATTTGTTTTCCTATGGTGTACATATGAGGTATGTTTTTCAGTCCTCACCCCAGAATAGGTCTGTTTTTCTATGGTGTACATATGAGGTATGTTTTTCAGTCCTCACCCGGAACAGGTTTGTTTTTCTATGGTGTACATATGAGTTATATTTTTCAGTCCTCACCCCAGAACAGGTTTGTTTTTCTATGGTGTACATATGAGGTATGTTTTTCAGTCCTCACCCGGAACAGGTTTGTTTTTCTATGGTGTACATATGAGGTATGTTTTTCAGTCCTCACCCGCAACAGGTTTGTTTTTCTATGGTGTACATATGAGGTATGTTTTTCAGTCCTCACCCGGAACAGGTTTGTTTTTCTATGGTGTACATATGAGGTATGTTTTTCAGTCCTCACCCCAGAACAGGTTTGTTTTTCTATGGTGTACATATGAGGTATGTTTTTCAGTCCTCACCCGGAACAGGTTTGTTTTTCTATGGTGTACATATGAGGTATGTTTTTCAGTCCTCACCCGGAACAGGTTTGTTTTTCTATGGTGTACATATGAGGTATGTTTTTCAGTCCTCACCCGGAACAGGTTTGTTTTTCTATGGTGTACATATGAGGTATGTTTTTCAGTCCTCACCCGCAACAGGTTTGTTTTTCTATGGTGTACATATGAGGTATGTTTTTCAGTCCTCACCCGCAACAGGTTTGTTTTTCTATGGTGTACATATGAGGTATGTTTTTCAGTCCTCACCCGGAACAGGTTTGTTTTTCTATGGTGTACATATGAGGTATATTTTTCAGTCCTCACCCGGAACTTCATTCCTCACCTGGAACAGGTTTGTTTTTCTATGGTGTACATATGAGGTATGTTTTTCAGTCCTCACCCGGAACAGGTTTGTTTTTCTATGGTGTACATATGAGGTATGTTTTTCCGTCCTCACCCCAGAACAGGTTTGTTTTTCTATGGTGTACATATGAGGTATGTTTTTCAGTCCTCACCCGGAACAGGTTTGTTTTTCTATGGTGTACATATGAGGTATGTTTTTCAGTCCTCACCCGCAACAGGTTTGTTTTTCTATGGTGTACATATGAGGTATGTTTTTCAGTCCTCACCCCAGAACAGGTTTGTTTTTCTATGGTGTACATATGAGGTATGTTTTTCAGTCCTCACCCGGAACAGGTTTGTTTTTCTATGGTGTACATATGAGGTATGTTTTTCAGTCCTCACCCGGAACTTCATTCCTCACCTGGAACAGGTTTGTTTTTCTATGGTGTACATATGAGGTATGTTTTTCAGTCCTCACCCGTAACAAGTTTGTTTTTCTATGGTGTACATATGAGGTATGTTTTTCAGTCCTCACCCCAGAATAGGTCTGTTTTTCTATGGTGTACATATGAGATTTGTTTTTCAGTCCTCACCCGGAACAGGTTTGTTTTTCTATGGTTAAAATCCCTACCTAGGACATGTTATTTGTTTCTTGTGCGAGGATCTGAGGTGTGTGGTGTGTTGCCACCATGTCACATACCAGCTATTACAGAACCCCTCCCCTTATAGAATTGCGTGTGTAGAATTTGTTTTGGAAATTATAACTTCTTTTTCATTTTGTAGATAGATGGTGAACACAAATGATGATTTAGATGCAAGGAAAGCTGGTGGCAAAATGCTTCATTGACAAAGGCTCCAAATGACAAGGAACCGTTATCACCAGCGACATAGATGTATGGATTTGTCATCTGCAAGCAGAAAATAACATCTTTATTAATTAGTTAACACAAGCATTTTCTGAATTTCATTATCCTACCACTCTTTATGTGAAAGAAGAAAACCACTTTCAAAAGATCATATAATCTTCCAGCAGAGGTTTTTTTTATGTATTTTTGTCCAAACTTGTTAAAATTGGATTACTTGCCACAAAAGACAGAAAAATTAAGGGCTGGATGTATATTATGAGAGAAAGAAGATGTGTGTATGTGTGTGTTTAAACAAAGTGTATATTGTATGTTTTAATGATGGTTAACATGCAAAGAGGACAAAAGGATCAAAAACTAAGCTGTTTTAATAAACATGCCATCTTTGTTAAAAAATTTTACAAAATGGTAATTTATCTTTCATTTGATATTCATAGAAGTGAATTTTACACCCAAAATCTGTTTGTTGAGATATTTTTTATTATTTAGGATGAAAATCTTGAGAAATTTATTTCTTTTTCCTCCACATGTTTGTCTTACAAACTGTTGATTATTTTCAGTGCTTTTTGGATTCATGTTTAAATCATATTCAAGAGTTTAGTGGGTCACAAGTTTGAAAGTTAGTTCAATGTTTGACTTAAAAGCATATCCATATCATTATTATTTGATAAACTTATAAACATTCTGATTTCATATCCTGTTTACTCATTTTCTACGGAACATGCTCAGACGAGAATAGTGTGTTTCATTAAAAGCTGTAAGAAGGTACCACTCTGAGACAATCTTAATATGGTCGTTAGGCACAGGTAATTAATACAACAAGGAGTATTTCAAGTGGTCTTCTTACACTGGTTGTTTAGAGATATCAAAGGTTCTCAATTTTTGTATTTTTAAGACTTTACTGTCTCAAATTTTAAACTTTTGATTTTTGCACATAATGAAAATCAGTTTTGACTGAGTGTATGATTATAGCACCAGCCGTGTTTCAAACATCACACAGAACGGTGATATCATCTTTTAAAATCAAATATGAAATGTCCATTTTTGTGATTGCTGCAATACAGCAAACTTGTAAGAAGGAATGAATGCTAAGCATAAAGTTAATGATAATTTGGGCTTACCTTTAAATAATGGCAATGTTACTGCTTGTATGGTTACGCAAATATCACTGACAAAGGAAATGTGTGTACGTTCCTGTACATGTTCATTTTGTTGTAAAGAAAAAAGTTACTAGTTCTCTTAGGGGCATAATGATACTGTTTACTTCATTAGCAAAGATTCACAGATGACCCTAAAGTTTGATGGTGAAAATGAATGGATAAAGTAAATTGACGTAAAGTCTTGAAATTTTAGGTCACCTGAGACAAAGACAAATAGCCTATTGCAACCTTCATCCAGAGTCGTGCATCTGTAAACAGTTTAACATTTTCGACTTCTTCTTAAAAACCCCTGAACCGATTTCTATGATATTTTGCAGAAAGCTTCCCTGGCTTAAGATGATGAGAAGTTGTGAATTTCACAATCCCTACCCAACAGGGGCCTGAGGGCCGGGGCTAAAAGGGGTCAAATTGACTTGGATTTTAAAAATCTTCTTCTCAACACCCAGATATGGTAGAATCAAATATTCTTCATGAATTAAAGCATCTTAAGGTACTTTACAAAAGCTGAGAATTTCATGGCCCCAGGGTCTCACATTTCCCCATCGGGAGGGAGTAAAGTTTATTATAGTTTATATAGGAAAACTAGATTTTTGAGAATAATTTGTGATCAAGTGCTCTGTGAATGAAAGCATGGAAGGTGCTTTAATTTCCAAAATAAGTCTCCCATTTCTTCCTGAGGAGGAAGTTTTATTAGACTTAAGTTTTCATGTAAAAGTTGCTCTTTGGAAATAACTTTGTAGGAATTATTAGTATAGGATGACAGTTTCGATGGTATGTATGTATTGACACTGGCTTACTATATTCAGTGTCACAATTTCTGTTTCGTTACACTTAACTGCTCTTTAAGCTTTATATTCAATATTGCTTGCCTCAGGTGACTGGCAAGGCCCGCTAGGCCTCTTGTTTATTATCTTACCCTACAGTGTTAGGGGAGGCAAGTATGTGTATGGTTGTTGATGAGCCTGTATGAGGACTATGATAAGTTAGATGTTGATAAGGCAATTGTATCTCTTGTTTAGTGCTGTTCAGTAATCCATACAAAGCGCTAATGCATTCCACGAAAAAAACATATCGTATATATATATTCCGTGTAAAAATGTATATTTACATTAAATATTATGCATAAGAATGTGATATTTTTACGAATAAAAAGTTTTGTACCTTTAAATATATTTCTTATTGTTCAAAGATGTTTCGAGGGTGAAAAGTTTCATCTAAATTAGTCAATTTATCAAAGCAAAACATCTTAACAACAATTAAATACTTGTTGGACCATTGATCTGACTGCAGTGCCACCTACATCAATACTGGGAGAAAACAGAACCCTGTGGGCCGTTTACCTGTCATAAGTCATCAGAAAATTATCTAAATCACATTTCAGTTACACAGCTATGTAATATATATAATGGTCTTTAAAACGATATATGACAAGTTTCCTGCAATTTCCAAATAATATTATGAACAGATCTTTCTCAAAGAAGATGTTGCATATGATTTCAAATGATTTAAGGAAGCCTACACTAAATCAAACATTTTTATATTGTCCCACGCACCATTAACTTGTCATACAGCAACACATTGACCATTATCAGTAGCACGCATACCTTTAAATTTCTACATTATAATCGGCTTTCTATATACTTAAAACACACTTGAACAGGAAAACCAATTAAAAAATGGACATCTTTTATTTTTAGAATTGATATTTTCAATAAGTATGATGCCATATGTGTTTATCTCCCTATGTACCAGTATTACTAACAGAATTCCCTATTTAACATATAAACTTGTAAATCTTTACAGGGCATCACAGCTTTATTCTTCATCAAACAAGATCGCTTCTTTGTTAGAACTTCATAAGTCAACTACAAGCAGGATATTCTAAATTATGTGTAAGGTTCAGGAATTCACATTTGTATAGTCACATCTAGGCCCCAATCATTAGTCAAAGGAACAAGCCTTTAAGCCTTAATACTGTTTTTACACAGACATTTTTTGGTAATTACGTGAACCTGATGCTTGATTGTACTTACATCTTTATTGGTAAAAGTGATGACCAAACTTTACAGAAAGAACCTATTTTGTTTAGAAAAAAACACTTCTGTCAAATTCTTGAGTATGGTATTTCCTAATGGATATATTAGACACTGTCGGTCCATTTCTAGGATCAGAAAATGATGCAGACATAACAGACGATATATTAAGGTCTGTTGATGACTGGAAGGTCATGTTGATTAATGAAGATTACATAATAATTGATGGTGTATTTTATCGGTATGTGATCACACACAGCCAGTGTTTTGTTTTATCTTGGTAAAACCATGAAAAGACGACATCAGTTCATGAATGAAATGTGTTAGATTCCACAATCACCAGAATTTCAAACAAAACAAATAATGCATTATAAATTTGAGCCTGTATATACCACGATTTCAACAACTGGGTATATGCCCCGTTTCTCCTGTATTAACTGGGTAACGTATATCAGCTGGGCTGCGTTGGTCCAGTGATTAAGGTGGACCGTACGTCTTCACTGTTAATGTTCAACTCTTGGTTGCGAGTTCGAGACCAATGTGGAGCAATTGCCATGAACTGACCGCAGGTCAGTGGGTTTTTCTCACGTAGTAACAATGGCAATGAAGTTACAAAAAAAGTTATGTGAAAATTGAATAATATTAAATATTGGCCAATCATAGGTCAGTATTTGTTTACAAGTTTAATGTTTTGTGTTTTCGTCACAATCCATTAAATAGAAGGTTATTGATGAACATGAATTTGACCAATCAGAGGTTATGGCAGCCATCTTGAATCAGGGAAACCCCGGTAATGGGACCACCATACAACCTTTATGAAATAATATATATTGTACAGTAAGACTGGAACACCAAGGGAGCAATGGAAGAGCATGGCAATATTTGCATCTAAGAATGTTGATGCAAGGTGATTTTTTCAGGTTAATGTTCATGTCGGTTGTATATTTATGATACAACTTGTCATGTTTAGACTAAAACACCACAATAGTCCATTAATGTAGCTATCTACCCGTCCCTTCAGTAACTATCTACCAGTCCCCTCAGTAGCTATCTACCCGTCCGCTCAGTAGCTATCTGCCCGTCCCCTCAGTAGCTATCTACCCGTCCCCTCAGTAGCTATCTGCCCGTCCCCTCAGTAACTATCTACCCGTCCCCTAGCTATCTACCCGTCCCCTCAGTAATTATCTGCCCGTCCCCTCAGTAGCTATCTACCCGTCCCCTCAGTTCTTCGTCCAATCTCTCTTCCATGACTAAGGTCTCCGTCCAATCTCTCTTCCATAACTAAGGTCTCCGTTCAATCTCTATTCCATGATTACGGTCTCCGTCCAATCTCTCTTCCATGGCAATGTTCTCTGTCCAATCTCTCTCCCATGACTACGGTTTCCGTACATTCTCTCTTCCATGACTACGGTCTCCGTCCAATCTCTCTTCCATGACTATGTTCTCTGTCCAATCTCTCTTCAATGACTATGTACTCTGTCCAATCTCTCTTCCATGACTACGGTCTACGTCCAATCTCTCTTCCATGACTATGTTCTCTGTCCAATCTCTCTTCCATGACTACGGTCTCCGTCCAATCTCTCTTCCATGACTACGGTCTCCGTCCATTCTCTCTTCCATGACTACGGTCTCCGTCCAATCTCTCTTCCATGACTACGGTCTCCGTCCATTCTCTCTTCCATGACTATGTTCTCCGTCCATTCTCTCTTCCATGACTACGGTTTCCGTCCATTCTCTCTTCCATGACTATGTTCTCTGTCCAATCTCTCTTCCATGACTATGTTCTCTGTCCAATCTCTCTTCCATGACTACGGTCTACGTCCAATCTCTCTTCCATGACTATGTTCTCTGTCCAATCTCTCTTCCATGACTACGGTCTCCGTCCATTCTCTCTTCCATGACTATGTTCTCTGTCCAATCTCTCTTCCATGACTATGTTCTCTGTCCAATCTCTCTTCCATGACTACGGTTTCCGTCCATTCTCTCTTCCATGACTATGTTCTCTGTCCAATCTCTCTTCCATGACTATGTTCTCTGTCCAATCTCTCTTCCATGACTACAGTCTCCGTCCAATCTCCCTTCCTTGTCTACGGTCTCCGTCTATTCTCCCTTCCATGACTACGGTCTCCGTCCAATCTCCCTTCCTTGTCTACGGTCTCCGTCTATTCTCCCTTCCATGACTACGGTCTCCTTCCACTCTTCCTTCCTTGTCTACGGTCTCCGTCCATTCTCCCTTCCTTGTCTACGGTCTCTGTTTATTCTCCCTTCCATGACTACGGTCTCCGTCCAATCTCCCTTCCTTGTCTATGGTCTCCGTCTATTCTCCCTTCCATGACTACGGTCTCCGTCCGATCTCCCTTCCTTGTCTACGGTCTCCGTCCATTCTCCCTTCCTTGTCTACGGTCTCCGTCTATTCTCCCTTCCTTGTCTACGGTCTCCGTCTATTCTCCCTTCCTTGTCTACGGTCTCCGTCCGATCTCCCTTCCTTGTCTACGGTCCCCGTCCATTCTCCCTTCCTTGTCTACGGTCTCCGTCCATTCTCCCTTCCTTGTCTACGGTCTCTGTCTATTCTCCCTTCCATGACTACGGTCTCAGTCCGATCTCCCTTCCTTGTCTACGGTCTCCGTCCGATCTCCCTTCCTTGTCTACGGTCTCCGTCCAATCTTCCTTCCTTGTCTACGGTCTCCGTCCATTCTCACTTCCATGACTACGGTCTCCGTCCGATCTCCCTTCCTTGTCTAAGGTCTCCGTCCATTCTCCCTTCCTTGTCTACGGTCTCCGTCCGATCTCCCTTCCTTGTCTACGGTCTCCGTCTATTCTCCTTTCCTTGTCTACGGTCTCCGTCCATTCCCCTTCCTTGTCTACGGTCTCCGTCCATTCCCCTTCCTTGTCTACGGTCTCCGTCCATTCTCCCTTCCTTGTCTACGGTCTCCGTCCATTCTCCCTTCCTTGTCTACGGTCTCCGTCCGATCTCCCTTCCTTGTCTACGGTCTCCGTCTATTCTCCTTTCCTTGTCTACGGTCTCCGTCCGATCTCCCTTCCTTGTCTACGGTCTCCGTCCGATTTCCCTTCCTTGTCTACGGTCTCTGTCTATTCTCCTTTCCTTGTCTACGGTCTATGTTCATTCTTATCTAACTGGCTACGATCTACAAACTTTTCTCCCTAACTATGGACCCTGTTCATTCCTCCGTTCCATGGCTACGGACTACAAGACACTCAACACATCTCTTGCAATACAGAACACTCAACACATCTCATGCAATACAAGACACCAAACACATCTCCTGCAATACAGAACACTCAACACATCTCATGCAATATAAGACACTCATTACATCTCATGCAATACAGAACAGTCGACATATTTCATGCAATACAAGACACTCAACACATCTCATGCAATACAAGACACTCAACACATCTCTTGCAATACAAGACACCCAATACATCTCATGCAATACAAGACAGTCAACACATCTCTTGCAATACAAGACACTCAACACATCTCATGCAATACAAGACACTCGACACATCTCCTGCAATACAAGACACTCAACACATCTCTTGCAATACAAGACACTCAACACATCTCCTGCAATACATGACACTCAACACATCTCCTGCAATACAAGACACTCAACACATCTCATGCAATACAAGACACTCAACACATCTCATGCAATATAAGACACTCATTACATCTCATGCAATACTAGACACTCAACACATCTCATGCAATACAAGACACTCAACACATCTCTTGCAATACAAGACACTCAACACATCTCATGCAATACAAGACACTCAACACATCTCATGCAATACAAGACACTCAACACATCTCTTGCAATACAAGACACTCAACACATCTCATGCAATATATGACACTCAACACATCTCATGCAATACAAGACACTCAACACATCTCTTGCAATACAAGACACTCAATACATATCATGCAATACAAGACACTCAACACATCTCATGCAATATATGACACTCAACACATCTCTTGCAATACAAGACACTCAACACATCTCATGCAATACAAGACACTCAACACATCTCATGCAATACAAGACACTCAACACATCTCAAGCAATATAAGACACTCAACTCTTCTATTGCAATACAAGACACTCAACACATCTCATGCAATATATGACACTCAACACATCTCATGCAATACAAGACACTCAACACATCTCATGCAATACAAGACACTCAACACATCTCATGCAATATATGACACTCAACACATCTCTTGCAATACAAGACACTCAACACATCTCATGCAATACTAGACACTCAACACATCTCAAGCAATATAAGACACTCAACACATCTCATGCAATACAAGACACTCAACACATCTCATGCAATATAAGACACGCAACACATCTCATGCAATACAAGACACTCAACACATCTCATGCAATATAAGACACTCATTACATCTCATGCAATACTAGACACTCAACACATCTCCTGCAATACCAGACACTCAATATATCTCCTGCAATACAGAATACTAAACACATCTCATGCAATACAAGACACTCAATACATCTCATGCAATACAAGACACTCAACACATCTCATGCAATACAAGACACTCAACACATCTCATGCAATACAAGACACTCAACACATCTCATGCAATGCAATTTTGTTACTTACAATAGAATTGCCAAAATTAAAAAATGTCATTCTAATTTTAGTAACAAAGATCCTCTAAAGAAACGTTTCATCTCTCCACTCGCATTGGATTTGAAAGTCGGGATGTCTGGTATGTTTTTCTTTCGTTAAAATTACATTTTTCCCAGTTTTTAGTTAATCCGACAAACATTCTGATGCATTTAGGATTTCGTCATAAACAAATTGAGACGAGGATTAGTTGGCTGATGGGGAGTCCTTCTGTAATAACATCCCTTACAGGTGTCAACTCGGTCAGCACAGCAGCTGATCAGCGTGAATATAGGTAGATACATACTCTCGTTGACAAACATCGATTGGATGGACATAGCAATACTAGCTATTTACAAACAATTTTGTTTGAGCTTCCAACATAATTACGAAAGCGATGTTGTTTTGTAATAGCGGAGATACACTTGTGTTGGCTTTGTCAAGACAAATGGAGTAAATGGGGTTGTTTTTATTCACCTGAGGTTTTTATCATTATAACATACGACTAAATAGGTTTTGCTGTTTTGTGAAGATGGAGGAAATTACTGAAACGAGTGCTTTGTTAGAAAATACTTCTGTTATGATAAACATACACGTGAATAACGCTGTATCTTTCCCTCTTATGGGACACGCCATGCTTGGAAGCCTCCTGGTCTTGTCAATGGTGGTCGGAATTTGTGCCAATTCTGTAGGTATTGTGATATTTTACAAAAACAAGAATTTAAGGTCACCGACAAACCTTTTTATAGCGAGTCTCGCGTTCTGTGACCTCTTGATGCTAGTTTTGGCAACTCCGCTTCCGACTGCTTCTAGCTTCGCTAATCGTTGGATTTGGGGGCATGCTGGATGTGTGTTTGAGGGATTCCTTGTTTTTTTTCTTGGATTGACCAGTCTTTATCTCCTATGCGCGATATCTATTGACCGTTACATCGTCATCGCTATGCCACTGAACAATGCTTTGATCACAAAATGTCGTGCCATTTGCTCCGTGCTTGCATGTTACGGTTTGGGTTTTTTTTGGGCAACACTTCCTCTGTTAGGATGGAATTCTTATCAACTTGAGGGACTTATGACGTCATGCAGCGTGCTATGGGACACGAAAAAACCGGCGGATTACAGTTACAATGTTGTTATTTTCTTTACCTGTTTCATGTTACCAGTTATCATCATGTCCTTCTGTTATTATAAAGTGTATCGCACGGTAAGTAGAACTTTTCCCTCTGTTGACGATGATATTTTTCTCGGCCAGAGTTTTGTCGAATTTTACAAGTGGTCTCCTGGCTATCATCATTAACGACTCCTAGTGGGACGAAACTCGTGTATGGTGCATTGATGCGAATTAATTCATTAATTGGCTTTAAATATTTTCTGAGTTGTATTGAACTGTAATGATATCACTGGTGTATTTTTTGAACAATTCCTTGAGATTGCCAGTTGCGGACTCTGAGTGTGGTCCCCAGGTTTGCCGAAACCTGTATTATTCATTCAACGCACTACCAAGTGCGAGACTTATGTGTCACGAGAAGAAGAAAATCATAAGAAAACGCACATATTTACAGAAAAACAAGGTTAATAGATAAACTTTGAAAGATGAATATCAATTTTGACAAGAATTTCATGGATAATAAATTATAGCTTGTATTTTGTTCTATTAATAGACACAATCGGCAACGTTTGACAAGAATATTAACCCTCGAATATGGTAACTCGATCTCAAACAACAGACTTGCTGTTAAAAGATTCCCACTGTCACCGGACTAATCTTAACTTTATTAGCAAAGGGCCATAACTATAATAAGTAACATCAAATCGATCCCATTGTCAAACATGCCTAAAATATCATTTTTGCTTATACAAAATGCCCAAGCTATATATATATTCTGTAGAAAGTGTCAAACTTGACATAAATCCAAAGCTGACAATGAAAGTAAAGAAGAATTCATTTTGAGATAAAAAAGAAAACAAAAAAAAAACAAAAAAACAAAGTTTCCGTTTCCAAAATGCTTCGGAGATGCCTTATATGCCCGTATCCGTTTCAAATAAAGGCTTGGACTGAAATGTCTGATGTTTCCTAGAAACGATGACCAGAAGATACGGAGAGGTCTCGTTGGAAGTGAGACTTCATCATGATTTAAGTATGTAATAATACCTTACTAATATTGTTTGTCTCCAGTGAGATTTATCATGAATATGGTATAAAGTAGCACCATTGTGAGCATTTAAATACAACCCTCACACTTATTCTAAATACACACTATTGAATGATAATGTATGTAAATCAATACACACAGCACGGAATTAATCATTGAAGAACTAGACAGTTCCGTGCCTTAAATTATCCTTAACACATTAATTAATTTATATTGTTCATATAACTTTTCGAAGATATATATAGAATTGACAGAACTATACACTGTAAAACAGTCTTCACATTGACCAGAACTATACACTGTAAAACAGTCTTCACATTGATCAGAACTATACACTGTAAAACAGTCTTAACATTGATCAGAACTATACACTGTAAAACAGTCTTAACATTGATCAGAACTATACACTGTAAAACAGTCTTAACATTGATCAGAACTATACACTGTAAAACAGTCTTAACATTGATCAGAACTATACACTGTAAAACAGTCTTAACATTGATCAGAACTATACACTGTAAAACAGTCTGAAACCCCATAAAATAACTTTATTTACGAAAGGTAAGAAATATTACATATAACGGATTGATTTCACAACTTGTTTCTGTAACAATCGGGGTTTTCAGTACCACTGGTTTCCTATTGATTGCTCTACCCGAAGGACACAGAGAATCGATGGACACGATAAATGTTTCATTATCATCTATTTCAGGCGATCTTTTTATTAGGTTGATCGCTAGTGCAGGTCTCCTAATGCAATGCTGTTCTTTTACACACGGAATGGGGTGATAATTGAACCCATTTGAGATAAACACACTTGACGGGCCATGTATTGGCGATTTTCACTGGTTTTGGAGTGTACTTGATCAGCAGGCGTCATATCAAACTTGGATAAATCAATATGTTAAGTGGCCTGATATTGAAAATGTTCCTAGACAGTAGCGGTTATGATTTATAGTGTTATCACAAAGAAATGATGAATAGATCACGGCATTAGGAAACGTTATCGAATATAGAGAGTTGAGAGACAGTTGTTGTGATTTTTGTGGTATTCTCATTGGATATTTTTCATTGTTTAATCAGTTTCAAAAGTTTATTTAATATAGACTGATGTATATTTACAATGTCATTGCTAACCTGATGATATATAACTGGTTATCACAGACCCGTGTCACTGCTAACCTGATGATATATAACTGGTTATCACAGACCCGTGTCACTGCTAATCTAATGATATATAACTGGTTATCACAGACCCGTTTACAATGTCACTGCTAACCTGATGATATATCACTGGTTATCACAGACCCGTTTACAGTGTAACTGCTAACCTGATGATATATAACTGGTTATCACAGATCCGTGTCAGTGCTAACCTGATGATATATAACTGGTTATCACAGACCCGTGTTATTGCTAACCTGATGATTTATAACTGATTATCACAGACCTGTTTACAGTGTCACTGCTAACCTGATGATTTATAACTGATTATCACAGACCCGTTTACAGTGTCACTCCTAACCTGATGATATATAACTGATTATCACAGACCCGTGTCACTCCTAACCTGATGATATATAACTGATTATCACAGACCCGTGTCACTCCTAACCTGATGATATATAACTGGTTATCACAGACACGTTTACAGTGTCACTGCTAACCTAATGATGTATAACTGGTTATCACAGACCTGTTTACAGTGTCACTCCTAACCTGATGATATATAACTGGTTATCACAGACCCGTTTACAGTGTCACTGCTAACCTGATGATATATAACTGATTATCACAGACCCGTTTACAGTGTCACTGCTAACCTGATGATATATAACTGGTTATCACAGACCCGTGTCACTCCTAACCTGATGATATATAACTGATTATCACAGACCCGTTTACAGTGTCACTGCTAACCTAATGATATATAACTGGTTATCACAGACCCGTGTCACTCCTAACCTGATGATATATAACTGATTATCACAGACCCGTTTACAGTGTCACTGCTAACCTAATGATATATAACTGGTTATCACAGACCTGTGTCACTGCTAACCTGATGATATATAACTGGTTATCACAGACCTGTTTACAGTGTCACTGCTAACCTGATGATATATAACTGGTTATCACAGACCTGTTTACAATGTCACTGCTGGCCTGTTTGACCATTTTCATTTTTAAATATGTCGAAAAGTTAAATAATTGATAGAGACTAATTCTTGGTTTCTTGCAGGTTCGAGCGGTGTCTCGAAACAATCAATGGGACATTAACAATCGTATGACTGAAAGAAAATTGAAAGTAGAACGGAAGATTTCCAGGACGATACTCATCATGATTGGTGAGAGTTCATTTTGTTTTTAAAAAACCGGATATGACGTAAACATGAAACAACAGAGTTACCTCCCTTGTATGTTTATTAACGGATGTAGTGTAATAAAGAGTTTGTTATTGAAAATTCAGTACAATCGCTAGAGTAGACAAAGCTGACATCACTAGATAATGGCCAATAGAAAATGAAAAAGTGAATACCCTTTAGTAATCACTTGTGATCTTAATGTTTGCTGTAGATATAGATACGTAAGCATCGATTTTCATATTGTGTCGGTGAACATGTTGTACATAACAACGTCAAGTATCATCGTGAGAGGGGACATTCATTTCGTCATTCATTTGTTTCCAATTAGTATAATTCTGTTAATTTCAATGTAACATCACTTTTATCAAAGTGTACATTGAAAAATAAATTAGAAACTGAAATTGAGCATGATATTTACTACATGTGGGAATACATGATTTCAAGTTGTTTATCAAGTAAAAGTACTGATTTACAGGATAGCATGTTGTGATATAGCCGGTCTGTGTTCCAGTGAACTCGGTCCATCTTATATTTTTGCATGAGTCACTTTTGTGCAACATTATGGAATGTTTTTCACTGGCTGAGCAAATAAGTTTTTGATTATATCATAACAGAGACAGTGAGTTAAAAATGGCGAAACAAAATGACATTCTGGGGTTGTTTTCTCCTCCACATGTTCATTTTAAATTCTGTCATAGTATAACTCTTCCTGCGTAATGTGATGAAATATATCTTAAACTTGTCACTGTGACTATTATCATATGAAAGAAAAATCTGTGTGTAACATTTAAAATATTTGCTATATATGTTTGCTTATGTCTCATTTCACTGTTCATCAACTTGAGCGGAAATATCTTTATAGCCCAATATGTAATGTTTCAGGAGTGTTCCTGGGTTGCTGGTCGCCATATGCTATAGTCTCGTTTTGGGCGGCATTTGGAGTTGCCAACGATATTCCTGTAGGTGTGACGGGAATACCACCTTTCATTGCAAAAACGTCTTCTGTGTGGAACCCAATCATCTACATATGTACAAACAGGCAGTTCCGAACGGCCTTCTTGCATATCCTTCCTTGTGTCAGCTTACGAAGAGAACAAGCTGAATCAAGCGAAATGATTCATGTCGGTTCTTCTCGAGTCGTTGCCATCGACAGTCCAACTCCGCCATTACGACAGCAGCTCAACTGTTTGACCAACCAAAATGAGAGACCTCATCTACCAAGTGGCAAGAACGTAATATTTGATGACGTCGTCGAGGAATCCAGAGTTGAGCCGATTAATGTCCCTAAACAAGAAATGGGCGACGTTTAAATTTGATTAGGTATCGAACTTTCCGTCAGGAAAATATCCACATGCTATCCGTTCGTTATTAATGTACTTGTGTGAGAAGTAAAACAATTTAAGTATAAAACTTTTTTCTGGTGATGATGTTTTGAAAGGTTTGAGTTTAGAGAGTAAATTGAAAGCGAACAAAAAAAAACATCAATTCGTTGCTGCAATACTTTTTTCCGGTACAGGCGTCAGAATATGCTATTTTCTAATAAATGTTCGTCTTTCATTACAAAGTAAGTATGATACTTTTGATATTGAGAAATCATCATGTGAAAATGCTAGGTTTTCATTTGATTGAAAGAGCTTTAAACTCCATGGCAATCAAAAAATGAAAATGTTCCAAAATTACATAAATATTTTATTTGTCCATATTCTAGTAACAAACTTTTTTCAAGACTATAATTTTTCGATAGAGACATTTCGATGGTACCTTTCATGACAACAAAGAGCGGATTTCTTTTCTTTATTTTTACAATTTTCACCTTAACATCTAGTTGTTCCAAGATCAAGATACCAGCTGAAATATTCATTTTCGGGTGTTAAAATTCCGAGAAGGTTGTCACCAAGTCGGAATTCATGAATTAGAAATCAATGGTTTGTGATGATAATTCTACCCAAGACGAAACACCTTAGCAACAAGAAAGCATTGGCATTGTACACGCTATTAATCGAATCACGCCGTCAACTATGCCCTCAAAAAAGTAGTCCATAGGTGAAATTTCTTCAAAACGTTACACAAATCGCATGTTTTCAACCTGTAAGTATAACTATTTTATGATGAAATGAATGTTAAACTGACTTATGTCTTACTTCCGGTCAAAACACCAGAGGAGTGAAACTTTAGGCACAACATTGTCTTCAGGACAAACTACTGTAATGTTTCCAAAACCGTACTTCCCTCGACTTGCTCTATCAAAATTACTAATGACCTTTCTGACTTTGATAATCGTTCAATTCTATCTGAGAGAATCTGTTGGACTCAAATCTTTTGTGTGTTGCTGGACGTGAGATTTTAGAATTCAAAAACTGGAGGCATATCTAATGAAAAATTTAACCTATCAGCTGTGGCATAGTTTTGCTAAGCGATGATATTGATTTCTAAACGACATCCAAAGACATCCATCGACATATAGGTTTATGGTCACGATCTACGACATGACCTTTCTGGTGTAAATGTTATTTTTCTAAATTGCGGCAACTCGTTAATGATGCTCTTCATCCTTATTCCGGAAAACCTGAACCACCTGAACACCTCATTATCTTACCAGCATTCATTGGCCATCATTATCGTCACCAAATCGTGTACCGCTAGAGAACGCACGGCCTATTTCTATCGTAATTTTTAGTCTCTCTGGAGACTTAACAGATGTTCTATATGACAATGTCTCCATTTATTTGTCCAGCTTTTTCACTTGCCATCATTCTGTACTGTTATTGTATTCCGTTAAATCTATTCTTGTATTGAATGCATGTGATATTAGGCAACTTGTAAACAGCTGAATATCAATTTCTTATATATTTTTTAAAATTTTGTCTACTTATGAATATTGAACACAATTATCTAAACAAGGTCAGAGTCTGTACTAAATTATAACCATACTTCCATGATCACTGTCGTCAACCTGTTCAAGAATAATCTTTTCAAAATGGCGGACCAAGACGTCAACGAAAGTAGGTGCCCTCTTTAAGCTACAAAGACACTGTTTTCGGCCCTGAAAACACCGGTACCCCTACAAATGTTTAGAATATTCTATTTTCAACGGCCCTGAAAACATCGGTACCCCTACAATTGTTTAGAATATTCTATTTTCAACGGCCCTGAAAACATCGGTACCCATACAATTGTTTAGAATATTCTATTTTCAACGGCCCTGAAAACATCGGTACCCATACAATTGTTTAGAATCTTATATAACGGTCGTATGGTTTACAAATGAATGTGGAATCAAAATATTCTCTTGTATTTTTCATTTTTGTTTTGTGACAATGATACAGAACTGGGTTTACCCTAGGTATTAGATTATTCAGGTGATAACTTTTTGTCAGGTCGGCGAGAAAAAGCCTGCGTTGTTTCCACAGACCGTGTTTGGAAGATTAGACATCACTCATGAACTTGGTATAGTTAGTGTGATGGTGGTGTCCTACTGCAGAGAGAGGCTGTTTTATCATTAGTATAACCTATACAACAGAAGTGAACGTATTCCCTGATTTCGTTTCTGTTCATTTTGGATGGTTTTTTGGGGTTTTTTTTTTTAAAACATTTGTGTCGATTTCACATTTTATCAGCACCTAACCAGAAAGGTATCTTGAAAGTGCAAGTTTTGTTGGTACTTCCTGTTATATATTGGTTGGAAAACGACAAGCCAGTGAATTACAACAGGAGAATGATAATTTCTGACGACGTCAAAGCTTCGTTAAATAAAACGTAATCTTTAGCGTGACGCCAAAATCCGTTGACACCTTCGAAATTTATAAGGCGAAATCGGTTTACAAGTTCCACTAGGTTGAATAACGATTTCCGTCAGCAACTGGAAGAAGAATGTCTGCGAAAAAGAACATAGAGAATAGACTTCACAGCTCTAGATTACGCGCTCACAAACACGCTGCGCCCTCGACTAACATAGTCGCTCTACACCCTTGACTCACTGACCCGCTGTACGTCCTCGACTCGCACACTCCCTATACGCCATTGACTCACAGACACGCTGTTCGCCTTCAACTCACAGATCTGCTGTACGTCCTTGACTCACTGACCCGCTGCAAGCCCTCGACTCACTGACCCGCTGTACGCCCTCGACTCACAGACCCGCTGTACGTCACGACTCACACACTCGCTGTACGCCACGACTCACAGGCACGCTGTACGCCCACGACTCACAGACCCGCTGTACGTCACGACTCACACACTCGCTGTACGTCATGACTCACAGACACGCTGTACGCCCTCGACTCTCACACCCGCTGTACGTCACGACTCACTGACCCGCTGTACGTCACGACTAGCTGACCCGCTGTACGTCACGACTCACAGACCCGCTGTACGCCCTCGACTCACAGACCCGCTGTACGTCACGACTCACACACTCGCTGTACGTCATGACTCACAGACACGCTATTCGTCACGACTCACAAACCCGCTTAACGTCACGACTCACAGACCCGCTGTACGTCACGACTCACAGACCCGCTGTACGCCCTCGACTCACTGACCCGCTGTACGCCACGACTCACAGACCCGCTGTACGTCAAGACTCACAGACACGCTGTACGCCACGACTCACAGACACGCTGTACACCCACGACTCACAGACCCGCTGTACGTCACGACTCACACACTCGCTGTACGTCATGACTCACAGACACGCTATTCGTCACGACTCACAAACCCGCGGTACGTCACGACTCACAAACCCGCTTAACGTCACGACTCACAGACCCGCTGTACGTCACGACTCACAGACCCGCTGTACGCCCTCGACTCACTGACCCGCTGTACGCCACGACTCACAGACCCGCTGTACGTCAAGACTCACAGACACGCTGTACGTCACGACTCACACAAACGCTGTACGCCACGACTCACAGACACGCTGTACACCCACGACTCACAGACCCGCTGTACGTCACGACTCACACACTCGCTGCACGTCACGATTCACAGACCCGCTGTGCGTCACGACTCAGAGACCCGCTGTACGTCACAACTCACAGACCCGCTGTACGTCACGACTCACAAACCCGCTTAACGTCACGACTCACAGACCCGCTGTACGTCACGACTCAATGACCCACTGTACGGCACGACTCACAGACCCGCTGTACGTCAAAACTCAATGACCCACTGTATGTCACGACTCACAGACCCACTATACGTCACGACTCACAGACCACTGTATGTCACGACTCACAGACCCTTTGTACGTCACGACTCACAGACCCACTGTACGTCACGACTCACAGACCCACTGTATGTCACGACTCACAGACCCGTTGTACGTCACGACTCACAGACCCGCTGTACGTCACGACTCACAGACCCGCTGTACGTCACGACTCAATGACCCACTGTACGTCACGACTCAATGACCCACTGTACGTCACGACTCACAGACCCGCTGCAAGCCCTTGACTCACTGACCCGCTGTACGCCCTCGACTCACTGTCTCGCTGGGAGTCCTCGACTCACAGACTCGCTGTACACCCTCCACTCACAGACACGCTGTAAGTCAAGACTCACAAACCCTCTGTACGTCACGACTCACTGACCCGCTGTACGTCACGACTCATAGACATGCTGTACGTCACGACTCACTGACCCGCTGTACGTCACGACTCATAGACATGCTGTACGTCACGACTCACTGACCCGCTGTACGTCACGACTCATAGACATGCTGTACGTCACGACTCACTGACCCGCTGTACGTCACGACTCACTGACCCGCTGTACGTCACGACTCACTGACCCGCTGTACGTCACGACTCATAGACATGCTGTACGTCACGACTCACTGACCCGCTGTACGTCACGACTCACAGACCCGCTGTACGTCACGACTCAATGACCCACTGTACGTCACGACTCACAGACCCGCTGTACGTCACGACTCACTGACCCGCTCTCCTTCCGTCACCTTCTTCCAATCCCCTATCTCTGACATAAAATAGATAAATAAAACAAAAATAGGATATAGTAAACACTTTATTGTCTACAAGTCGACACCTGAAAAAGTGTTTACAGTTTGCATATCATATTTACAAAATAAATAATTATAGGAATCACAGATAGGCATTATAGATTAAAGGCGTCCTTACGTCCACGCGCCATTCAAATATAACTTAAGATATATTAAATATAATGCATAAGAACTTTTGAATATTCATGACATGGATACAAGAAATTATAAATTATATCGCACACTGAGACACTTTTATTTTTCAATACATTTATATTACTATAGATATCGGCAAAGTAATGAGTGGTAGGGATATAATGGGTGAAGGAGAGGACTGGCACAATATAGTTCCCCATGTTTCAGTCTGTAGCTCCGAGAGACAGTGCCTCCTAGCTCAATGCATATTTTTAATTATATCGCTTAAAAACATCTGATACAAACTGATAGGGATGATATAAATTTACAATATGGAGGGCTCCTTGGGTCCTCACAGCAGTGTCAAGCTATTGAGAATGCCTCGCTCTCGCTCGCTGTTGAAACTATTTTACATTTCAGCACACAACCAATGAAATGAAACATGAAGACAAAGTATGGACGAAGTGTTAATAATTTGTATTCAGTTCCTAAGGCTTTGAACTTTTTTGGTGGCAAATGTCAACAGCGATGAAACCAGTAAGTTTTGTTTCCTTTTTATAATTTTTTAAAATGTAACATCATTTTAAGATGCAAAACAAGGGGCCTTACGGGCTTTTATGGTCACCCGAGTTGTACAAAGCTGTTTGTCAATGTTACAATACAACAAAGTAAACATGAACGAAATTGCTGATGCTTTGCAAACTAAACGTAAAGTATACAAAATATTAACTACCTTTCAATGTTTATAATTCTAACCAAGTTTGAATTATTTCCAACCGGCAAAAAAAAAAAAGAAATCTTTCTCAAAACTGAAGCTTTTTGTGCTATTGTAGCTACACTATACGTTACCCGACGAAGGAGACCACTGGTGTGAAAATTTCTGTAATTTCATTCAATATAACTTTAATTGGTCCGCTCATTAACTCCCGCGGCGGCTCAGTCGGCCACTGTATGATATTGTTATACTTTACTAACAGTTCTAACCAAGTCTGAAAATATTTTCGATGGAACGATTACCGGTTGATGGCTCTAATGACCATTTATGTGTTGACGGGCCCTTAAGAATGTCATAATAATAATAATAATAATAATAATAATAATAATAATAATCAATTGAACACTTCTGCAAAATTTCGTCCAAATCGGTTTATGTATTTTTGAAAAAAAAAATTTAAAAATCGAAAATGTGAATTGTTAACGGACGTAGGACGGTGAATATTTTACGTGCTGGGCCCCAATATACTGGTTTCCCAAAATAAAAACAAAATTTGAGGCATCACTTGTATATGGTTATCTAATGTTGTCTAAGCATGTTTGATGATAAAAAGGTTTTCTGAATCTATAGAACACAAACTACTGATCAAAGTGACAAGTGAGATATGTTTAAGGAAACACGAGTAGGTGAAGAATTGTATTTTGGGGTCAGACTTAGTAAGTGCTGATAACCTATAGACTATTAGTTATAATTTGTAAAAAAAAAATTATCACATCTTTATTGCAATACAGTTTGGTATCTCAGCACTTTTTATAATGAGCATCATTAAAACTATCACAGATAAAAATTGCATTTTATAAGAATGATATGGAAATATAGCTTGTTTATATCTTTTGAATAGTATTCAGTAAGTTGTTCCAAAGATGCAAGAAAATGTAACTGAAAATTTTAACCCTGCTTCAGGTGTAAATTTGATTATCCGTATAATGCGAAAAAAACTTTACCGAACCAGGCCTCTTTAGTCCGAACCATACCTCTTTAGTCCGTACCAGACCTCTTTAGTCCGAACCAGACCTCTTTATTCCGAACCAGATCTCTTTAGTCCGAACCAGATCTCTTTAGTCCGAACCAGACCTCTTTAGTCCGAACCAGACCTCTTTATTCCGAACCAGACCTCTTTAGTCCGAACCAGACCTCTTTATTCCGAACCAGACCTCTTTAGTCCGAATCAGACCTCTTTAGTCCGAACCAGATCTCTTTAGTCCGAACCAGACCTCTTTAGTCCGAACCAGATCTCTTTAGTCCAAACCAGATCTCTTTAGTCCGAACCATTGACGACATTTCGCTTTTTATAGTTTGAACTTCGAGCGACACCTCTAGATCCGAACCGTGGAAAAATTCATCTTCAGTCCAAACACTGAGTGATATCCCAGTCTTTCGAGGATATCTCGCCGGAATCGTTACTCTGTATTAATCATGCATTATTTCACTAACCAACAGTAACCACAAACTCACGAAGAAAATTGCTAGGAAATGGAATCAAACTGACATATGGAAGCGCCAGAGAGGACTCTTTGTCGAAGGAAACCAGATCAAAAGATACGCAGATACTACCTCAGGAATCAGGGCCATCTTGACGAACTGGCAAAATCGTATCCACCATGTCATATTAATGGCAGTGCATTGAAGTGTTGGAAACGGTCATTGTTAAAGCATTTTTTTCACTTGAACTTCATATAAAAGCGGTGGTAATGGTACATTTTAACAGGCTTATAAGTGTCCGGCTAGATTTCCAAATTAATGTTGTAATCAAAGATGGCGGATTAGGAAACCAAACTGACCTAAGCAGGGTGACACAGCGGTAACGTGAAAGCATTAAGTTCTGATGTCCGTGACAGGAATGGATAAGATATTGTAGAACATCGGATGATTCCGACAAAAAAAATCATTGCCGGAAAATCTATTTCTAGTATCGATTAAGTAATAGATGTGGTGGAACTTAAAAATACACTTTAAATGATATAAGGAATGAACAGTCTGGAATGTTCTACTTCTCTCCCCCTCGTCATACTACTTATAAACTCGTGTATAAGATCATCTTTCATTAAATTAAATGGATTTGTTTCACGCATTATATTATGACATTAAGCGACATAGAGATGTTAGATGGTGTGGTTAATGACGAACTAAACTCCAAATCTTGGTATTGTTCTACAAATAAAGACACACAAGCAACGAAATCGCAGCCAACACCAGAAATTGCAGACATCCAACAATTCGGCATCAAATATATAATATCACTCCTGTGTTAATCATCACACATAATCATCCTCATCCCCTACGTTACAAGAAAGGGTATTTGACGAACTAGACAAACTACCTATAGAAACTGCACGGACGAGTTTCGGTGTGCGAGTGCTCTCCCTTTGATTGTTCAAAAACTCTTTTCTTCCTGTTGTCAGAGGAGTTGATAATTTTGGAACCGGCGTTTCTGAACCATTCCGGATCGTTTCGTTATATCCGTTATAATCCAACTGATCCCGAGAAGAATATTTTGATATTTCACCACATACATCATCAGTAAAGTCATACGTCTGTGACAAATCACCGTTAGAGATTCCTTTAATTGGAGACATGTTTTCTAAATTAGAAGATGACAGTAAATTAGAAACAGATTTAGATTTTCCTATCCCTGATAGCGACTTAGGTGCCGGAATTCTAGATCTAGGTCCGGATTTTTCGTCCTTTCTTGGTTTTGTATTAATTAGCTCTTTAATCTTTGACACTAGCATGCTTGTATGATCCGAAACACTTCGTTTCATGTTTGTTTCCGGTGCAGGTGCAGAATGCACACTGTTTGAACTTGACTTCCGTGAAATGGATGACTGCGTTGGAGTACTAGGCCGGGGTGGCATTGAGTTTGCCCGCGTGAACTGTTGTGGTGTTCCACGCTCTTTTGTTGGAAATGATGGAGTCTTTGGTCGAGAAGGAGTTGAGGCTGTAGAGCCCCGGTTGCTTGTAGAAGGCGAGCTTTTGAAGGACGACTTGGAATTTTTCCGTTTCACATTTTCGTTGCTGTCTAGAGACCCCACATCGCCACTAGCAACGTCTGAGTCATCCTGTTCACTACTAAATTTAGTTATCAGTTCACCATTGCCACCAGGAGTTTCGTTTACGGAATCTCGAAGCTCCTTCGCTTTCAGTCTTCTGAATAATTCGTCCATCTTAGCGTACGCGTCAGCGTCCTCTGGTGGTGCATCAAGGCCATCGAGGTCGACTTCTTTTAGACCATTGATTGGGAGAGACAGTGCTGCCTTGATCTCCGCCAAAGGGCGCGATTCTAGCTCGTGCTCGTGAATATCCCTGGGGTTAGGGGTTTTGCAGCGTCTGTGCACAGACTTCGGGGGAAAGGATTTGGTCGGAGTTTTTGCCTTTGTATTTTTAGCAGCTGATTCTACCCAAGCCTCAGTTCGATTATTCACAAAATGTGTACCATTCTCGCCGCGTTGGACAACTAGCACGTTTTCCTCTAGCTTCTTCGAGGCAGCAGATTCTGGGTCGACACTTCGCGGTCTCGTTCGAAGAGATGACGTTGCCATCACGTTTCGTGCCCGTGACCTTGACCTATCCACATCGGATGTTGGTTTCTGGTTTTGAGATGCCGTTGACGCTCTCGCAATAATACGGCATCCACTAGGACGAGGTGTCTTTGTTTCCTTTGTATCGCTTACTGACAAGACATGTCTTCCACCTGACCTATTTACCGTTAGAACAGTTTCTCCCTCCGTCGAATTTTGTGCACTTAGAGATCTGTGTTCTATGCTGGGTGTGCGCGACCTGCGTTGCGAGGCAGGGCTATCTGAAACATTACGAGCCCTTGTTGAATCTACCGTGCGACTACCGTACACGTTGCTAACGCTCTCTGTGACAGACTTCTGGGAAGGCATACTTAAACCCCTGTCTCTGTCCTCGGGGCCCGGAGTTCTTGACCTACGGGGTGTAATTACAGCGGCATTCATTGTAGCAGGTCCAGGAGTGGAGGAACGTTTTGCTAGAAACATTTTAGTATATGAAGAACTATTGCTTGTATTCGAGGTCTTGGATGCGCTTGATGCCGATGGAGCCTTAGCTAAGATAGTAGCTTTTCTTGGCGTGGGCGGTTTTCCACTGCTTGCTTGGGAACTTTGATTCTGACCGGAATACGCTGGTTGCTTTTCCAAATTATGAATGGAATCCTTCAAACTGGATAACGGCGTGCACGGTCGCGGAATTAGGGAGGGGGTGGAGGGGCGAGCCGGTGTGGATGGTCGTGCTAGTCTTTCTTCGGGAGAATGCATAACAGGTACGACGGGAATTTCATCTACGGTAGATGATTGTGACGCGTTTGCTGTTTTGATGATATTATCATCGAGACTTTGTGTTCTATTGATTTTGTCTTTCGATACCAAATGGAATTCGTCCTTTGGTGAAGAGTCTACACTCGATAAAGAACTTTGACGGGATGCTCCGTAACTACGTTCTACAGAGGAACTTTTACTGCCGTCTGACAAAACACTTAACGAAACGTCACTTCCGGAATTTGTAATATGTTTTGTATCGCTACTTCCTGAATTCAATTGTCGCAGAGCTTGGTAAGTTTTTGAAAATGAACCTTGATTAGATTCAGTTTCCGCAGCAACTTCGCTTGTAATGGACACATAACTCACATTTGGTGATGTCTGTTCCGGTTTCGGGGAGACATGTGCTGTCGAATTAAAATTATCCTTCCGATAAGGTGTACTTGAAGAGCTAGTATTGTGCGCTGTAGCTGAAGCGGAAACGCTTTCTGAACCAGTTCCATAGCGACTCGCGGCAAGACGAGCACGAATTTCAGCGATCCTTTCACTTCTAGAACTCGTCGTATCGGATGACAAATCACTTTTAGAAGTTGACAATGTCCTAGTATCAGATACCTTTATATCATTATCACTTTGCCTGTCGCTCGTAATCCTACTCAAAGAATTTGAACGCATTTCATTTCGTGTTTGCTCCCCAAACGTTCGGTTCAGTGATCTCGAATGCTGTTCCGTTTTAGTTTCGAATGAATTCCTTGTAAAATTCCCCTTTGAACTATTGTTTGTTTCGTTTCCACTGTTTTGAAATCGCGTTGGTGTTTTTGGACGACTAGTTCCGGATGGCCCACTTGTCTGTCGTGTGACCCCTGGCGAAGGTCGAGGTACACTTCCGGTTGCGGATCTCGAAACAGTCACTGGTGTTGTGGACCGGAACTGACTTGTAGGTGTCTTGGGTCGTGACACCGAACTGGCACTAACTGGTGTCTTTGGTCGAGTGACAGAATTAACAGGTGTTTTAGGCCTAGGCACAGTATTCACTGGTGTTTTTGGTCGCGCGATTGACGTTTTCCTTGATGGTCTATCGAGTTCATAGTAATCGTCAGAAGACTGGGTGGATTTGAGTATCTTATCGTGTTTGCTAGCACTACTTCCTGTATCGAAACTTCTAGAAGTGTTCTTGTTTCCCCATGTTCTATACTTTTGTGTTGCCTCCATAAGTGGAAGCTTTTTATTCGGATATCCAGTGTGTGTGTGTTTAAAACTTTCCGTACTGCTTTGCGACCTCGGTGAATCTAGACTTCCTTCCGAAGTGTTGCCGTTCGGAACAGACAATGCATTATTTAAGAGACTCTTAAACTCGTCCAATGTCATAGTACTTATTTGGTCCAAACTAAGGTTGTTTTGATTTGGCGTGGATCCTGACGTCACATCCGTTTCCTCACTATCGTTACCAGAAGAATCCATACTTGGTCGTGATGGTAACTGTCGACGGTCGTCTAGTCTGGAGACTCTGCAATAACAAAGCATCAATGAGTACTGCAATATTATACTATGTCGTGAAATGGCGACTTACCTAGTTATTCGATATAACTAAGTTCGTTTTACTGAGGTATTTTGAGATCAATTATACTTCTCGCCATTAATCCTTCAGTTCGTATGCAGTAAAATACACCATGATTATCACGGCGCATTTCATGTAAATCTGTTCTTGTTTATACATCAATACCTATAATATGAAATCTAAAAAGTAGACAGGTTATCATCATATATACGTTGAAATAAAAAAAAAAACCGGCTATGGTGATGATCACAAGTGGGTTATCATGAAACATACTTGTTTAAAAAACAATGCATTAAATAGGTAAAGATGGTAACCAATCTATTGTTGTATATACTGAATGGTCCCGGGTGTTTTTAATACGAGGACAAGATACCATTGAACCCAGATAAAAAGTGTAAAGGGTCACTGTAGTTGTAGTGTGTTCGTTTTACGAATGCAGTTAGAAAAGAGCTGTAAGATAAATGTTGAATGTGGTTAGTAAAGGAGTGAACCTTTACATGGAGTAGACATCAAGCTTCCTTATAATTACAAAAATGATATAGAGAAACGTTCTCAAATGGTATTAATTATACTGTTAGATATCTCCATCAACGGAGGCTTGACGAAACCTAAGTACACACATCTATGATATTAACTGAGGTCTGACGACATCCCAGTACACACACTTCTATGATATTACCTGAGGTCTGACGACAACCCAGTATACACATCTATGATATTATCTGAGACCTGACGACACCCCAAATACACACATCTATGATATTAACCGAGGTCTGACGACACCCCAATACACACATCTATTATATTAACTAAGGCCTGACGACACCCCAGTACACACATCTATGATATTAACCGAGGTCTAACGACATCTCAGTACACACATCTATGATAGTAACTGAGACCTGATGACGCCCCAGTACACACATCTATGGCAATAACTGAGAACTGACGACACCCCAGTACACACATCTATGATATTAATGGATGTCTGACGACACCCCAATACACACATCTATGATATAAACCGAGGTCTGACGACACCCCAGTACACACATCTATGATATAAACCGAGGTCTGACGACACTCCAGTACACACATCTATTTTTTTAACTGATGTCTGACGACACCCCAGTACACACATCTATGATATTAACCGAGGTCTGACGACACCCAAGTACACACATCTATTATATCTATCGAGGTTTGACGATACCGAGGAACACACATCTATGATATTAACGGAGGTCTGACGACACCCCAGTACACACATCTATGATATTAACTGAGACCTGACGACACTGATGATTAACTGAGACCTGACGACACCCCACTACACAAATCTATGATATCAACTGAGACCTGACGACACCCCACTACACAAATCTATGATATCAACTGAGACCTGACGGCATGTACCACAAAGACAGACCATTCCATTAACCTGAATGTTGTAGTACCACAAGTCGTTACTTTAAAGCATGCACTGCCAAAAAATGTCTGCCTGTCCCCGTCTGTCTTATAATCTGTTTGTTAAAACGACTTGTGAATATGATAAGTGTATTGAATTTCTGAAAACTTGTAAAATCAAATGGATATTTTAGTTTTGGAACAAACAAGTTCACAAATACATCTTAATTCTATTGAACGAATGATTACGCCAACCAAACAGTCAGAAAAAAAACTTACGGTTTGTTGTTATTAGATATATATGTATCCTTCGGGTCATACTCGGGGCTCGTTATAGACACATAACTCACGTTAGGGGCCGTCTTCAGGGGCCCATCACTTGATGACGTATTGCTGGTACAGTAACCATATAAGGGCATGGCCGTGCCCCTTATAGGGAGACCATTTAACACATCCATTTTATCGCCAATCCAAGTATTAATACATTTATAAATCCACAAGATTTGAGTTGAGGATCGTCACTACCCCGGAATGCATTTTAACAGAAGTGGAACCTTATCGTACCGGGTTATAAGTCTTCTTCTCGTCTTTGTAAAATCACGTCTGTTGAAATTTCAAAATGGCTACGAATTTTAAATATACATGTGTAAATGTTCGATATAACATTTACACGGGTAAACACTGTAGAAGTATTTACCTGTATGTGTCAACCTTGCCTACAATCTAAGATCGAATTCTTTGTCCGTGACCCATACCAATATATACAGAACGCTGGAACCGCGCCAGGGGGACTCCTTTAAAAATGGCGGATCAGATATTGTAGTGGGTTTGCCTTGTATTGAGTGGAGAGACTTGAAAAGGTGGTGATGGATTCGATGTCAGATCCAATCAGATATAGGCTACCTATAACGTGTTTAGAGTTTATATGATACACTTCATAACAATTCATGAATCTTTCATCTTTGGATTCTCATGTAAGAAAAGGAAATACATACGAAAAGAAACACTTTTTAAGATTAAATTGATTACGATTGAACACAACAAACAAACACACACACCACCTCACACCCACACACAAACAACTGTCCAGACTACAGGGGTTCTATTTTACACAATCGTCCAGGTTATCATGGTTCTATTGTACACAGTTATCCTGGCTATCGGAGTTCTATTTTCGGATAAACATGTAGTTTAGATTTACAGTTTCAAGAAACATGTATGACACATTTCATAGGTTGATATGTGGCACACATCTCAAGTTAAACCCATGTCACATAGACTTTAAAGACAACTTTAATTACACGTGTGTCTGACTCAACTAGGACACAGATTCATTACACGTGTCTGACTCAGTCTGGGACACACAGTTTCAGTTACACGTGTGTCAGACAGTCTGGGACACACAGCTTCAGTTACACGTGTGTCAGACAATCTGGGACACACAGTTTCAGTTACACGTGTGTCAGACAGTCTGGGACACACAGCTTCAGTTACACGTGTGTCAGACAGTCTTGGACACACAGCTTCAGTTACAAGTGTGTCAGACAGTCTGTGACACACAGCTTCAGTTACACGTGTGTCAGACAGTCTGGGACACACAGTTTCAGTTACACGTGTGTCAGACAATCTGGGACACACAGCTTCAGTTACACGTTTCGCACTCATCCACACATTACATTCAGGTTGTGTACATTTTATAACACATAACAGTACGAGATTGGACACGTCCACGCACAGATGTGTATACAACCAATTCAAGTGAATTCGACACCGAACTATGGCAATCTATACCTGTGTTAAAAGCTCGTATCTACAGAGTACTTTATATTCTTGTCAGCAAAAATAACCGGAACGTCACGATTATCCTTAGTACGAGTTTAAAAGAAAAAAATTCGAAACTTATTATCAAATAAAAAAAATCTCGTATCTAATTAATACCTTTACAGCCTCTAATAATTTCGGCTGATTTTTAAATTACAATTGATTTTAGTCATCAGCTTCCTGACAACGATGAATTATGCATAAAGTTCGTAAGTTTAAAATTTGGTATTGATATAATTATATCAACACGTGGCCTACAAGATAGATAGGTATTTTACTTACTTCTTTGTTATTCATTTATGAAGGTTTTCCATTCGACAGCATTTTAAATATTGGGAATTTAAATGTCCTTACTCAGACTTTTGTCAATAATGGTCTTTGTTGTGTGAACAATGTCGGCTGATTTGTGTTATGTGTCGGTAGTCAGCGATGTCCAACTTTAACGTCACACACACATAATACGTCCATCCTCGGCAATGAAAACACACCATACATTCCATAGAAAGACGATATACATTGGATTTGTTTTGAAAACAAACATGTCACAGCATACAGTACTCAGAGGAAATGTTTATAGATTTTAAATAGCGTCACTGTTGTAAAAACATACATTCTACATGTCGGTACATAATGAGTGTTACTGTCCACAACCCCTGAAAATAACCCCAGTAGTTCACATTGTAGAAAGATGTCACTACAAAGTAGAATTTATAAATCTGTTTTTCTATTCACCAGTTTTATGAAACACTTTCCTATCAGAGCTGTAGCACTGACTGATTAAGCGAAAGGTTTACAAATATTTCCATAAAGTTGTATCTTTTAAACAGTCAAAGCGATATGGAGTGCGTCTCTGCTGGACCCGCAAACTTAAAATTATGTCACTTTCACAAGTTACGTACATTACACGGACGTTGGTACACACGGACAGACATCAACATGTATGTACTTAGCAGTCACGATTCCAAACTATTCTTTGATATATATATACCCTTTACAAGCATTCGAAAGCCTAACTTAATTTCTTAAATAACTGTGTTTCAAAAATAGTGTTTATTTTAAATAATGAAAAATCATCATACGACTTTCTGTTTATGTTGTATATGTGTATATTTCTTTAATACAGAATCTTGAGTGTTAGATTTTTTTAACCCTATAGATAATTGTACTTTGATGTGGAATTAGCCGGGAGTTCCGGGAAGGATTCAAGATCCGGGCTATCGGATAAGTGGATGTTGGATGACACATGGGGGTATGGAGAGAGTGGGTGTTGATGAACATTATGTCCAGGGTGGGTATATGACACATGGGGGTATGGAGAGAGTGGGTGTTGGAGAGCATTATGTCCAGGGTGAGTATATGACACATGGGGGTATGGAGAGAGTGGGTGTTGATGAACATTATGTCCAGGGTGGGTATATGACACATGGGGGTATGGAGAGAGTGGGTGTTGATGAACATTATGTCCAGGGTGGGTATATGACACATGGGGGTATGGAGAGAGTGGGTGTTGGAGAGCATTATGTCCAGGGTGAGTATATGACACATGGGGGTATGGAGAGAGTGGGTGTTGATGAACATTATGTCCAGGGTGGGTATATGACACATGGATGTATGGAGGGAAGTGGATGTTGGAGAACATTATGTCCAGGGTGGGTATATGACACATGGATGTATGGAGAGAGTGGGTGTTGGAGAGCATTATGTCCAGGGTGGGTATATGACACATGGGGGTAGGGAAGGAAGTGGATGTTGGAGAGCATTATGTCCAGGGTGAGTATATGACACATGGGGGTATGGAGGGAAGTGGGTGTTGGAGAACATTATGTCCAGGGTGGGTATATGACACATGGGGGTATGGAGAGAGTGGGTGTTGATGAACATTATGTCCAGGGTGGGTATATGACACATGGGGGTATGGAGAGAGTGGGTGTTGGTGAACATTATGTCCAGGGTGGGTATATGACACATGGGGGTATGGAGAGAGTGGGTGTTGATGAACATTATGTCCAGGGTTGGTATATGACACATGGGGGTATGGAGAGAGTGGGTGTTGATGAGCATTATGTCCAGGGTAGGTATATGACACATGGGGGTATGGAGGGAAGTGGATGTTGGAGAACATTATGTCCAGGGTGGGTATATGACACATGGGGGTATGGAGAGAGTGGATGTTGGAGAACATTATGTCCAGGGTGGGTATATGACACATGGGGGTATGGAGAGAGTGGGTGTTGATGAACATTATGTCCAGGGTGAGTATATGACACATGGGGGTATGGAGAGAGTGGATGTTGGAGAACATTATGTCCAGGGTGGGTATATGACACATGGATGTATGGAGGGAAGTGGATGTTGGAGAACATTATGTCCAGGGTGGGTATATGACACATGGGGGTAGGGAAGGAAGTGGATGTTGGAGAGCATTATGTCCAGGGTGAGTATATGACACATGGGGGTATGGAAGGAAGTGGATGTTGGAGAGCATTATTTCCAGGGTGGGTATATGACACATGGGGGTATGGAGGGAAGTGGGTGTTGGAGAACATTATGTCCAGGGTGGGTATATGACACATGGGGGTATGGAAGGAAGTGGATGTTGGAGAGCATTATGTCCAGGGTGGGTATATGACACATGGGGGTATGGAGAGAGTGGGTGTTGGAGAACATTATGTCCAGGGTGGGTATATGACACATGGGGGTAGGGAAGGAAGTGGATGTTGGAGAGCATTATGTCCAGGGTGGGTATATGACACATGGGGGTATGGAAGGAAGTATGAAGGAGGAAAGGAGGGAAGTTAACAGAACACATTTATATAATGTAGACAGCTTTGGGGGAGGACAAAGAAGTAAGTGGAAACAATAACAGTTTAAAGAACATATCAAGTAGTAATTCAGAATTCTAACATATTATACCATACACTGTCGTTCTCTGCGTATCAATACTCCGCATTACCGTTACCATATATTATAGATTTAATCTCTAGCGAAGGTCTATAGGTAGGACAGACCTCGGAGTAATCAATTAGACTACCCACAATGTTATGTACTATTCATTCAACCAGTATATTCTACCTGTTCATACCTGCACACATTCACCTTTAATGACAAATGAATGCTGTCTACCTGTCTATATATAATGTAAATACATACCTGGGGGTAGATAGACTAGATTTCCTCCTGCTGGGTCCCGGAGAGACACAGTGACGAGAGGGCCCCGGGGAAACGCATCGTCTGGTCGGGGAGGGGGACTTGCATCTCCGTGGGACGGGCACTGCTGATTTGATGGGTGAGGCAGGTCTTACTACCTGTGGCACCTGGGATCGACTTCCAGCTGTTGTTGTTGTTGTTACCTGTGAGAGCTTATTTGTATACGAAACCGGAGACGGTGAACGGAATTTAGCCGGAACTGGTGACTGGCTTCGTCTCGTATTATTAGTTATAGATTTCTGTCCAGTTGATGGGTCCGATGTACTACAGCTAGAAATAGATTCACTGGTCATTTTCTTGGTTGATTGTGAAGCGATTTTCCTGGGACTCGACGCCGGGGAAGGAGACATACTTCGCATTCGTGCTGGAGACGGTGGCCTCTGGTTGACTGAGACTGCGGACGGTTGGACAGACATTTTGCGGGGAGATCTTGGGGTCGTTGGGACGGATTGTGAGACAGCACTTGTGCTTGACCTTCGCGCCGGGGTTCCTCCTACCCGGGACACGGGCTGTCGGTGACCTGCAATATGCATAAACCATAATATTTTAGATAATTTTATGCAGGCAAATAACGACTCCGAATTATTCTGACATTCTGTCGTCTTTTTCATCAATCTGAAGAAATAAACATTGAAAATCTGGCTCTATAAAAAGTGCAAGAAATCATGACTCGTGCTTGGGATGACGTTCGAACAAAAATAGTCGAGTTTTACAATAATGAGTCTCAGTTTTCCAAAGTATAATAGCACACGTATGCGAAATCTGAAAGAAATTAGAAAAATGTTTATTGCTTGGTGTATATCGTTCTGAAATCACGTCTGTTTGACAAACAGTGGACAATACCTACCGAATTCTTTGTTGATTTCATATTTCTAAGAGGACATTACTATCAGTAATACGACATCGCGCCAGTAGCAACAAAATATATCTCATATATGTATATTGAAATGATTGGTCTTGTTTGTCGGTGACAACACAAAGTTACAATAATAATATGTATGTAATTATGTATCCCTGCAGTCAGACAGGGTAAGGACGGGCCATGAAAGCGCTCACTATCTTGCGAATGCAAATGCACGTGCAGTATGTCACTGTCTTTGAAAGTAAAAGAATAATACACATTTATAACGGAAAATAAAGGTACTTTTTGTAAAGATTGGGACCAAATGTATGCGTAACTGGTTTGAAATGGCAAAATATACTTTTTGTTGAACATTTGATTTATAAGCTGTCAAATAAATGCAAGCAAAAAGCAAATATACAAACACGCTGTGCACAGCATGTGTCTTATAGTAGAAAAAAAATATTAGAATGAATCTGAAAACCATGCATTTTATCAGAGAAAAACGTCAAAATATTCTCGGAATGGCGATTGAAACAATTAAACATTGACCTACTTTCAGTTATCATTCATGGACATATGAATGCCAACAGGATAAGGGAAATTTTGAAAAAGTGCTTGCCCTTATCCAGTTACCATAGCCCATGAATGACAACTGATATCAGTTTAATGTGTTTATCAAGTGTTTGTATTTAGGGAACACAAACCTCATTTTGTTTATATCAGTTGCAATATCCCTACGCTGTTGGTCATTCATGAGCTGGTAATACACAACAAACTTTGGGAAAGTCACATTATAGCAATGCCATACAATCATACATTAGTATAAGCATTCAATTGTCTATTACGATACTCCCAAAACAAAGCATTGCAGCTAAAGATCTCTCCAAATAATCAAGCATTTGTACCTACAGCCGGACCACGCAACTCCGAGAAAATATTGATTTTCAGATTTTAGTGGTTAATTTCGGAGAAGTTGTGGACCGTTTCAACCAAGACCAGGACATAATTTAGTTAAAGGAAAACCAATTACCTTAATAAACGATTACAAGACAACGTCTGTGTTACACACGATACATTTTTAATAACAAAACACAGGCATACTTGTAGTAAGACGCGATAGGTTTGAAAACCTTTAATTAGAAATTTTGTAATTTTTTTACTATTTTGTTAGGAGATTGCCATTTAGAGTTTGATTTTTTTTATTGTATTTGCATTTGTCACGGTAATTTTGTTATGGTACTAAAGTAAAGACCTAAATACAATTATGTTTGGTATGTATTGTATATCTCATTAAAAAGAAGCAAGACGCTTCAACGACAATCTTTGTATACAAAGCTATTATTTTTTTCTACAATTTAAAAGCTTAACAACCAAACATACTCAAGATATCTTAAATTAATTTCCTTAACATCTGAAGTGAACTCTCGCTGTTTCAAGAATGAAATCGCGATTTTTTTTCAACCCATCAATCCTACATGAAAATGGAGACAAAATGCTGGTTTTTGTTAATGTTCTCCTGTTGTAACAGATTTTTTGCATGTGAAAAGTTATGTACAGTGAAGAAAATAGGCAGTATAGGACGATCGGACCGACGAAATGCAAGTATACCAACCAAGTTTCATCAAAATCTGACCTGTCCCTCAAAAGATATCATGTGGAAAGCAGCATCCGGACGAACGGCGGGACGGACGAACGGAACCCATTTGAATATCCCCAACTTTGTTAGGCGGGCGATAACTAAGGTATCTTTTTACACAGGGACATTTTAAAGATATTTATATACTATATATTTTCTGAAATAAAAGGATTATTCAAATATAGATATACAGCGGGATTGGTAATCAAACGTAAAGCCTCTGGTTGTATTGATTATCGATTATCGATTATGAGCTACCCCTTTATGTAAATACAATGTATCTATGTATCACCGCCTTCTGGAGTATTGCCATACCATATTTATAGCAATATAACAAAAAGGTGAATAATATTCACATTAGCACTGGCTCCGAAATCAATTTAATATACTGATGCTGCCATTGATGACCTACCGCGTCGCGCATGCGCGAATTTCTCGTTCCAAGGATGTTTTACTATAGATTAAATAGCGGCATTTCAGGAAAATATCAATATATCGTTAGGTAAATAAAAGTTCCAAAATGTATACCTCTGATCAGCAAATTTAACATTTCTTATTTACAAATATATATTCTTTTTTTTTAATTTTTAGATAAACATCAGTTGTCATTTTCAGTGGAAACTTACACATGGATTTTCTTCATAGTCTTACCAAATTTTTAACAAAACGATTATTTTGACAACTCCAATAGACATAAAATCATTATTATGTATAAATCTCCAAATTTATGCCTCTGACAAAAAAGTATAGTAACTTTCCAACACATTGATATAACTTTGACAAACTTTTATTACAAAATTAATTGTGTTACTTTTAGGTGAAAATGGCACACAATTTCAGTTCACGGCAATAAACACAGCATCAATGTACGTGTATCGATGGGACAGCTGTTATATATAATAAATTGTTATATTGTTTTCTGATCAAAGTACGTTTGATAACTTCGAAATAAAGGATTTTTAATGTAATTTACGAAATAAACATTGAAATATAAACGAAATTTCCAGATAGCGGCAAAGTTATAATCAAAACATAGTTCACCGCATGTGAATATCAACAATCACTGGAATTTAATTTAATGCCTAGGTTTTTTTCCTTTTTTATTTACAATTTTATCAACCTTTCGTTTATTTCGTTCGTCTATATGCATTGTAATTTCAAAGACATATATACAAACATTATTGAAGAGGTGTACAATGTATATACTATGTTGATGCCGACACTTACATGTACAATCATTTTTAACGAGAAGTGTACGATGCTGCCAAGATTTTAACCGAGACCTTCATTCTTGAGTTTGTTATATCTGGGTTCAGAATGCTTTCCGATACTTTCGGAAGTATAAAAGGGGTTGGACGAAACGTCCATATCATACTTATACTATAGATATAAGAGCTATTCGATCAGATTTTCAGAAAAAACGGTGTACGGAAGTGATTACGTACAAGTCACGGCTAATTGCTTTATTGTTTGTTTGTTTGTTTTTCAATTTCTACTCAGTCAATATCCATACTTCTATAACTAATTCGTATAACCAGACCGTGTCAATAAATATCGGACGACGTGATCCTTACGTAATGATCGTAATGACAAGGGACGTTACGCGTGGTAATTTACAAATTCATTATTGCTACATTGTTTTAAATATTTAAGTAAAGCACGTATCATAAAGCGGTACTTTTTCCTTCCGAATCAAACATAATCAAACAGAGACATTTAGGTCTCACACTCAAAATTATAAACAGACATTTTGTCCAGGGACATATGACAGAGGGTAGTGGATGTTTTTCCGGTGTTAGCTTTAATGTTTGTTCATTGAGTATGAAGACCTTGCAGTTGCTATTTACTTGAATTGTAACAATGATTTTATAATAATCGTTGAAGGTGGCTATTTTTTGTTTGTGATTTTGAACATAGGAATGGGTTTTTCTAGAACTGTGTCCCTTTATGCGGACATAGGTATGTAACAGGAATGGATTTATCGAGAGTTGTGTCCCTTGATGCGAACAAAGTATTACTGTATTTTATACCCAATATTCAAAAATATAAATAAACTGTTTGTGTAAGATGGTATTTTATGTGTCAAGAATGTGTGGCATATGTACTTTGAGAGTATTTGTGTATTAAGAAATGTTAATGTGTAATAGTATTTGGGTTGTAAGTGTTGTGAAAATTGTTTTATACTAATATATATGTACCATCATTGTCGTGATTGTATAAATGTGAAAAATGTGGAGGAGATGAGGGAGTTGGAAAACTATACAGAAATCATTGGCTGGTATTTCTCCATGTTGTATACATGTAGGTAATGTAGCTAATTAAATGTGGTTTTTGGTTTGGTCTTTGTTATTTTTTTGTTAATAGAATTTTTATTGAGTAAATAGGGAGTAGGAGTTGTGTACCTAAAGTGTTGCGTATGTCTGTATTTCAATGTATGGGTTGCTCCTGGCTGGTTTGTCGACGCGGCAAAACGTACTGTTTCACCACCACGCACTCTACTAGTACAGACTAATAGATGTGTAACCTCCACCATCACGCACTCTACTAGTACAGACTAATAGATATGTAACCTCTATGTAGGCTACAACAGATACCTTCATGGCAGTACGTGTCTCCGAGTACAACGGTACCTACTAAGTCCGTATTAGTAATTAAAACACTTACCCATGAATGGTCCCATGCTACCTGTGCGCTCTCGTGCCTACGACTCGATACACGCTAAGGGACGTAACCCACGTTATCACGTAGAAATAGCTAATAACACTGAATCTACCATATATGACATAGAAAACAGTTTTAAATATAAACAAAGGACGACACTTTAAATTAAATAATGCTAGTTTCGATCAATAGTTTGTGTATACACCGACTGGAGTACGATTTTGTTCAATTCCATGTGCAAATATTGATCTTAGATATATTTTGTCGATACAATATTCGTCCTATGTTTCCTCTATTGCTATCTTCACTACTAACATGACACATGCTTTATATATGCAAATCCGATTTTAAGAAGGGTTATGTTTTTTCTTTGGGAAAGATATTTACATACATGAATATATATTTATAGAACAAATCAAACTTGTTCGAATCGTTAAAGAAATGCATATTACGTACTAATGTCTTCCACAACCGGCTCTTTCATTTTAATCTACGAAAACGTTTCTTTCACATAATTATTATGTAACAAAAACCATGAGAAAAAACGGGTATACACCACTAGTACATGTATCTACAAAGACGATATGATGTGTCAGCTGTATAAAGAACTATGACATTGTTTAAAAGGTTTCAAGCATGAACCAAATGAATGAGAAATGGCTCTTGTTTATTATTGTAGGAAATCACTTCTATTTGCAAGTCTTTTTTCTTGTGAAACAGCGTGTAAAATTGATCATTTTTCCAAACGTTAAGAAAATGACGAAGTCGGTGTATTTAATTCCTCGCGCGACCGTGATTATTGAACGTTTGATGTTAAGATATCCATAACTGAGAATTTAACGTGCCATTCCGTTATCGATTATTAATATCGAAAACTGGAAATCGATAATGATTTCGATGTTGAAGACAGCACGTGCACAAAAATCGGATCAGAGTCGCTGTGACCGTTCCGTGAGGATCAGGCGAAATGTTTTCAGTCTTATGTGTATAACAAATGACAGCCTTTGGAAAATGATACTAAACTACTTGCGTGATCGATCTTGGACCTGTAATTTGGAAAAGACCCACGCTTTCTCTTAAGTTCAAGTGCCGAGTTTGTAATACAAAAGAACAGTGTTAAATTGAAACTCTTATTTCACGATAAACAGCATAAGCATGCAATGTATCTCCATAATCATGCGACAGGGTTGTTGCAAGCTTAGTCAAAAGTAAACATATTTCAAAAGGAAAGACACTTTCTCCTCATACCGACCCAAAAAAAGGTTGTACAGAATGAGATAACAGAAGACCAATACATTGTATTTGGGAACTGAGACAATGTTAAAAGTAAGCACACAATTATATCTCCTTGTCGTACACATTCCCTGCACTTTACATGAGAAAATTAACCTGTTTTATTGATTATATATTGTAGTACCAATGTCAATCTAGGGACGGTGCTGCAAATCATTATTTGTATGATAATGTAAGAACACAGTGTACAGAATTTAAGCCCTATTAGCGGATAGATATTTAATATATTTCAATTGGTGAAAATAATTTGAATGTTTCACTGTCGCCATAACTATGTCATTGGGAAAACAGATTTCTTTGTGCGATATGACGTAGAACGTGTTTGACGCCCATTACTATTCTTGTATACTTTGTTTTCACTTGAGAACGTGACATCACTGACTTGGATTGACCAAGATTTACATGGCGGGGGTCATCGATGAAGCAGAAGACGCTTACTCTTGCAGAACACCTTGTTTTATTCTCCTTTCACTTTTTCTGGAGTATTTGTGTACATTGTAATTTTGTTCATATTTTACCCTAGTTTACTTGAGTTTGAAATTGTTTAATGATTCTGTTGACATGTTGGCATATTCTAATTTGGTTCTAGTCGCAGAGATCACAACAGTAAATTCTCAATAAGTTCTTGAAAGATATGAAACGAGTGTGTGTTGATAATTTTCCCCATTTTTTATAAAACAAATGGCGTTGATGAACTTTTCCTTGCTATATCCTTAACATCCTTACCAATGTTTTAACACATCCTTATCAATGCTTTACACATCCTGACCAATACTTTAACACATACTTACACATGCTTTAACACATAATTACCAATGTTTTAACACATACTTACCAATGCTTTAACACATCCTTATCAATGCTTTACACATCCTGACCAATACTTTAAGACATACTTACCAATGCTTTAACACATACTTAATAATGCTTTAACACATCCTTACCAACGCTTTAACACATCCTGACCAATGCTTTAACACATACTTAATAATGCTTTAACACATCCTTACCAATGCTTTAACACATCCTTACCAATGCTTTAACACATCCTTACCAATGCTTTAACACATCCTTATCAATGCTTTACACATCCTTACCAACGCTTTAACACATCCTTACCAATGCTTTAACACATACTTAATAATGCTTTAACACATCCTTACCAACGCTTTAACACATCCTGACCAATGCTTTAACACATACTTAATAATGCTTTACACATCCTGACCAATACTTTAAGACATACTTACCAATGCTTTAACACATACTTAATAATGCTTTAACACATCCTTACCAACGCTTTAACACATCCTGACCAATGCTTTAACACATACTTAATAATGCTTAAACACATCCTTACCAATGCTTTAACACATACTTACCAATGCTTTAACACATACTTACCAATGCTTTAACACATACTTACCAATGCTTTAACACATACTTACCAATGCTTTGACACATCCTTACCAATGCTTTAACACACACTTACCAATGCTTTAACACATACTTACCAATGCTTTGACACATCCTTACCAATGCTTTAACACACACTTACCAATGCTTTAACACATACTTACCAATGCTTTGACACATCCTTACCAATGCTTTAACACACACTTACCAATGCTTTAACATACACTTACCAATGCTCTAACACATCCTGACCTATGCTTTAACACATACTCACCAATGTTTTAACACATCCTTACCAATGCTTTACACATCCTGACCTATGTTTTAACACAACCTTACCAATGCTTTAACACATCCTTACCAATGCTTTACACATCCTGACCTATGCTTTAACACATCCTTTTTTTGACATTTTAAATATAACTTCTGCCACATGTACATTATTATGTAAGTATATGTATTTTTAGAAAATGCGTTGCCATTTATTTATTAACTCCCTTATTAAGACCCCTTCATAATAATTCTGAGTAGCGATAACTCTCTTTATTTTGTCTAGTAGCTTGTTGTTCACCTACAAGGCGAAAAGACCTGAGTTGAGATGTTGCAGAAATTATTTATCAGTTTTGGAAAAGATATAAATATATTAGTGAATTGAGATAACAGAAGAGATTAAAACCATTCTTCACCTAAGTTTTAAATCTCGTTTAAAGTTGTGACTGGCTAAGGTTGGGTGGAGACATAGAAGTGACATCACTTACCTGCGAAGCCACAGCGACATGGGTCGTGCTTGTCTAGGTAGTGTTCTAGTGTGTCCCAGCCCCCGCCCACACGGATCATCACGTGGTTCCGCAGAATCTGAGGAGATAATTACGTCAGTGGTCTCAGCAAAATATTATTAACAATACGTGATATTCAGAACCCTAAATATTTCGGACAACTGAAGTCCGATATAAAGAACACATTTATTTTGAAATATTCTGTCATGCTTTCCTTTTATTTGTATGTAGTGTGAGAGGTCTGTAAGGCGGTTTATACCGTGTCAGTATAATTGATAATGAATTTTAATTTGGAGATTTTGTGATGGTCTATCATGTAACAATAACATCATCAAAAAAACTTAATTTTCATAGCGTTGCAGCTTCCTTCTCAAAGAAATCTTTTTGATGATTTGATTCATCAAAGAAATTTTTCTTCTGTGCGTTTATCGACCTCTCAAATGAATTATTCTCCCGTGTTTTAATCAAAGAAATTACTATCAGATACAACACTGTACTTTAATATTTTCGTCTCTACAGGGAGGCTAGCAATAATATGTCAAGACTTACCCGCACAAAAACAAGAGTCTGTGAGTCCCCGATTTTGTATTTGCCTTCTCCGACCTTGATAATCGGGAATTGAACAGGACAGGTACATCTTCCAGCCAATTCCTGCACCTGGAAAACACAAAATAGAAAACACCGCTGATAAACAACGTACCGTAGACACAGCCCTGGAAACTTCCAAAATTTCAAAATAGTACAAATTATAGTTTTATAAAATGTCCATGGAATATTTATCATCTAAAAGAAAATTTTGAAATTATATCATCGTTGTAATGATATTTCAATTTAATTCAAGTTTGACTTGGTAAAATGTTGAAAAATTCCGTTCGTTCCGATTTACTCTGTATTTTACCAAAGAATGTGCTTTTACTGAGAAAGAAAGCAAAGCCGATCCCTTCGTTGGTGTCTGTCAAATACAATCCTTACATATATCTGAATGTAACACGATTCTGCCTCATAACACATGTCGTTAATGTTCTCGTCGCGGTTTATATCCATTGTAACACAAAGAGAAATCACATGAAAAAAATGGAAATCTTGAAATTCACGCAATGCATTGCATGTAAGGTTTTGTTTCGGTGAGTACGCAGCAGGACTGGGAAAATGGAATTTGTTTCAGCAAGCACTCGCACCAAATAATAAGCTACTTATCACAATACCATATGTCAAAGAGAACGAAAAATCGATGATTGAAAACCGGTTCCGCCGTTTATCTACAAATGTACCGAGGAATGTATCGATATTCTTACGACCATCGGCAAAATGGCGTTTTATAGTAAACAAAGGCAGACGACACTTTGCTTACAAGTACGACACAGTCTACAGTGTACGCTGTGACCTTTTGAACTTGTTATTCTATTTCAACCATTGATTTATTGTCATTGATGGTTCCTCTAGTGGTGACTGTAAACACAACTAGTATTTTATCATATTGTTTTCTTGTATATACAAAATTTACGATTAAAGTTTACTTGTATGTACAAAATTTACGATTAAAGTTTACTTGTATATACAAAATTTACGATTAAAGTTTACTTGTATGTACAAAATTTCAATTAAAGTTTACTTGTTTATTCAAAATTTACAATTAATGCTTACTTGTATATACAAAATTTACTATTAAAGTTTACTTGTATATACAAAATTTACAATTAATGTTTACTTGTATATACAAAATTTACGATTAAAGTTTACTTGTATGTACAAAATTTCAATTAATGTTTACTTGTATATACAAAATTTACTATTAAAGTTTACTTGTATATACAAAATTTACAATTAATGTTTACTTGTATATACAAAATTTACGATTAAAGTTTACTTGTATGTACAAAATTTCAATTAAAGTTTACTTGTTTATTCAAAATTTACAATTAATGTTTACTTGTATATACAAAATTTACTATTAAAGTTTACTTGTATGTACAAAATTTACAATTAATGTTTACTTGTATATACAAAATTTACTATTAAAGTTTACTTGTATATACAAAATTTACAATTAATGATTACTTGTATATACAAAATTTCCGATTAAAGATTACTTGTATGTACAAAAATTCAATTAAAGTTTACTTGTTTATTCAAAATTTACAATTAATGTTTACTTGTATATACAAAATTTACTATTAAAGTTTACTTGTATGTACAAAATTTACAATTAATGTTTACTTGTATATACAAAATTTACGATTAATGTTTACTTGTTTATACAAAATTTACAATTATTGGTTGCTCAAATGGTTTTTTTTAAAATCATCGAATATATTTAACTTCGTGGTGACACTTGATGTGATAAGAATCTGGGATTTTAAGGGGTACAACTCGTGCTGCCTTGAACTTATAACTATATTCTATGTATGATTATAACTATATTCTTTATATAATCATAACTATATTCTATAATTATAACTATATTCTATAATTAACTATATTCTATAATTATAACTATATTCTATAATTAACTATATTCTATAATTATAATTATAACTATATTCTATAATTAACTATATTAACTATAATTATAACTATATTCTATAATTAACTATATTCTATAATTATAACTATATTCTATAATTAACTATATTCTATAATTATAACTATATTCTATATACTATAACAATAATCTTTACCTATGCTATCTTCAAACATATAAATATATCACAATCAGAGATGTATGATAAAGAGTAATATATGTGTTATACGTCCCTGGCACAGTACACCACAATCTGGAACATCGCGCGATATACACGTTTAAAATGTTGGAAAATTTTAACATTAAATTCTGACCCTATAGCGAAAAGTCCAATATATCATAACGTTATAATATCTGTTTTCACCAGTCATATCTCTGATACTTTATCAAACACGCCTCGTGAAGTAGGGCGGCCGAAACGGAAACTGACTAATATGTAACATGGGTAGTCGGGAAGTGACCAGAGAAACACAACATAGTTTCTTTATTCTGAAAAAATGACATAAATGCGCTGTTAAACTAGCCCCATTGTTCCCAAATCTGAAAACGGCGCCTATGATGTCCCAGAACCAGTAGCAATGACAGAACTTCTCGGCATGAGGCTAATATTGATTTTTATAGGTTTAACTGCGATGTTTAAATGTGAATTGTAACAGTAAGCATTGTTTCTCCGCCTAATTAACATTTAATTGGTTTGTAGGTGAGGAATGTTTTGGATTTAATAGAGGTGGCCGACTCCGGCCATCCATCAAGATTTCGCTCGATTTACCAAAGACAAAACATGGCCTTATCTAACCAGCGTATACGTCACACGCAATCAGCCGGTACACCTGTAATATCTCGCACGTATCCTTCTCAGTGCTAGGCGTAAATAACAACACCCGGTCTGACGACTATCTCATTCACCGCGATTAAATACAAACACACAATTATAAAATCTACTTAAGTTTGTCGTAAGATCAAGGTACAATTCACCTGGGCCAGGTAAAAGAATGTGTGTGAAGGGGAGGGGAAGCGAGGGGTAAGCAAAGCGGAAGGAAAGGGTGGGGGGGGGGGGGGGAGAATGCGAGACAGGGAAGGAGAGAGAGTTAAGAAGAGAAGAACAAGAATGGTACCATTTTATTCATTTGTGTACATGAAAACATACCAATGTAATCGAAAATATCAAAATATAGTCCTGAATTGCAATTCCCAGTTAATGAATCAATCAATGTTAATGTGTATAACAGCATCATCTGAGTTAAGGCTGTATGGTACATTACAAGTCAAAAAGGGTTATCTCTGATGTTCATGTAAATGTGTCCTGTGCACTTTAAGAAACGTTTTCCTTTCATCCATTCTTAGTGTGTTAGTTTTAATTGTGGGACCAATCACGATATATCAGGCTATTAAACATGGGCAGTGACATTTATCAAAACAAAACAGTGTAATTTATCATAAAGAGTCAATAGTAGTTATAAGAAAAAAATCTATATCATTTATCAGAATGAATCATGTTTCTGAACTACTTCTGTTTTCAGGTGATTGACAAGTTAAGAAGCATATTAAACGCTAAAATAAAAACGCTGTAAGTCAATATAGGGATGAAAAGGAAGTCTTCCATGAAGCCATTATTGTGTAGTTTAGCGTGACAGGTGTACATCAAGAAAAAAGTCCAACATGCGTTTTGATGGTTTTTTTTAAGTACGTATGGGACTGCCCTAAATCACTACAATTTTCTATGTATTGATCTAAAGATCGATATACAATCAATGAATGCTACCAAAGAACTTTAACAAGGACATTGTTTATTGCTGTCTGTCAAACACGAGCGCGTGTTTTCAACACACGAATAACATGTCGAAAGTCACTTAGGCTTCCTTGTTACGGGAGAGAGAACATAAACAGAAAACCTATCTCTATTGGGTTGTTTGATCAATTTCCAAAAACCTAGTATATCTGGTACATGATCAAATTGGGAAGTCTTCGTGTTTACATGATCCAACACAGCTTTCAACCTGGTTATATCAATTCTATAATCGAAATGATTCATCTGAAATTATTATTAATAAACAATCTGGGTCAGAGCGTTCGAGTATATGTTGTTAAAATTTTATATAATAATGTAATGATATATGGTAATCTGGGCTGGTGATATATTAGACAGCAGATAATTACAATAATCTCACATCATCTTGCCCTGTCACACCTGATTTATTTATCTCTATATAACTTATATGACGAAATTATTTTTGCTCTCTTAAAATACGGCGGTTATTAAAGAAATTATCATACATTTTTGTGAATTGGTTTTTGTCTACAAAATTTAATGCTTTTAAGAAATGACTGAAATGTCGTCACATCTGAATCACTCGTAAGGTTGTACAAATGACATGCATATAATCACACTTTAATTAAGTACTGCATCATCCTTCTAAGACTCTCAGTCAAACTAGGTCCAAGTTCTGCACACCTAAGATTTTCACCTGAGAAACACAAACCAACCTAGGCAGAGTCGAACCACACACCTCATATCATATGTTCGAAAATATCATGATACCTTTGTATACGTTTAAACCAGTGTCAGCGACGAGGCTATCAATCGATTTTACAGAGCAGAAGAAATAATTTATCAGAGAAAAAACAAAGGGACTGCATCGCTCACCTGGCAAATAATTTCTGAAATTATTTCACTATTGGATCCCTACTTTGTGGTCAAACGAAAGTCAGATTCACTATTCATTAAAAAAATGCCTCATACCAAACTTGGACTACATCCTTGTATGGAAGAAGGGTTTTTAAGAGCTTAATTTGGTCCCCAACCTTCCCGCCCTCTACGGGGCTAAGACCTAAAGTACATACTCTCAAGAATGATTCAGATCATGTTTGGAAAGTATCTATTCATTCCTATAGGCGGAATAGAATTTCAAAGAATTTACTCTATTTCCCCAATAGGGCTCCTTCCCTCCCGTCTCAAGGGTTCGAAACCTAACGTTTATACAAGACTGATTCCCCTTCATTTAGAAATGCTTCAGAACGAAGTTAGAAAATATTCTTTCATTCCTACAGAAGGAGTAGGTTTTAAAGCACTTGCGAAATTTCCCCTTTTAGGCCCGCCCCTCGGGCCCCCTGGGGCCGAGAGCCAATATTTTAGAAA